AGGATCAGGGAATAAATCAAGAGAAAATGAGGTACATACCAGCTGAATTTGGAACTCCAACACCTCAGCGGTACTCTAAAAACATGTTCATAAGTTGTACTCGGACCTGTAGATTCCAATAAAACTGTTAGTTTCTCATATGGTTGGGTGATTATGGCTCTGGGTTCCATTTTATCGGGTTTGAAAACCCCCTTTTCACTACCCAACACCCCTTTTAGCCAAAAACTTGTTAGCAAAGTATCTTGTATTAAGGAAAGTGAATTGGATATGCATAATCCATGTGCTTAGCTCCCTAAATCTCTTCAAATCTCCTCAAGATCGTTTCTGGTTCCAAAAATATCAACAAAAATATTCAAAATTTCCACTTTCACCACTTCCATGTTTTTGCCATAACTTTCCAAAAAATATCCCTAAAATCCCAATCTCAACTGTAAAGGTTGTATTTCCACCTCTGTTTCCCATAATAATACCTCCTTGCTCATGGGTGCCCCTCTGTCAACCTGTAGTATTCATTTTGTCCGATTGTTGGAAGATAGCTCAAAGATCCAAGTGGCAGAAAACATAGGCAATCAGAAGAATTGATGCACTTTCAGGAAAGTTTGAGGAACCATTTGAGTGGAAGTAAAAGCTAAAGTCATAAACTCAAGGAATTGACGTTCTAGTTAGATGCGCTGTTGGCGTGAAATGGTTTGAATAATGACCCCCTATTAAGCCTATTCAAGGAGCACCACGATCACTATAAAATTTTTAAATACCTCGGAAGTATTACCAGATCATGTGTATGTCACGTGCCCAGCCTCGGAATAAAACTAAATGTGGTGCGAACCATTTATGTGGTCCCTAACGTTCCTATATTTGATAGCAGTAGGATCGTTATCGATTATCTTAATTGTTTAAACTCTATGAATAGCTTTTTGGTTTGGTAGGCAATATGTTATTTCTCATATGCAAAGATTGCATTAATCATTAATCGTCTTTTTGAATGTTTTTACGTTGCCTTAGTTCCCAAATTTACTAATCACCGTCGTAATTGATAAGCAGCTGATTAATTCGGCAAAATGAATTCATTTTACCATCGTTTAAAGTCCCATCGGGTATTTGAATTTTAGTGTGGTTTATTTAACCACTAAATTCGGATAAACAATTTAATCTTGTGATTTGTAGTGAATTCGCAATTGTTGAACAAACAAACGAAATTTCATTAATAAGAATTTAGTTTAAAGTAAGGTACACTAACACGTCTAGCGTTTGATTAATTTGACACCCCTCTAATTCAAACAGGTATATAAAGAAGGAGGTGCCCATTTAATTGACCAAACTTATCATGTTTATGACCCATCATCAGTGAAGAGTAATTACTGAAGACTTTACATCAGATATACAGAAGAATACAATGACTACTATTGCCGTTTTTGGATTGAATGGGTTTTTAGGTAAACCAATTATTGAAGCTTTACTTCGTGAACCATTCATCTCCAAGATTAAAACCCCTATTCGTTTATTAACATCATCAGATAAGAAACCAATTGAATCATCTAAAGTTCAATATTATAATGTTAAAGAAGTTGGTTATGATAAACCTTTAGATGGAGTTGATGTTGTGGTCAATTTGGGTAGCGTTCCAGGTGATCCAAAAGATGATGCTTTTTTAAAATCTATTATTTCACACAAGGTTAAATTATACATCCCATCACAGTTTGGTACTGATTTGGATGCAACTTCAGAGACTTTGCCAAACTTTTTACAACCAAAGACAACTCACAGTAAGGCAGCTAGAGATGCTGGTATCAAAACCGTTGATATTATTACTGGATTGTTTATCAATGAAGATGGGTTTTTGCCTTTTGCTCCATTGTATGTTCTTGGTCATGATGTTGAAAAGACAAAAGAAGCTACAATTAGAGGGGACAAGAACACCTTAATTAATCCTTCATATTTCAAGGATATTGGTAATACTGTTGCTGCCTTGGCTACTAAGGATAATTTTGCTTCCATTCCAGATAAAGTTCGTATCTATTCAGACAGAATCCTTGCAACTGAATTGATTAAACATTATGAAAAGGTTAACAATGTTCAATTGACCACAAAGTATGTTTCTACTGCTGATACTGTCAAGGAAGCTAAAGAAAAATATAGCAAAGGTTTCAAATTTGACGATTTTGTCTTCTATTTGATAACTTTATTGGCTGAAGGTGAAGGTAAAGGTTTGATCTTTGAGAAGGAAAATGAAAAGGAATTTGTTAATCCAAAGGAAAGCTTATTCAAATGGACTAAGTTCCAAATCTGAGTTCAGTGTCTAATTTATTTTGAATGATATGTTTGTTTATGATCGAAAGCCGGTAGCAACCAGTACGTAGTGTATCGATTGTAAAAGGTGAGTTGCATAAAGATCTTTATTTGGCAGTTCAGCTGAGAAGCGAATAACCCTCTGAAATTCATAAGTACGTTGTCATTGTGAAATATTCTCAATAATTCGTTCGCGAATATTTAGACAAAAACAAAAACAAATCATGCCTTCTTATTAATTTCTTTAAATACTGTTAATGGTTACTTGTCTGCTACAATCCTTGCCTTATTTCCAATGAGATCTCAAATTATTCAAGAGATAGCGCTCTCTATAAGAGAATCACAAGAATCACAAATTACACCAAATGAGAATTTAGATGACGACGATACTACCATTGATTGTTCGCCATTCGTCGATGACATGGAGGCTTACAACCAAAGTTCAGAAGAGGGTAGAGTTCTTTTCAGTTCAATGGCAAAAGAGATTATAAAACCAATAAATCAAATCAGAATCCACAGAATCTTCAAAATTGGTGAAGAGACACCTGTCAGAGTTAATTATGACACGTATGATTCCCTCTTTAGTTGGATAACAACTCTCTCAATTAGTCCAGAGATGAGGAGTCAGTATAAAGCAGTCATCCCACACCTTTACAAGTTGATATTTGTCTTACCACCGTTACATACGGTTTTGTCAATTCCAGGGACTTCTCATTCCAGTGAAATTTCCGGCGCTGCTAGTGGTTTTAATAGTTCATCTATATCAAACTCAAGATCAGTACCACACAACAACAGAATAGCATCCAGATCAAGTGAGTCAAAAACAATGGTCAATATCAAATCAATACATCCCGTCACTACTCATATTCCCAAAAGTTTTGTGCAGAAGAAAACAGAAGATATGGAACGCTACATAAGTGAGGTTATAAAAAATATTCCTGACAGAATAGTTATACGCTGCATTTCCAAATCTTTGAAGAATATTGAAGGTGGGTATAAAATTGGTAGGCAAACAAATAAAGCAGACATCGAAGAGTTATTTAGACGCCAAATAATTGGTCCAATCATGAAATTCTTTGAGATGATATGGGATTATGACAGTACAAGCAATGAAAATGCTCTTAGATGTTGTAAGCATTTTTCGTTTGCAAGAATGGCAAACCCAGAGCCTTCATATGGAGCTGATAGAAGATTGAGGAATAATGTTGAACTTATCACTCCAGATTTTTCATTCATTAATACTACTCCTAGCACATATTCTCGGGGGTATAATCTATATTTAGCAGATCATGATGAGAATTCACAAGGACCTGAAGTTGATCTTGTTTTAAAAGTTGAAAGGCCCTTTGTTTTTCTAGATACAATCGGGAAACCAATTCAATTTGAAAAGGATATGGAAATAAGTGATATTTTTCGTCAGTCGATGAAATATTGTGACTTTTTAGGAATGGATTACGGATGTATCACTGATGGGATTTGCTTCTTCTTTTTCATACTTGATGATTCCGATGATGCTATAGATGATAGTGAGAAAGACTGTGCTCATGATAAGGTATGCTTCAAGCAAAAAGTGTACAAATTTGTGACATTCAATGGGATTGATCAAGAGCGCAAACCACTCTTCAATCCAAACGATATCACTACCAGTCACTTGATTGGCTTGTTACTATTTCTATCCAAAAAGAGTTATTATGTAACTCAGGTTCAAAAGAAGGAAAAGAAAAGATGGAACACATTATGAGTAAAGGTGCCAGATATACAGCTGATGAATTGGTAGATGCTTCTGCAGAAAAGCTGAAAAAAATGGTGGATGACATGGAATTAACCAAAGACAATGAACAAATTGATAAACAATACACTAATGGAACCTGTTTAAATTCTGCTTCGGTCCTGACAAGCTCATCAACTGGGGGAAAAAATATTCCCCTGAATATTCCAACTGGTTTCAAAGATTATAAGGTCATTCAAGATAGCTTTGAAAACTTAACACAAGTCATTTTCTTGAAGCAAACCACATTTGAACAAATTTTTATGAATGGAAATAAGGACACATCGATCAATTTTCAAGGTGAAGGTGAAACTGAAGATGAAGGTGATATTGTTTTGAAACTTTACAGCATAAACCATCTAAAATCGGTATATTTCTTGCGAAATGACATAGAAAGATACAGTGACAACTTCCGTACTGATGAGGCTTTTATAAATGACATTCTTCTAAATGATTATGAAAGTGAAGTGAAGATAAACCAAATTATATCAAATCATAACAACAGTGTGGCGGATTCATTAACAACTAAAAGAAAAATCAACTCTCCCAAAATGATTTCATATGGGCCGATGGTTTCAGGGGAATACCTTAGCTCATTTTATGGTTTCTATATTGCTTTTGAATATATAAAAAGTGGTGGTGATTTGGAAGCAAAACATCTGAGCCAATTGCAAGATGAAATAGAGGAACTACACAGTTGCAATATTGCGCATTGTGATTTGTCACCGCGTAATATCATTGTGGATATAAATGATAATGCTCGAATTATCGACTTCAATACTGCTATTGAAGGTTCTGAAGTTGATGACAATCATTTAAACTATTTATTTGCTCTGGACGATAGCAAACTTTTAGATATTCAAGATGCCCTTTCCCCTGGCAGTGATTATGGATCACATTAACTAGTGTATAGACTGTCGATTATTAGCTATCATATTTTTATTCACATCTTACAAAACTAAACTTTAAGAGCTGTAACAACAAGAGCAGTCGCAAACTCTTAATTTTTTCTAGCCATCCAAGGACCTAGGACATACGTAGTTCCAATTAAGTGCCAACTTACCTTCTGTAATTGAAACATAAACAAATCTATATTCGAATGGTTCGCGAAAACGCAAGAATCGAGATTATAGATCCCGGAGAAAGTTCGATTGAAAACGGGAATATATGAGCTATTCGATGACCTTTGGCAAATGATTGAATCAATAGATATTGGAGATGTATTTGGGAAAATCAATGGTGTATAAAATAGCTGTCCTGGTAAGGTTTTCGCTCCCCAAATTATAAGCGAGTGATAGTTTCATATAGGGTGAAAAATGAGTACAAATCATCAAATTAGAAGCAATCAGGATAATTCCTCACTACAAGTCTTGGAAGATGTGGAAAACGGATCTAGTAACTTATTGTCCAAGATCAAGAATAGTTCTGATGGGCTACGTATCATTATAGCTGGGTTTGTTGCAAATTTTATGGTATTGGGTATCAGTTTCTCATTTGGTGTTTTCCAAGAATACTATACATCTTCAAATGGACCTTTAAATCATTATAAAGATTCAGAAATTGCAATGATAGGTACCCTTTGTAATTCATTGACTTATATGGGTGGCATTTTCAACAAGATTTTGCTGTATTATATGAGTCCTAGAAAAGTTATGTTTATTGGTGCAGGATTGATGGGTATTGGGTTGATTAGTGCAAGTTTTTGTACCTCAATGTACCAATTCATTCTAACCCAAGGACTTGTTAGTGGAGTTGGGTCAAGCTTCTTGTTCATGCCTCCTGTTGTTTGTGCACCTATGTTTTTCAATAAGAATAGAGCTATTGCCATGGGATTTTTGTTTAGTGGGTCAGGGTTTGGAGGTTTGGGAATGGCAACTTTGACTAGATTTTTAATCACAAATGTTGGTTGGAAATGGTGCTTGAGAACTTTGGGTCTTATGGGTTTAGTATGTGGTGTTGGATCAGGTATGTTGGTAAAGATACCAGATCAAGTGAATGAACAATTCCAATTCAACAGTAAGAAAATTCTTAGTATTTCTCAGTTGAAATCATGGAAAGTCTGGCTACAATTATCAGCTTCACTCTTACAATCTGCAGGGTATCTAATCCCTCTGATTTATATGTCAAGGTATGGAAGAACTCTTGGATTTTCCAATAGTCAAGGTGCTATGTTTATCGGTGTTAATAACGCCATCAATGCAGTGTTCAAGATACTTTTAGGCTTAGCAGCAGACAGGATAGGAAGACTTAATATGATCATAGCGTGCAGTGTTTTGAGTTCAATCACAGTTTTCACATTATGGATGATTTCGTCTAGAGACACGTTCATTTCATTTGTTGTTCTATATGGGGTGTTTTCTGGTGCAATCATCTCGCTTTTACCAACATGTCTCGTTGAGTTATTTGGAGCTTCAAGATACCAATCTCTAAGTGGACTTATGTATTTCAGTAGAGGTATTGGAACACTACTGGGCTCACCGTTAGCTGGGTTGATGATAGCTAATGGAGGTCGCGTGAGTCGGGATTATAAAAACTCGATTATTTACGATGGAGCTTTGCTTCTTGCGAGCACAATATGTCTTATTGGATTAAGAGCAAGAGCCACGTTAGATAGAGGCTGGAAGTCTTCGATTAAAATGTGACCGTTGTAATTGTGTTTCCCAGCTCTTTGTAGTACCTGCGTCTTGTTGATGTTTTTTTGTGTTAAGTGACACAAAAAGCTCATTTCCAAAGAAACATGAAATTGAAATTTCAATCTTCTTTAATCAGCCATCTTCCAACTACCCCAATCAAATCAAAGGCCATCTGGAACCAGTTGTTTCACAAGAGAGACCAGTGCAATCGCAGTCTCGTTCATCTTCAACTACAGAGAGCTTTCAAGACTTGGTCCAATTCCATCCAAAATCAGGGCTTGTTTTTGTGCCGTTACTGCCCCCAAAGCACACAACAGCTTCAATTGTGCTATATTAGAAAGGTCTGGATACCTCCATCTGCTATTGTCATCTACACTTATGCTCAAGAATCAATATTCCCAAAACTATCAATTCCTCGTCTTCATCGCAATCTGAATTATCATCATCATCAACTTCCAATTCGTTGCTCACTTCCGAAATGCATTTATTTAGAATAGGATCAACAAGCAAAAAGAAGGATACTGTCACTGAAAATGCAATAGCTGATACTGATAGTGAAGATGGGAAATCCCTGGATGATATCCTACTTCTGAACCCATGTCGGTGCTGTGGCTCACTAGTCAAACTCCCTGAATCTGTCACAAAATTCAAATGCTCAATATGTCAAAGTACCATCACATTGATAGATCCAAGCTCTGCTCCAAATAACACAACTACATCTTCATCAAGTCAATCTCCAATTCCTACAAGTGCTCCTGTGGAACTGCAACAACTACAAGTCATCAGCTACAGATCGATACGGCGGAAAATCAAAGAATGTGAGAAGCAAAAACATCCAAATCATCATGTCACTTATAAACCTTTAGAGGATTACTTGGATCAATGCTTTGGTTCATTTGAAATTTTGAACAATTCATTCACAGTACGAAGAACCACTCATTTATCATCATCTTCCCCCAACATCAATTTTGCAGAAGTTGGAGATTGTTATAAGCTGGTCATGTCATTGCCAACTACAAGACCTTTTTTAAAGCTATTGAACTCGGCTATAGAACTATTGAATAGACCAGGGAAATCTCTGACCAAGCCTGAGGATCTCAAATGGTTATTGATACTTTGGGAGCTTCCAACTTTACGTGAATCACTATATTATCACAAAAAGTCAGTATCTAGATTAGATACACCTGCAATTAGATCTTTATCGTATCAAATAATTAAGAAGGTGATTGGATATCTTTCAAACTCTGATCGGTCCAGTTTGAAATATTTGTCTTCTTGGATCAACCACACTTCAAATCAAGATTATTTCAGTAGTAAAGTTGAATTGCTCAATTTGTACATCACATTCCATTTAACAAGGCTTCTCAATAAGTGTCAAAATTCAGCAAATACAAAACCACCATATGCATCATCCCTTAGGATTTCAAGCTCGCCAACGAGTCCTGTATACTCTGAGTATAATGAATCAGCAAAATTGAATGGTACAGCTTCAACACCATCATCTAGCACGAGGAGATCTTCATACAATAATAACTCTACGGTAAGGTCAAACAGCTCATCTGGTGCAAACAATTCTTTCCATTTACCTTTAACATTTCAAAATGGATTGATGTCCAGTTGGAGTGAGCCAAAGCCAACTAATAAGGATGATAAACCATTTGAGTTTAAGTTAAAACCTCTTCATTACGGGAATGAATGGCACATTAAAACAGCAGCAAGATTATTGTCTGTGTTTTTTGTTGCAAACAAGCGCAAGTTGCCAGTTTATTCCTTTTATAATTCATTGGTGGATTCTGTTAATGTTAAACAGGATTTTGAAGCCTGGCAATCAATGTTCAAAACATCTAGAAACGGGGGCGCCAACAAATTATTTTTTGATCTTTCAGGTTTGACAAGTAACAATAAATCTTCACTAACATTTTGTCAATTTCCATTCTTATTATCTCTAGGTGCTAAAATTTCCATATTGGAGTATGAAGCTAAAAGAACCATGGAACGTAAAGCGGAAGAAGCATTTATTAGGGCCTTGGATAAAAAGAAAGCTATGGATGTCCATTTAAGAATAGATGTTAGAAGAACACATATATCAAATGATTCTTTACGTTGTATCAAGGAACAAGCTGGTGATTTGCAAAAAGCTTTAAAAGTTCATTTTGTTGGGGAACCAGGTGTTGATGTTGGTGGGTTGAAGAAAGAATGGTTTTCTTTGTTGACGGCTGAAATTTTCTCTCAAGAAAATGGAATGTTTGAATATAATGATGAATCTCATTTATGTTGGTTTGCTGCTATGCCTCTTGAAAGAAATGACGAGCTATATTATATGGTTGGTGTTGTGCTAGGCTTAGCGATGTATAACTCCACAATTTTGGACTTGAGATTCCCCTTGGCCTTGTATAAGAAACTATTGGGTAAAAAAGTTGATTTAGATGATTATAGTGAGTTGTTCCCTCAAACTGGATTAGGATTATCAAAATTGCTTGCAACTAAAGAAGATGTTTCAGATTATGGACTCTATTTTGAAACCACCTATAAAGATTTACTCGGTAATCCAATCACAAAAGAGTTGGTTCCTAATGGATCTAAAATTCCAGTTAATCTGTTGAATCGTCATGAATATGTTGGTAAGTGGGTGAACTTTTATATGAATGAATCTATTAAAGCACAATTTGATAGTTTCCATACAGGATTCCATAGTGTGATTGGAGGTAATGCATTATCATTATTTGCACCAAAAGAGATTGAAATGATTATATGTGGTGATAACCTCAATGATAGCAAGTTGGATGTTGAATCGTTTAGATCAATAACGAAATATAATGGATGGGCATCACCAACAGATGCAAATGAATCAAATATAGTTTCATGGTTTTGGGAATGGTTTGGTCGGCTGAGCAACTCCCAACATAAAAAATTCCTACAATTTGTGACAGGTTCAGACCGTATACCTGCAACTGGTATTCATACAATGCAATTCAAAATCACTAGGATGCCATATTATGGACCACACAACGCCATTAGATTCCCTGTTGCGCACACCTGTTTCAATGAGCTATGTCTCTATGAATACCGTAGTAAAGATGAGCTCTATCACAAATTGAACTGGGCCATCAACGAGAGCAGAGGGTTTGGAATAAGATGAGTTTGAACTTCTTGTAACTTTTGTATGTAGAATCCCAGTGCCCTATAACACCTTCCCTTTTAGGAGTATTACCGCTTTTGGACACAAGCCAATCAGCGGCGTGTAAAAACCGATTTTGCAGAGTGTTGCTGCGCCAACCGGAAACAGAGCCAATCAAATCGCCGTTGTTTTTAATTTGGTTTTTTTTTTTTTGCAAGCGTAGAGCCAAAGAAAAATAGTGAATTTGTTGGAAAGAAACAATCTAGTTGAAGTTTTCAATCATCTTCAACTTCTAGTCAGTTTAACCACCAACGAAGAGGATTTCACATAAATATTCATAGTTCAGGATGCTTTCTTTAAGATCTGCTTTGCGTAACACCTGTTCTTTAAGAACTTTAGGTATGTGAACAATGAAACTTATTGGCAAATGAAGTAATGAAAGCAAATAATGAGGAATATATAAGCAAGTTTAATTGGAATCATACAATGATTGGTATCAAAACGGAATGGATATCATGAATAACATCTTTATTATGGTCAATTGAAGAAATTTTCCCAAGAAATTATTTGTTTTCATTGCTTCTTTTACAATGGATCCCAAATCACAATTATACTAACTATTGTTTTAGGTACCCAATCAAGATTATTATCTTCAACTTCATTACAAAACAAATCTACCTACCGTACTCCAGACTTTGGTGATTATGTTAAACCACAAGGTACTGATGACAAAGGTCGTGTTTTCACCTATTTCACAGTTGGTTCATTAGGTTTATTATCAGCTGCTGGTGCCAAATCCACCGTTGAAGCTTTCTTAACCACAATGTCTGCCTCTGCTGATGTTTTAGCCATGGCTAAAGTTGAAGTCGGTTTAGCTGCTATTCCAGAAGGTAAAAACGTTGTTGTTAAATGGCAAGGTAAACCAGTCTTCATCCGTCACAGAACTCAATCAGAAATTGATGAAGCTAACAAGGTTGATATTTCAGCTTTAAGAGATCCACAAAATGATTCAGACCGTGTTCAAAACCCAGAATGGTTAATCATGTTGGGTATCTGTACCCATTTAGGTTGTGTTCCTATTGGTGAAGCTGGTGATTTCGGTGGTTGGTTCTGTCCTTGTCACGGTTCCCATTATGATATCTCTGGTAGAATTAGAAAAGGTCCAGCTCCATTAAACTTGGAAATCCCACAATATCAATTCGATGGTGATAACTTGGTTATCGGTTAGATTTCTTAATGATTATAAAACAAAAAGATTTTAATGTAATTTAGGGGGAGAGAAGGTGAGGTGAAAAGAAAAAGGATAGTATTTTTTGAAATATTATAATTTAAACATTCAGATAATATCAAATATCATAGAATTTATGAACAACAACAAAACATATTTTTTTATTCAGTTTACTATTTATCAATTTTTGGAAACAATTTTTTTTTATTATTCATCAAAGGGAAGAAGGGAAAATATTTCATTAGATCAAAAAAACAAAGCAGATGAATGTTTGGGAGAGTTTCAAAAGAGAAGAGAATGAGAATTGTCACAAAATAATTTGTAAATAGTACACGTCCATTATTGCATAAACATCCAGCTGGTTTTTTTTATTATTTTGAATTATATTTTTTTCATATATTTTGGTAACTAGACTGAATAAATATATACTCATTTTTTGATGATTTCACCTTTGTCAACGTAGCAAGTCACATGTATCCCAACTCTCTCATGATGGGGTTTAAATCATCTGGAACTTGTTTCCAGTGTTCTGAATCCCACTGTTTGAATAACAGTCTTGTTTCCATAATCAACTTTTTAATAAGATCACTTGTGTGATCATCAAATGCACTTGAAACATCAAATTCCATTAATTCATCACGAGATTCAGAATCGTTATGATTTGAACGTCTCTCATTCAAAATATTTTCAACATATTCAGGTAGATTTCTTGGAAGATAATCATAACATAATTTCATTCTCCAATACACACTCCAATGTAATTTTGAGTATTGAGGTACAGATCTTGGTCTTCCTAAATTTGGGACATACACGTTTCTCCATTTATCATCTTCATCTTCAATCTTGGTACCTATTGGTAGAAATTCAACTATCCACCAACCTAAAACGTTCCAAATTGATGAATTACCACGACCGTCATAACCTTGAATAGGACTACTTGGGACCTCATTATACTCTGTAAAGATGTCTTGAATCTTATGAGCATTTAACTCATTGGAATGGAGATCAAACTTGATTTTTTTCAAACTATTGAGATAAACACCATTGGTCAACAATTGTTCAAAAGAAGCTTGGTCACTGATAACTTCACAGGATCTAAAATCAGGAATATAAGCTTTATTGAAAGTAGCCTTTGATAACTCTAAAACAGTTTCTCTCTCAGCTTGTGAAATTTCATGAGTTAGTTCACCTTTATAAAATGATAGCATATCATGATTACAAGATAGCATTGAATCCAAAGATGAAAACCTGTTTGCAAAGTTAACCAATCTTTCCCTTTGGAAAATAACACCTACTCTAAGAGCCTCCCCAAACATCCATCTCAATGGAATGTGAGATAGGAAATGACCATTGACATCTGAAGCCCAACCACCACCAATATCACCATGATTACCAGCAAACCAAACTTCTTTATATTCACCAGTGATCAATTTTTGTTTATCTGAACTTGAACCAAAAGTTGAAAAGCTGGCTTGATGATCAGTTCCATTGGTATTGTTATTATTGGTTTCGACTCTTTTCAGTCTGCTTCTAATTGACATTCTTGAGGTTTCTTTCAATTTTTGTTCAATATCCTTCATCAACTTTTGAGCATCATTCAATTTCTTTTGAGATTTCTCACCAAAGTGTTCTAATAATATTGAGCTGATTGAGCTTGACACTGAAGTTTTAGTTGATGAGCCGGCGTTTGTAACTTTTCTTGAAGAATTACCACTGGATTGTTCAGTTGAAGTCAATGAAAAAAATGAAGGTTTGTATGAAAAGGGAAATATTAAATTTTGTCTATATTTACCACGGCGTTCGTCAAGACTAACTGCATGACTTAAGTTCTTGATCAACCCAGATTTTGTAGATAATGGGAAAAGTCTATCCCTTAAAAGTCCAACTGAATTGACACAATCAAACATACCAACAAATTCAATTCTTGGAGTGTCCACTCTTGAAAATGTTTTCTTATATTCATCAATTAAAGTGGTGGTGTAATCAGGTTGACTAGGTTGAGCAGCGTATTCCCAAGCACTGTAGATTGACCAAGCACTTTCAGCCATTTCCTCCAATCCAGCATTTAACAAACCAACTCGATCAATCATTGAACTTAAAACCCTTGCAATGAAAGCGCCACGACTAAAAAAGGTGTTAGATCTTATAGCACAGCTGAAGTTAAACTATGGTTTCAGTTACCTAAACCCAAACAAATAAATCTTATCCCCATTTTGGTAAAACCTCATCAAATACTTATAAGCATCGATGATATGTTGGTCTAAAGAAAAGGCAATCAGAGAATCAAGGTTATCAGATAAACTTTGCTTTGAAAGATACCTCTCAAACATAGATTCAGATTCAACAGACATTGAAGCGCCTATACCTGGCTGGTAGTAGCAGATTTGAGATTCTGGGTCATCTTTCTCTAGCATTCTAAACAACTTTAACAAGTTTGTGTAAGGAGAAGGACCAAACTTGTTATGGGTACCATCAAAGCATAGAACAATATTCTTTCCCTTCTTCAAATCACCAGTTCTGATACCATCTGACGAAGCGCTCTGTGACACGTCCTCTTCATCAACAATAACACTCTTCAATTTATGGTTCAGTAGTTCCTTCACTGACATATTAAACAAAAGATCTCTCAAGTAACCGCCAGTGTAAAATAGAAACCTTTAAGTCACCCAATAAAGCCAGCTCTTAATACCTTTTTTTGTGTTTACGACAAAGCGCTCTGTTGATACCACCAGCTAAAGACTTCATCTCTGTTCTTGGGGATTCCATTTCTTTTTAAATCCACAATATTTTGTACCAACTTTTGTAACTTCTTTTTGAGCTTCCAAAAAGAATCATCACCACTGCAGAGCAGAAATCCGCCTTGAGCCGTGTGCCATTAACATACGAACAACACGCATTAAACCTTTAAAATTCCAGATGTTAAGTGTCAAGTTGTTTTGTGATTGTGTCCAAAATGCATCAAAAAACATCAGCGTGAATGTCCGTGTAGAAGGATGTTCCAAGGGAAACAATAAGCAATAGCATCAGGATCCTAAGGACTCAATTCAGTATAATATTATGATTCATTGGGCTTTCCTTTACTCTCTTTAATCAAGTCTTTATGTTGAGGTTTGGAGCTCATTGGGCGCTTCAATTCGCGAATTTGTTTGTAGCTAATAACACGTTGCATTTTGGCAGAATTTGCTTATGTAATTTTGGCACTTGAATTTTTTTTTCAAAAGAACGATAGATATTGAGAGATGAGCATGGAATCTATATCACGTACTTCCGTTATCTTAAGAGCTTATAATCAAGATGTCAAAAGAATTCCAAAAACCTAAGAGATATGTTCCTGGTCCTGGTGAACCGGAGCTTCCCCCTCAACTAGCACAACTTTCTCACAAATCAGTTGACGATGTTATGGAAGAATTGAATAGATCACCATTCTTCATGACAAAACTAGATGAATCTGATGGTTCTGGTGGTCAAAATATGGAATTGGAAGCATTGAAAGCATTAGCATATGATGGGGAACCGATTGAAATTGCTGAAAATTTCAAAAATCAAGGTAATGATCAATTCAAAATCAAACAATATAAAAATGCAATTGAATATTATAATAAAGCCATTGCAGTTGATGTTGATGATAAAAAAATAATGAGCTCGTTATATTTAAACAGGGCTGCTTGTAATTTAGAATTAAAAAATTATAGAAAATGTATCAATGATTGTATTGAAGGTTTGAAATTTGATCCAAAAAATGTTAAAGCATATTATAGAATGGCTAAGGCATTTTTCACTATTGATAAAATAGATGAAGCATTATCTGCATTGGAATTCAGTCTTGGTTTAGATCCAACAAACGCAGCATCAAAGGCATTAATGACCAAAATCCAAAACAAAAAACATGAATTAGAAACAATAGAAGCCAAAAAGGAAGCTGAAAGATTACATAAAGAAATCTTACAAGACAAATTAAATACAGCAATAAAGGGAAGAAACTATACAATAATAAAAACACCTCGCCCTGCTGAAATGTTAACAGATGCAAAACTATCACTGGAAGACCCAGAAGATATAGAATCTCAATTAATTTTCCCTGCAATGATAATGTATCCAACAACTGATGAGTTTGATTTTGTTGCAAGTGTTAGTGAACTAACAACACCTTGGGAATTGATGGAATTAGTGTTGCAAAGACCTCAAGAATGGTTCCAAGATCCAAAACATGAAAATTTCACTCCAAAGAAATTAGATGCTTATATGGAGACCGAATCCGGTGGGTTAATTAAAGTTGGTAAGAAGGCTTCATTGCATAAGGCCTTGAGTACTGAAAAACCAAAAATCCCACTATTCGATAACGCGTTAAGAATTTATCTAGTGCCTAGAATAGATGCTGAAAATTGGTTATCTACATGGGATAAAGAAATTACATTAAAGAAAAGAACAGAATTGAGTGTATAGGTATCACATAAACTTCATTTCATTTCTTATATGTCTATTGTAGTTTGTAATTTTCAATCTCTTGAATTGTTAAACCATCTTTGCCTGACCATTGTGCACTTGATCCTCTACCTCTAAATCTTGATAATCTTGAATTTTTGAAGATATCTTCCATATGCAAAGGCGCCATTGGTCCAAAAACTTGATCAGGATCAATATGCTGTTGATTTATCAAAATATTTCTTAATTCTGGTGAGTTGGCCCAATCTTTCAAAACACTGCCTTCTTCATCATCGTCAGACTCTGAAAAAATCTCTGGCAAAACTGTGGTGGCCTTTGGTGTGACTGGTGTAATAGATGAAGAACTTTTGCCCAATGACCCATTTTGGAAAGCGTTGCCTTTGGAGTTATCATTGTTCATTCTGGCATGTTGTAGTACAGCAGTCTTCATCAAGGTTTGGGTATTCGGTACCTGCTTTGGATGCTTATTAATGGTCTGGGGTATCACTCTAGCAGCTGGTTGTGGTGGTTGTGCTTGTACAATTTGTGGAGTTGGTGGTTTGGAAATTTCATTCGATTCATTTGTAGTTTCTTCTTCAAATTTTTGATCTATTGTTGGGTGGTCATGACGAGTATTGGACACTCTTGAAGCTCTTTTCTGTAAAACACTCTGCAGCTGATCAGCAGTACGACGACGTTTGGCATCTTGTTGTTGCTTGGATTGAGCTATTGATGGAGGTACAATCTTTGTTCCAATTTTTCTATAAGGCTGATGTGCAGTAGATGTGTTTTTGATCTCTTCTTCAGTTTGAGTTTTGCGCTTCAGTGGTTGATGTTCTCCAGAAACAAGCGATTTAGGACGGAACCTATTCAAATTCTTGGATGATTGTTCCAACGGCATTGACGCTAGTCCACCTTTTGCAGCTGATTTTCTTGATTGATTATTTTCCTTAATGTTGTTTTCAGATTTTTGGGGTTTACTCAAAGACATTCTTGTTAAACTTTTTGGTTGACCAGATGCAAACTTAACGCCCTGTGACTTTCTAGTGCCTTCTTTTTTCTCCTGTTCATCATCTTTAAATTCATCATTAAGTTGTTTCTTAGGAGAATGATTCATCTTCTTTTTTGAAGGTGAATTATTGACCGATTTATTCATCTCCAATCTCAGTGAGCCATAAATACTCTTAACTGGTGAAAACTTCAAGCTGGAGCGTTCATTGTTGTTTTTGGTTGGACTTTCAGCAACAGTATTCGAAGTACCACTTATAACTCTTTTAGCACTTTTGGCTTGACTTGCTTCTGTTGGAGCTGTTAGTCTAGATAAAACGTCTTCATTATTGGACACGATTCTCTTTGATGGCGATTCAGATACCAATTTAGGACTTGTCGAACTTGATTTTCTTGGTTTATGAACTTTACTTTTTTGATCAACTTTCAATTGTCCAGCATCTTGATCTCTTGTAAATTTATTTCTTGCTTTACGCAAAGTTGAACCGACAGTAGCAAAAAGATTGGATAGCGGCGAATTTGTTGACTGTTTCCCAATGTCTAAGACTTTTTCCTTTGGTGGACTATAGGCAAGTGGTGGTTTTGATTGAGTCAATGTATCATTAAGTGGGCGTTTACCAACAGGAATCTTAGATGGTGATGCTTGATGATGAGCTTCAGTTGATTTAAGGTCTCTCTGGGGAGAAATTTCTTTTGGAGCGTCTGGTTCATTTTGAAAGTTCATTTCCGGATATAACGAAGGCTTGAAGATTAAAGGTGATAGTTTTGTTGAAGGGCTATTGTTTTCTTCCTCAGCATGATTTGGTTGGTATTCTGTATCTTCGATTGACTTCTTTTTGGCTGATTTGACAGTCAGTGGATCTCTATGAGGTAACAAGGCAAAACCTTGACTTTGTCTATTACGCGAAGGTGTATTGGACTCTGTATCTTTTGGACCATCATTTAAAGAGACCTTGATTGTTGTGTTTGAGCTTTTGGTTATATGTGAAGAATCGATTGACCCTTGGTTCACAACCAATGATGATTGCTGAGGACCCTCTTCTTGTGCATCTTTGAACGAGCTTTCTGTGTTGGCAGATGTTTCTTCTGATGCCTTGCTTTTACTCAAAATACTTCTTCTAATGGATTTTCTGATGGCTTGAAATGAAATGTCTTCCATAGAAGCATCATAATCACCATCATCTTCGCCTTCTTCCTCGTTAAGTTTGCTCTTGAGGTCCATTTTAGTTGGTTGTGAAGACACTGCAGATTCTGGGGTATCAAGGGGTTTTTCCTCTGGGTCTTCCACCTTGGCATCTTGTTGCTGCTTCGGTTCCTGGATTTTCAATTCATTAGAATTAGGGGTTGAAGAATGTTTGATAGGTGTGCTTTCATGTAAACTTTCCATAGAAAGACTTGATTTGTTGGATGACCTTGTGCTAGATTTATGCACTTGTGGTTCTTTGACAGCATCTAAGAAGGGACTTTGAGTGGATTTTAACAACGAGGAGGATTTGGTAGCTAGCAGTGGTATTGGTTTAACTGGTGATTTTATTTTATGAATTGTTCTATTTCCATAAGTTGATTGGTTCTTGCTTGGACTATCCAACAACTCGTAATCTTTATTGAATTTTATAGGTGACAGTTTAACAACGTTGGTATCAACCTCTTTCAATGGTGACTTCAGGGCCAAAGCATGGTCTCTTAATTGTTTTACTGGTGAATCCTTACCTCTCAGCTTAGAGGGCGATTCTAACAACAATTTGGGATTTCTATCAAATGTTAGTATGGAAACCTCCTTGATACATCCATTATATACATACTTTTCTGTAGCATTTAAAATCTCTTCCATTTGTTCGTCAATCCATGTGAACTCAGAGGCAACTGAATATGCAAATTGCTCAACATCATTAGCTATCAAATCATGAAGTGTAAACAGCTCATTCCTAATCCACTTGGAAGAACCTGGAATCTCATCTTTCTTTTTAGCAGCACTTATACTCCAAAGTGACATTTTTTGCGCTGTTATTCAATGTTATCCCTTTACAATGTTCACGTTTTAAGCATTTGTTTTTCCTTCTACATCATTTTTCCACAAACCAAAACATCAAAAAAAATAATGGTTTCTCGGGTTACGCGAAATCAAAACAAACAAAACGAATTCGCGAAAACTACTTGTAAAGTGTAAAAATGGAAACTATACTTCACATTAAAGTAGACCTAGCTCCTATTTCATTACTAGATGTTCCATCAGGCATATTTCCATCTCTTCCTGAAACAAATTGGTTATAAATTGAGCCCAGTTTCAACTTTTCAGATACTGAAATACTCGGTTTTGTATCTTTTAAAGAGGTGAGGAAATCGCTATTTTTGATCACGACGCCATTATCTTTCTTTTCTGATTTCTTTGTCTCTTGTTCCGATTCTTGTTTTTCTTTTTCAATGTTCTCCAGTAGGGGTTCGATTTGACGAAGAAGTTTAGTTCTTTCATGTGGTTTCATATCATGGTTTTGTTTAGCTTGTTTCAAAGACAATTGAACAAATTCATGAACGTTTTGATTTGAAGATTTAACTTCTCCTTCACTTTCCAATTTATCTTTCTCTAATTTTTCATGAACAGCTTGTAAATAAGCATTGTAACCAACAGCTTGTAAATCGGCGCCTGAGAATCCTTGTGTTTGAGTAGCAACTTCATTTAGATCGACATCAGGGCCCAAGTTCATCTTTCTTGTGATTGATTTAAGTATATCCAACCTATCTTCATGATTAGGCATATCACAAATAACACTCTTATCCAATCTTCCTGGACGTAATAATGCAGAATCAATCAAGTCAGGTCTACTTGTAGCAGCAAGGACATAAACCCCATCTAAACCTTCGGCACCATCCATTTGAGTCAACATTTGATTGACAACTCTATCAGTAACACCGGTGGAATCATGACCTCTCTTTGGAGCAATTGAATCAAATTCATCAAAGAACAGGATGCAAGGTTTTGCAGCTTGTGCTCTTTCGAACAACTCCCTAACAGATTGTTCACTTGCACCAATATATTTGTTTAAAATCTCAGGACCTTTGACCGATATGAAGTTTAGTCCACATTGACCAGCAACTGCAGAGGCAAGTAAAGTTTTACCACAACCTGGATACCCATATAATAAGATCCCTGATCTTAAACGCAAAGTGGCAGATTTGAAAATAGGCGCATATTTAGTTGGCCATTCTAAAGTTTCCAACAATATGGATTTTGCCTCTGTTAACCCACCAATATCAATCCAGCTTGTTGTAGATTTTTGTAGTTTAACACCTCTCAGATTTGAAGGAACATATCCAGAAATAGCTTTTGTAAATAATTCATTTGAAACTATTTTAGTTGGTTCGATCTCACCTTTTTCAATTGAAGAATAAATGGATTCATGATTGATTCTATCAACAAGAACTTTCAAATCACTAGGCAAATAACCTTCAGTTTCTAATGATAATTGTGATGCGTCAAATTCTGTTGAAAGAGATAAATTATCTTTTTTCAAAAATTCCTCAATCAACAATTGTCTAACCCCTTTATTTGGAGCTCTTAAGTTGAACGAATCTTCAATGCAATGACTTGAGAAGAGAAAGCTGTTGACAGCTTCTTTTGATCTTGCAGTTGCCAAAATTATCAAATTTTTCGACTTCATTATTGATTCCACAGTTTGAACAAAGTATTCGGTCAATTGTCTAGTTTGACCATTATCAGCATTTTCACTTTCAGCAGGAAATAAAGATTCAATACCTTCGAGAACCAACACACTAGGTGTATACCAAGCACATTTTGTTAACCAAGCAGAGATTTTATCTTTAATGTTTGAAGATGACTCTTTTGAAAAATCTGAGCATTGGACATGTAGTCTAAACACACCATCATTGTATAATCTTTGTGCAATTTCATTGACTATCAATGATTTACCAGAACCGGAAGCACCAAAGATCAATGCACCAATTTTTCTTCTTTTCAAAACTTTTTCAATCTTTTTAATGAGATCATCTTGACCTAAAGGTTTCTCAATTGGTTCATTTGAAACATCTTGTTCGATCTTAGGTGGTATTTGAGATTCCGGAATGACAATTTCATCACCAATATCTATATTCAATCTAGTATTCTTCAAAGACATTATCCATTCTGACTTTGTTCCTTTGAATTGTAAAACACCACCCTGTGGAAGACCATCCATACTAGGTAGTCTAACTTTATTAGTAAGACAAGTTTCAATATGAGTTTCAGGATTGAAAAATCCTTCAGAAAGTTCCTCCTTCATTTCAGTTATCTTTTTTTGTCTTTCTTCTTTTTCCTTCTTAGCTTTGGCATCGCTTAGTGAAAGCTGGTCAGTTGATACAGGAGCAGATACTGTTGTGAATGGATGAATAACAAACTCTAGTTTTCTTTCGATTGATACATTAACTGCTGGTTCTAATTGGACCATATCACCAACTTGGTCGGTTACACCTAATGCAATAGCTAATAATCGCGATAATCCAACGTGATTATGAACTTTTGGATCATGAACTAATTTTGCAATAACAGTCGTAGATGCAGGTTCGCCAGATCCCTGTGGTGAAGGTTCATGAGGCTTCTTACCAGGTCCAGGCATAATGGAAACTCGAACATATTCAGCCTTGTGTAATGTATAGATGATCTCATCAAAATTTGCATAAACTTCATATTTATTCTTTTCTTTATAGCTTTGGAAAAAACTATGCGGTAATGAAATTCCTCTCAGTAAAACAGATGCGGAACTTTCACGAGCTCTTCTTGATTTTGAACTTGATCTTGAACTAACTGACCTTGTTTTCTTTTTCTTTCTCTCTTTGGGTGCGATTATCACTTCGGCATTTGGACTAATTTTGGCGTATTTGGCTTTTGGCTCAGGTTCTAACTTCTTGACAACTAAGTTTGCAGTCACTGATCCTGTAGGATACAATACTAATGGGGCATCAATTTGAACAGCTCTGGTTTGAGATAATAGATGGTCTTCTAAAGCTCTGGCATGAAGCTCGATTGTTTCCCAATCCGAAGATGATAATGGATCAACATGCACTTTGTTGACTTCTTCATACTCTGTGATCACAGCTACTTTCACCCTGTTCGTTTCACTCAATTCATTAACATTTGCCAGCGCAGGATCAATTTCAATTGTGTTACCTGAGGTTGTATAACCAGACCAGCCGGTATAAAATACTTTGGCGACACCACCTCTGAAGAAACTGATCTTTATAAGCACATTCTGAGCAGGCTGTTGGTGGGTTAATATAGATTTTCTCACAGAGACAGATTACAACATACCAAGTTCAGATTGTACAACGTCGACCCCAGGTCTGCTGGCAGGTTGATCAAATTGGTTTTCAGCGGCACCAGCGACACCGTAACACCATTAGCCTCCATTATCAATGCTTTTCCTCTCTGGAGATGGCTTTTCACAAGTCCAATGCCTCTTTTGCCCTTGTTGATGAATTGGAACAAGACGATGATATGAGTCGAAGCTGTTTTTTTCTTGATCGCGGGGGTCGGCTAGAAGAGAAAAAAAAGTGTAGCCAAAAGAATCCAAAACAACTTCAGCAAAATCATCACCAAAAGATCAAAATGACATTGCAATACATTATTTGTATGAACAGACAGGGCAAAGTGCGGTTGGCGAAATGGTATGCTGACTATTCAGTGAGTTTAAGGGTTGTAGGAAGAAGAATCAGTTCAAAAACTAACACATATGAACTAGAATGAAGAAAAATACAGACTTAATGCTGATGTTCACAAATTGATCTCTTCAAGAGACCAGAAGCACCAGAGTAACTTTGTGGAGTTCCAAAATAATAAGCTGGTATATAAGAGATATGCTGGATTATATTTCATAGCTGGTATTGATCTACTGGATAATGAACTGATATACCTGTCATCTATACACTTGTTTGTTGAAGTGCTGGATTCTTATTTTGAAAACGTTTGTGAATTGGACTTGGTGTTTAATTTCTACAAGATTTATTCAGTTCTAGACGAGATGTTCTTAGCTGGAGAAATACAGGAGACGTCCAAGACGGTTATTTTGAATAGGTTACAACATGTTGATGCCCTTGAATGAATAGATTTATATACACACGAGAACAAATTATGCAAATGCTATCTTGTAACCTTCTTAAAACACGCCAATCTCATCGCCAAATTCCACATTCAATACTTTTTCATTCATGATGGCCCATATCTCACTTTCAACTTGTTCAATGTTTTTACCATCAACAACTATAGTTTCCCAATTAGGTTCATTAAAGAACAATTCAAATTGATGCTTCACTTTTAGTTGGAATTCTTTAACTTCATATCTCTCATCACCAAAACCTGAACGATCACTACTGTCATTTAAATTCAAAAATATGGTTAGATCAGGTTTAGGCAAACCAATATCTGGGTTCAACGACCATTGTCTGTCTAAGCCTTTAGCAGCAGTATATGCAACACCTGAATAAACATATCTATCCAACACCAAAGTCTTGCCTTCTCTCAGTTTAGATTTGATTGAGTTTGCAAGTTCCCATCTATTTGCAGAGAATAACAAATGTGCAGATTCATCAGATAATTCAAACGACTTATCAACTAGGTATGAGTTTATAAGTTTACCAATTGGTGTACTTCTATCTATACATAAGAGTTAGTTTCAACAATATTCAAGATCAAAATAATTAAAGGGACATACCTGGAAATTTTAACAATTCAACATCGCGTCCATTTGATCTCAATTTATCAACTAGTCGTCCTGTTTGTGTGGTCTTCCCGGCTCTATCCAGACCTTCTATCAATATTAAAGCACCTCTACCCATTTCAAGATTAACCAGTAGTAAATCAAAAAAGAGCAAACTCCAAAAGTAATTCAATAAACCATTTCACGTCTAGTCTAACTTCATCTACTTTGACGCGTTTTTTCATTGATGATTACGTAATCAACGGAAAATCATAAGCCTCCAAACACCATTTTCGCTCGTCCTCACCTCTCGGTAGCCAAGTTGGTTTAAGGCGCAAGACTGTAATGGTTTAACAAGACATCTTGAGATCGGGCGTTCGACTCGCCCCCGGGAGAATCATTTTTTTTGCCAAATTTTTACCGCATTTTTACACAATAGAGTGCTCCCAGGTCTTTTTTTAACCTACTACTGTGATCTATGAAGTTTTCTGATTATATTCATGGTATTAAAGTTTGTTTTTTATTAGTTGTGGAGTAAGTATTTTGTCAAATCTTTGTATCCGACAATTGCATCTCTCAATTCTCCGATCGTGACAAATTCATTAGCTGAATGTGCAACTTGAATAGTACCTGGTCCATACAGGTATCTAGATTTGAAACTTCTTTGTAAATTAGGGACATCGGTGAAATAAGCCAACACTGTGCTTTCAAATCCTGGGACAGTGAAGTTTAAATATTCAGGTTCATTTAATTGTTCTGGAAACAATTCAACGTTATGATATTCTTCATTTTCACTCTTGATAATCTCATCAATGATTTCACTAACCTTTGCAGCATCATTGGAAACTCTTATCAAGATTTTAGCCTTTGCAATTGGTGAAACAACATTACCAGCAACACCTGCATCAATTAATCCAGGGTTTATTGTTGAATTACCTAATAATTCATCAGTTGGTAAATCAGCATGAACGATTCTATGTAAAACATCAATCAATTTCTTATTAGCATCAATACCTAGATGTGGATACCCAGAATGTGAAGCCTTACCAGTAACTTTTAAATCAAAATGATAAACACCTTTATGGCCAATACCTAACTTACCTTCAGTTGGTTCACCAAAGATAACATGATCCCAATTAGCATCCAAATGATCATTAGCATATCTCATACCAACCCCATTATATTCTTCACCAACAACAAATAATAAAGCTACATCACCATTTTGAATTTCCCCATTCTCATAAAGTTCCAAAGTTGATAAGATTTGTGTAGCAACTGAAGCTTTTGCATCGACTGAACCTCTTCCGAAAATCTTATCGCCCTTGACGGTATAAGGGAAATATGGTGGGACTGTATCGATATGAGTTGTTAATAGGACTTTTGCATCTTTTTTAGAACCAAAATAGGCATAAACGTTTTGTCTGTTAGGTTCAACTTGTTGTAATTCAACAGTTAATCCCGATGATGTTAGATATTTTTGTAGAAAATCAGCAACTTCAAGTTCTAAGAGTTATTAGTATTGTACGGATGATAATTATTGAAAAAGACTTACCACCACCGGTGACTGAATTGATTTCCACTAAATATTTATGAAGGCTTAATAGTTTATCTTGAGAGTTTTGAAATTGGATGAATCCAGTAGTCAATTGATTTGGTAATTCGATCAAGTTTTGAAGAATTGAGGCACCAAGAGTGATTGAAACGAGTGAGAGTGTAGCTAAATGGAACTTCATCTTTAATGATAAGTGAATGAATTGAAGTGTATACTTTTGAACTTGGTTTAAAATGAGTCAATTAAAGCTGCTTTTTTTTCGAGGAGGTATTTTTTTTAAAACTATGGCGCTCTAAATCTTTATTTGGACTCATCGCCGATAAGAGAGCGGCGATATCCTCTTGACACGTTACGAGGTGACAGTCTAGTAATGTGTAGAACGTGAATTTATTAAAAGGATTTATAATTTTGTGGGTACGAAGTCCAATCCTAAATATTTAAAGACAGGAGGACAGCCTAGAATAACCACTATTGGGATACCAGCATAAACAATTAACCTAACAATGATTTCAATGTCATATCTTGGTTTGAAAGCACCACATGTGAAAATAACATTAGTTTCATGGAGTTTATCCAATTCTGCAAAATAGTTTTGATGCTTTTGTAGTTCTTCAATTTCTGTTCTGTCGATTGATGACATTGGCCCCACTGAATCTCTTTTTCTTGGATTCCCAATATCTTTAATTAAACCTTTTGCATCTGTTAATTTTTCTTTTCTTTCCAAAGTGTCACTTCTAATTCTATTAAAAGTTAAACTTTCTTTATCATTTGTCACTATTAAATCATAGAAAGGTTTGAAAATCTTGAATAATAAAGGCTTTGAAATTTCCTTCCATGTAACAACTAATGAAACACCAACAAAAATCCTCAACAAGACTTTTAAAATTCCAGAATGAGCAAATGAAAAAGGAATATCAAGCGGGTCAACACCATAAGTATGATCCAAACTGTAGGAAGTTTTAATATATCCCCAATGAGAGATTTCCAATCCCATGATAACTCCAATAAAAGCCACTGAATCATCATAACAAGGACAATCATCAACAGGTGAAACATGGATATAAATTAAAAAATAATTAACCAATGTAGTGCAGATTGGTATCAATATTGATTTTTGTAAAATTAAAGAATCATACCATTCTTGAGTTAAAGTTCTAACAACAAGACATATACAGCCGATTAATGAACCAACAATAATATCTGAAAACCCATGCATACCACAATAAATTCTTCCAATGATTAAAGAAATATAATAAATAGCTAAAACAAACAACAAAATGTTTGGTGTTAAGCTTGATTGGAAATTGTTATAATTTTCCAATAATTTTTTCAAAAGAAATAATGAAACAGCAGTAGCATTAGCAGAATGGGAAGAAGGGAACCCATATTCCTTAGCAGTATATCCAGATAATGTGATTCTATGTAATGGAGGAGATCTTGGTCTTGGTAAACAACAAAAATCTTTCAAAAACCCTGTGAAATATATCCCATATCCAATAATGAAGACTAAATCTCTACCAACTTGTCCATAACCTAACCAAATAGGTAATGGTAACATTAAAACATAAAAAGTGTGTGATGCGAAATTTGCAGTATATGAGAAGTAATAATCAAAGAATGAATTTCTTGAATTTTTTTGAATCTTAGCCAAGATTGGAGTTTCAGCTCTTATATATGGTAATAAGAACTGTCTAAATTTAAATCTTAATGGATGGATTTTAGTTTTATAATGGATATGAGGATAGTTCCCTGAATCTGCGTATTCGTGTTTTGTTTCAAAATCATTTAGATGGGCAAATTTATCTTGAGTTTTAGAAAGTGTTGATTGATTTGAATTCTTAGTATTGATCTCATCACTATCTTGTTCACTAAACTCCCTCTCAGTAGGGAAAGCAGTTGAAGATGTTGTTGATGCTATATGCGATTGTTGTGGAGATATTTGGTGATCATCCTCCATAGTTCTTGATGGGGATGCTAAAGTCATCTGAACAATAGGGAAATGGTGTTGTTGTTGTTGTTGTTGTTGATGGTGTACTTTTTTTGGTTTCGCTCTTTTTTATTTTTTTTTCAGAATTCCGCGTCTCGAAGAATAGATGAATTTGATAGAATTTCAGGTCTAGAAAAGATGGTTATAAAGAGGAATGATTAGGAAAAATGAATGAAGTGATTATTTAATTCTTCTAAGAGTATATCATTTAAATGTTTTCTAGTTTTCTTCATTAGTTTAACAAGAAGTTCGCGTTTAATCGGGTACCCCTATTCGCAAGAAGCGACTGGCCGTGAAAGGCCGTAGAACCACGGCTTGAGCTGACACAATTCAGTGGAGTTCAAAATAAAGAGAAAAGTAAGAGTGAAGGGTGGTTTTACTTGGGCATTATGATTTGTAGTTGGATGGGGATATAACTATTATAGGCCAGTTAGTTTCTAATAGTTTTAATTGTTCTTTGTTTATGTTTTACTCTCTTTTGTTAATTGGCAAATACTCAGATCTTGAACAATAGGAACAAAAAGGGTCTCAGGATGAGGTGTAGCACTTTGACTTTGACAGCTGCTGATTTTTGGTTCTTACAACTCGCCTGTAATTGCTAATGACTTAAATTATAACAACTGGTCTTCAGCTTGAATTTTAGATCTCGTAGCTCATCCATTTACTTCTCTTTTCGTTCATTAATCTTTTTCAATTAACCGAAAACAAGTGCACTCTCTTGTATACCATCGTTCGCGAATTTGTTCTAGTAGTACAGCTCGCGGGCCGGCGCCGCGCCGAGGTATTCTGCGGTAAAGAAAGCAGTATGTTTCACATCATACTAGTGCAGTTGACCTAGTAAGCCGGTAGTATAATAAACAGAGTGTTTTGTATATATTTATGTCTTTAAAATGCAGAAATTTGTAGACTAGTTTTGCGAATTTTGCTTTTTACTCAAGTTTATAAACCTAGCATTCTAAATTCTAACTAATAATTTTTAAAACTCAAAGATTATGCAAATTCGAAAAAATTCGTTAATCGCAAAAATAAAGCCATTATCATATATAGAAGCCTGTAATTATCTAATATCAATAATAAAATACCATTAAAACTCAAATAAAGTACAAATTATATCGAATTCAAAAGTCACAGAACGAGTTCGCGAACCTTGCAACTTGATGGTAACCATGGCAACTCGACCTGCCCTTACCAAGATTTTTCTCGCCCGTGAAAAAACAAAAACAAAAAACAAAAACAAATCAAAACAAACAGTCTTTCTTAATGAATTGGATAAACTAAGTTCAGAACTTTTGTTACATCAATTCAAACTCGTTGGCAGAGACATTACACACAGAGGGATTCGAAAAGTGCTATTTTAGTTCTGCTGTTGATCTTTACTCATCAATCTTATTGTTGTCTCCGGTTCATAAGAGGAAAAAAAAACATTCAATCTGGCAGACTCACCCATTCGAATCAAAGGCTGATATAATTGGAGAGATTATACCGTGGATTGAACAAACTCCCATTGACTAAACATATCAAAGCTGAATGATTTTAGTAACATCCAAGTTATAAAGTTCTCTTCCTCAATCATCACCCCCATTATCTATTCAGTACAGTACGCTTTTTTACATTCAACCTATCCACTGAACAACTCCATCAATCACCCGAGAAGACAAAGTCAATGCCTGTGAAGAAGAAGCAGACCCAAGAACGTCGACGCTCGACGCGTATACAGCACCAGGAGGAAGAAAAAAGACAAGAAGATCAGAAAAAGAGAACTAATCTTAAAGATTTATTGAAAAGAAGTAACTCATCAACTACAGCAACAGCTCCTTCCAAAGGGTCAAAAAGTTCATCAATTGAGCAAGATGGAGACTTTGTGTTCAAGAGAACTGGCTCATCTCAACCCGTAACTAATGTGGAGAAACAAAAGAAGCCAACCTCAAAGAAATCAACAACAAAGAAAGACACTAAAAAGCAAATAAGAAGACTGAATCCTGAAGATGTCACCATAACACCACAAAGAAATGGGCCACCTAAAAAGAAGAGTCGAAAAGCACAGAGGGATGACCATTATGAAGAACATTCAACATCTTTTCAAATATCGCTACCAATATCAGACACACCAATTATACGGAGAAATCAAAAGTTAAGAAAAGAGAATGAAAACGGTATAAGGAGATCCTCATTAGGTAACAGGGGTAAAAGAGTTTCGTCAATTGGTAATGGATTTTCAGCTGTTCCTCATGATAAAGTACCCACTAATGAATTTTATAAACATTTGGATTCTGATTTACCGGATCCTCACAAAATGAGACAATTATTAACATGGGTTGCCAAAAGAGTGTTTGATGATGATAAAAATAAACATATCAAACGTAAAAATAAATTACCTACAGAGGAAATTACAGCTTTGAATATTGCCAAAGTCATCAAAGAAGAATTAGTCAAAGATTTAAGTGATGGTAAAATCAATATAAGTTGGTGGAATAGACCTGATGAAGATGATGAGGATGATACAAATAATGATGAGAACAAATTAGAGAAAACATTAGTACCCAATGAGAAAAATGTTAAAAATGCTAAAGTTTTGAATGAATTGAAAGAAAAATTAGAGATTTTGAAAAAAGATACATCAAATTGGGAGAAATACATTAATAAAAAGATTGATATACCCACAGCCTCAAATGATTTAGATTCAGCCCCAACAATGACTAATGATGAACTTTGTAAGAAAATCATTGATTCTTCTACAATTTCAGAAATTTCTTCAATTGAAAACTCAACATTTAATGATTTGAATAATAATCTTGAAAAATCATTAGACAATTTTAATGATTTTATACATACCCTGAAATCATCGTCTTCAATTAGATCAAGGTTTGTAAAATTCAAATCAAAACAATTGGCTGAAATATTGGATCAAACATTTGATGATGATACTATAGAATTGATCAAGAATAATGAAGTTAATAAAGATGTTGATACGCATCAATTGTTGAAAGGTATTTCAAGGCTTGATAAATAGTTTCTTTTGTGTGCCATTATTGTACTATAACTTGTGTCTGGGTCTGTGTTTTTTTGTTTTATCTTTTAGGAGTTTTTATGTGGGTTCTTTTGTTTTTTCCCAAAGCACTGTTGTGTGATTGATTTTTTTGAATTATGAATTTTATTACTGTACTATTATAATATACAATTGAAAGAAAAACTAATCATTAATTATCGTAACATTGGGAAAATTTCTCTATAAATATTTCTTTGCAAAACCTTTAACCTTCAAATCAAACAACGGACTAGAGATAGGATCATTAACTTTATAGAAAGGATTCAATAAAGTCTTCACATACAAATCATTCAAATCACTGAAAAACTGTCTTATGCTTTCTTCATTCTTAGATTCATGTAATAATAAAAACTTGATATTACCAGGTGTAACAAACGCACTAACCAAAAACCCATAAAAATTATCAACAACTTTCAAATAAAGAGCATTAGATTTCCACTGTACATCTTCCACTATATCTATTGCGGAATGTAATATGAATGGGTTCAATTCTTTCATTTCTGGTGAGAACTAGAGAGCCCAGGTTAATTTCTTGATCTTGTGTTGATCTTTTGTACCATACTCACTTTCGACGTCCCGTCGCCTCCTTGTCTATAAGTCCCGAATTCTGATTCATATATTGGATTGTCCGTTGTACCTATCATGGCCAAGTAGTATGACATGGTTGCAATTGATCTATAAGCTAAAAGTTCCCAATGTTTTCAATTCAAAATGGTTTATATTTTTGGTTCGTATTTTTCTTTGAAATCGTTCGCGAATTCATTCTGTGTTTTAAGGCCACGACTTTCCGCGAATGGAGTTTTTGGCTGTCACTTTTTTGAGTTGCAACAGCCATCATTTGAAGTTGGAACAATTGAATAGAAACGAATAAACTGAGGGTTTCACAAGGAAATGGTTATATAAAGAAGAGTTTTGAGAAAGAGATTAGAGATCAATGATAAGTCATAAAGCATTTGGAGACTCGGGCAAGTTCAGTCCTGAAGATCCGTTATCAACGAGAAGCTTTAATCATGATCATGAAACTAGACGAGTATCAACTGCTTCATCATCATCAAGAAACAGCGGTGTTGATATGAGAAGACTCTCATTCGGCAATTCCTTGCAAGTGCCCAAGAATCATCAACAACAACACCAACATCATGAGCAACAACCACAACAGATTAATACAGATAATCAGCGGCGTAAATGGAATAGGTATCGTCAAAGTGAGGGTTTTGATTTCGATCCTTTAGGTGGTGGGTTATCTTCATTAGCAAAAGGCAATAGATCTTTGAGTTCAAGTCCTAAAAGTGGCTCTACTACAGCAAATGATCAAGAGAGTGGTGGATCAAACAATAATAACGACTCAAGTATGTTGCGCCAAAATGCTCAAAGTGAAGAAGAGAAGGAAAAAGTAAAAGAAGCTGGACAATTGGCTTCAGTATTTTTGGAAATGAGGAAAAACATAATGAGCGATTTCAATATAGATCTTGAACATAATGAAAGTTTGGATTTAGAAAGAGATAAAAACATTCCTGGCCAAGTTCGTCTAAGAAACATCTCAAGAGCCACTATTCAACGAGCTGAGAAAGTTAAAGTGATGTTAAATCTATACTATTTTTATGTTTTCAACACTCAAAGAGAGACCCAACCAAAATTTGCAGGTGTTGATGGGGTTTATAATCCATTACAAGTTATAAGAAACAGAAGAATAAGGAAAAAATATCATCAACCTCCAAAACTAGCTATAAAAACATTACCTTATGCCTCAACTGTTTTCAGTCGGTCCAAGCATAAGTTGGTATGGCAAGTTGATCTGACCGAACTAACTTATGATTTTAATTGGAGAGCTCAACATTGGCATGAATTAGTAAACCCCCTTGGGGAATTATGGTTCCCACCTGAAGATGATGGAACAGGTAAACATCATCATCACCATCGTCACCACGATCACCATCACCCACACTTGTCAAATCATCATCATCACTCATCCGAAAAGGAACTTTCATATATTCATGACAAATTGTTTGAAAATGATGCAACAGATGAGTATGACTCAAGTAATAATAGTTCAAAAGATGATGTTACCTCAATGGCAACTAGATCTAGAAAAAGAGATAAATTAACTTCAAAGATTAGAAGAAGATCAAAATCACCATATAAGAAGAAGAAAGAACAAGATAGCAAGGAGCAGTTAAATGATGGATTTGAATATAGTGGAGAGAGATCTAATGCTGATTCGTTAGGCTCGAATTTGTTCCCTATGGAGAGTAATGGCTCATTCAAGGGTAATTTATTAAATGATATCTCTATTGAGCCGATAAAGAATCATCAAAGAGTTTTATCAAGCAGTGATTCAAATGGACAAAGCAATGATGGAGGTACAGGTACCAATATTACAGGCTCATCAAGCTCTAAAGACTCTGATGACCTAGAGATTGAAGAATTGAAAGCCCTGAATAACTATTTACAAAAACTTCGTAAATTGGATGATTTAATGAATTTTGGGGAACACCATTTAACAGTCAAAGAACGTGAATATTCTCAACTGATTAATTTCCAAAAAGTTATCAAGGAAAGTGAACAAATCCGTCAAAATTCAAGATATTTGAAGGAAAATGTATTGACTAAGTATGATGGCTTAATGAATGAAAAATCATCATCTTTGGAATACTATCAAAATGAATTGACAAACAATTATTCACCAAGAGTTGATAAGTTATTGTTACTATCTGATAGAACTATAGGTGAAGTTAATACAACTCTATCATTAGAAGTTAGAAAATTAAGTGAACGGTTGGAAAAGTTGGGGCCTTCTTATAAAAGAGCAGGTTCTTTGGTTAGTTTGGCATATTGGTTATTGGAAAATTTAATTGTTTTGTTGTTATGGAGTATATGGATTGGGTTTTCTATTGGAAGAATGTTTAGGTTTTTCATTATGTTGATTTGGAAGGTTATAAAATGGGTATTTTATTAAAAGGTCAAAAGAGTCTTTCCAGTGATACGAGTAAATACTCATAACTACGACATTCGTTGCATTTATATTGTGGATACAAAGCTGCTTAATGAATATAGTAGCAATTGTTACATGATATGTACGTAAATTTCTAGGTTCTATTATACAAGTCAAGTGTGTTGTCTTTCTGGTGGCTATTTCGTGATTGTTATCAGTCTAAGTAACTCAGAATAAAAAGGAATTTAAACTACGCACCAATGAACATACGTGTACTTAGAATCAAAATTAAACTTAAATTGCGCGAGCATGTATAAAACATTTTATGGGGAATATCTAAAATTTTTGAACAACTCTGTCTCATCAACCACTTGTTTCTTTTCGCTTTCCCTTAAATCAATTAATAACTTATAACCATCTTGATTTAAGTGATCTATGTCAGTTTCAGCTTTCTCTTGATCTCTGCTCTCAGCTTTCTGGACTGGCCCATACTTGCTTTCCAGTTTTTTGTTTGCCAGTTTGTATTGAAAAAACGCCAGAAGTACCAAGAGAAGCAAGACAATACTTAAGAGTAAAATAGCTAAAAATCCTCTTGGATAATATGGAGCATCATTATCTTGAAATATCTGAGCACCATAAACACCTCCACAATTTGCTGCCATGATGACAATAGCTAAAAACACTGCTCTTTCTGTAGGACTAGTTGCATTAACACTTACCCAACTTGTATTCAGCAAATGGCACACACTTGTGAAACAACTGAAAACAGTTATCATTGAAAATCTTAGCTTATTTGAGTGTCTTGTAGTTATAGCGCGTAAAACAATCCCAAAAACACTCTGTAAGCCTGAAAAGACTAACAAAGCTGCTGCCCTTGGTTTATATTTATCTTGTGTAAATGCAGAACTGACTAGGAAGACTGCACAAATCCATGAGCTAATGGTGGACATGGCATTAGCTTGAAATTGAGTATATCCCATGTTTTTGATGATGGTTGGCAAATAAGTACCTATTGGAATAATTGGACCAATTGCAGTGGCCGAGATAAGAAAGTGTAACCAAATTCTCCATTTCGAAACAGCGTTTCCAATATCTCTTAATGTTATTTTCTTCTGAATATCTAGTGCCTTCACAGGATCATCAAGTAAGATTCTCGATCTCAAGATAAGACGTTCCCTGTCTGAAAATAAATCAAATTTAGGGAATAGCAAGGATGAAGTTTTCTCTGGGGACATAGGTAAAAAAGCACCCAATATTAAACCTGCACCAATTGTTGCTAAACCTTCAACGAAAAACAACCATTTCCAACCAGGCCATCCATTTTTCCCAGTCAAATCTTTGATTATCCCACCGGCAATAAACCCTCCCAAACAGCTCGCTAGAATGTTTCCCAAAAAGAAATAAATATGGCGACGGGCTAACTCGTTCCTTTTATAAAATTTTGAAAGAGTATAAAGACTACCAGGTATGAAGCCTGACTCACCAATACCTAACAATATTCTTAGAGCTAAGTATTGTGAATAATTTTTCATGAACGCTTGTGATAACGCAATAAGACCCCATGCCAAAACTTGAAACGATAACCACACTGTAGGGCCAATTTTTTGCAAAACATAATTACTTGGAATTTCGCATAGCACAATGCCGATATATAGCAATTGGTTTCCAACATTTATCTGGTAGCTTGTCAGCCCTAGATCTTTTCTTAAGGTACTAGTCAACGCATTTCCTAAATTTGAGCGATCCAATTGTAAGGTAAAAAAACATCCAGCCAAGATGGGTAATATCAAGAAATCCAACTTTAAACGTACACGAGCCTCTTCTTTATCAGTCCAGTCTTTGATGACTTTCAATTCTTCACCATTTGGTAAGATGATCTTATATTTCTGCTCCCCTGTTTCATCAAAATGTGAGGATGTTGTCTCGACAGTTGATTCCCATTGGGCCTTATTATCAGCAACACTTTCCAGAACGGCTGTCATGATGTTGTCTTAGATAAATCGTGAAACATTAATATTTCAAGACATCAACAACGGATAGCTTGGTTATTTTATAGACTTCAAACATCATTCACTCAAGTCTCAAATCATTATTGGATCATTTTCATTCTAAATTTCAATAGATATAATATAATTTAGTCCATTCCTTTCAAGCCACACAATGCATCTTTTTGATGTTTGGGCGTAAGCAGAAGTACCTAATTGCAATGCTCCACATTGTTCCATGGCTAGTGAAGCGCATGTCAAAGCTTTCAAAAGTGTGGCTATTATATTGGGCTATTCGTTTTTCCTTCTTTTTCGGCTTGAAAAAAAACAGGCAAGCTGTCATAATTGTCGGTTCAATAAAACTACCAATTAAAAATTCTGGAACACAAACACAAATTGAAAACACAAAAACACAAAAACAACTAAAAGAATAAAAAACATTAAAAGAGCCGCCATTGATGAATCCTGTTTAATCGAAAGCTTGAACTTGAGATTCAAGATCACAGGCTCACTCATGATTATGAATTAATGCTGCAAACTTCCACACTATCCACAGTTGATTCAAGCAAGACAGGTTATTGGACAGCCACGGTATTAGCCACACTTATTCAAATGAAGCACAACATTGACATGTCACGGATCTACATTTTGCAAGTCTAAGAAGTATGAGCTAGACTATAAATATTCAAACAGAAGCCGTGGTTTTCTTTTTTTCAAAGTTTGTTCCATATTCTCAGAGATGACTGCTGAAAAGATACGTCCCAATTTTTTATTGATTGTTGCTGATGATTTAGGCTTCACTGATATTTCACCATTTGGAGGTGAGATAGATACACCAAACCTTGCAAAGCTAGCTAGAATTGGTCAAAGCTTTACAGATTTTCATACTGCTCCAGCATGTTCTCCCACTCGTTCAATGTTATTAAGTGGTACTGATAACCATATTGCCGGTGTTGGCCAAATGGCAGAGGCTCTAAGAACTTTCAATGAAGATTTGAAAGACCAGCCAGGCTACGAAGGGGTTTTGAATCAAAGAGTTGCTGCTTTATCAGAGATTTTGAAAGATGAAGGTTATTACACCACTATATCTGGTAAATGGCATCTAGGTTTAACTGAAGAATCATCACCATCTGCTAGAGGGTTTGAAAAAGTGAATGCCTTATTACCAGGAGGATCTAATCACTTCAAATATTTCCCCTTAGATCCCCAAGGTGAAACCCCAAATAATTTCTTGCCCCCATTGTTTGAAAGGGATGGTAAATTTTTCCACGCTGGGAAAGCCAAAGATCAAATTCCGGATGACTATTATAGTACTAAGTACTTTACTGATAATTTGCTTGATCAATTGAAGTCAAAAGATCGTGATGGTAGACCTTTTTTCAGTTTGTTGACTTACACTGCACCTCATTGGCCATTACAAGCACCAGAAGAATTTATTGCTAAATATAAGGGAGTCTATGACAAAGGCCCTGCACAATTAAGGTTGGATCGTTTGAAGAGAGCTGCTGAATTGGGAATAATTGATAAGGATACAATTCCACATGATGTTAAGATCAAGTACCAACGTTGGGAAACATTAAGCGAGGAGAACAAAAGAAGAGAAGTTAAGATTATGGAAGTCTATGCTGCGATGGTTGATTATTTGGATAAACAAATCGGTAGAGTGCTGGATGAACTGGAAGCATCTGGTGAGATTGATAATACTTTTATTGTATTTATGTCAGATAATGGGGCAGAAGGTGCTATATGGGAAGCATTTCCAATGAAAACAAAAATTGTCTCAATGGTTACTTCAAATTATTATAACAATGACTTTGATAATATTGGTAAAAAAGATTCATTTGTTTATTACTCAGATGAGTGGGCTCAGGCTGCTACCGCACCAAATTTTCTGTACAAATTCTACTCAACGGAAGGCGGTATCAATTGTCCATTTATTGTTTCGTATCCAGAGTTAATTAATGCAGAAAGAAAGAATGCAGGCGTCATTTCAAATTCATTTTTGACTGTCATGGATATTTTACCAACCGTTTTAAGATTGGCTGATGTGAAACATCCCGGTAAATCGTTCCATGGAAGAGCTGTTGTGGAACCAATAGGTAAAGATTTCACAAGTGTTTTCTTTGATCCAAAACATGAGATTCATACTTATGAAGATTCCAAGGCAATCGGATGGGAATTGATGGCTAACAGAGCCATTAGAAGAGGTGATTATAAATTAAACTGTGTACCTGCACCTTATGGTAGTGGTGAATGGGAATTATTCAATGTTAAAAAGGATCCTGGAGAGACTAAAAATTTGTCTGAAGAATTACCAGAAATTTATGAACAGTTAATTCATGATTGGGCTGTTTACGTTGCTGAAACTGGGTTGGTCGAGGTTACTACAAAAGCCAGCTTTAGCGAGGCATATGACGAGCTTGAGAAGGTTTTGCCTCGAGTTAGAATTTAGAGTAGTTTATATGGATAACGATCGATCTAGTGCATGTAGAAGCATACGGGTAGGTATAGATTCTGTAGTTGGATTGAATTTGGAATCGGAACAACCCAACTTAGTAGAAAGCTGATCAAAGGCCACATCGACCCCATAATGCTAAGCTTGCATCTATAATGCTAAGTTGGTTTTCAGACGTAGAAGTTCCTGATATTTTCATGAAATTTGAGGCCTGAGAAATCTAAATTTTTTTGATCAGTTTTGAAAATTCACCTCTTCTGTTCACCATGAAAACTCATCACTTAATTTTACACAAAGAATCACACCAGACAGCCCATTTTACTGTACTATCTATCCATTAGCCATATAGCATGGAATACACCATATTATCTTTATAAATGCCTCCAAATTTACCCGTTTACAACGCAACAACGTTATTCGCGAATTTGCTTAGACGCGACGCGACACGGTCAAAATTATTTATGAAAAGTTTCAGCATTTCAAAAAGTTTCAATCAACCACCACAATCAAGTAAAATCAATAAATCACACATCCACACAATTAACAAAATGTCTCTTGAACCAGAATTGAAAAAAACCAAAGTCAATGATACTTTAAAAGTCTACAAACGTTCAGAAAACGCTAAAACTCCAACAAAAGGTTCAGCCTTAGCTGCTGGTTATGACATCTATAGTTCAGAAGAATCTTCAGTCCCTGCACATGGTCAAGCTTTAGTTGCTACTGATATCTCCATCATAGTTCCAGTGGGTACTTATGGTCGTGTTGCTCCTCGTTCAGGTCTTGCTGTTAAACACGGTATTTCTACAGGTGCTGGTGTTATTGATGCTGATTATAGAGGTGAAGTTAAAGTTGTCCTTTTCAACCATTCTGATAAAGATTTTAAAATTGAAAAAGGTGAAAGAATTGCTCAATTGGTTTTAGAAAAAATTGTTAATGCTGAAATACAGGAAATTTCTGCTGAAGAATTAGATACTACTGAACGTGGTGCTGGTGGGTTCGGTTCTACTGGTACTAAATAGATACACTTTTAATGACCTATAGAAAAAAAAATTAAATAAATCAAAAAAAAACATGATGAAGTTCTAAATTTTTGTAAAGTATATATATATGTAGTATAATTTGTCTTGTTGATCACTAAAAAGTTTGGGTATCCAGTGAATCTATGTATTGATAATATGTTCATTGTTTTGATTTTTCCTTTTCTGAATCATTCTGAGACTCAGTTTTTTTCAAATTTTCAGTAGTTTGTTCCTTTTCTTGTTCCTGTTGAGCTTCGGGTTTTGGAGGTTCTTCTTGAACTTGAGTTTGACCTTCAATTTGTTTACTGTCGTTTCCTTCTTTTTCACTTTCTTCCTTTTCATAATCTTCTAAATTGATATCATCTTTGACAGTAGAGGCGTTTTTATTCTCTTGTTCTTGTTCTTTTTCTTCTTTGATCAATTCTTCTTGTTCTTTGATAATGTTCAATTTCAACTTGGCATCATCATCAACTTCGGATTTGGTAACATCATAAACTTGATCAGGAATAGAACGTAAAACTTGAACCAAGGCATCATAATAACTATCCAAGTTATTTGAAGCCTCACCATAAGTATAAACACTTGACAAGATCAATAAAGTTGATGGAATTTTTTGTCTCAATCTCAAATCTAACCAAATTTTCAAATCATCTTGTAATCTAGCCTTTGAGACACCATGAGTTTTGATACCTCTTGAAACACACGCACTATGCAATTCACTCAATGATAAAGATTCAACACCTTCATAATCAAGAGCTCTATCATCTTTAATGATTTGTAATAATCTATATCTGATTTGATAACGCAATATTTGGTCAGAGCCGAATGGTCTCAAGTTCATATACTTGGCCATTGCAACTAATTGAGGTCTTGATAAATTATCTAAAACTGCATCGTTCTTAAACAATCTAGCAATTTTGATAACTTGCTCCTTAGTTACAGTTTCACCAAGAGTGTTTAAAGTTCTAAAGAATCTAATAAATTCTTCTTTTTCCTCTTCTGTAACAGCTTTTGGTAATCTAACACCACTTTCTTCAAAAGTTTGTCTCAAGAAACTTGAAGTGGATTTTCTAGTTTGTAATAACTTTTCCTTTTTTTTGTTCTTATCAGCTTTTGATTCATAAGTTGATGGTAAAAGATTTGGGAAAAGTTTTAAAGCAACAGGTAATAATAATTCTGCAAATGGAATTATAATAAATGCTGAAAACGGAACTAATCTAAAGATATCTATAGTAGTTCTTGTCAATTGACTTTGTTCTCTTCTTGTTAATTCATAACCTCTTATCATTCTGAACAACAATTTACTAGAAACTTTGATCTCATAACCCAATAATTTGGTACCATCCCAATAATGTTGAACTTCATGCTTAATTCTATCTAGTAATGGAGGTTTAGGAGCAGCTGGTGGACTATTATCAACAGCCGGAACTTTTGGGATCGTTGGATCATCCTTATGAAGTCTATCTAGATCAGTCTCATGTTTGGGTTGTTGTTCTTTTGGTTCCTTCGTTGATTTTTGTAATGTTGATGGAGATGTACTTATTGACCTTTGACTGTATAGAATAGATGACCTTTGAATGGACGATATTGGAAATTTGACTAAACGGCCATGTACAATTCTGGGGTTCTTTAACAGTTGAATCATCACTTGTGATTTAGCTGGAAGTAACGTTTTGCTCTGGAGCTTTAGATGAAGTCGAATATGTAAACTGGTTCTCTGGTATTTGTTAGTGATTTTGCCCCTTCGAAAATAGCACCTTTGCAAATAAAAGAACAATGACTTCACTTCCAATTCAAATAAATCAAATCTCAGGATTTCAAATAATATACTTTAGACTTTCAATCGAAAAAAAAAGTCAATCTTGTATATCTGTTGAAAAGAATAGGTATAGAATCCTGGAGCAAGCGAAAAAGTGGGTTGGAAAGTGGAAATCAGGGAACATATCGGTGAAATTATTCAAAAACTCACATTAATAACTTTCAAGTGATCTTAAAATAGTTCTAAAGCTTATGAATATACGTGGCTTTGTGTGTGAAATGGTTGTGTTTAGTTTTGCAAATTGATGATTTAAAATCATTTTGGAGCTCTCCGAAAACCTTGAAAAAAAATACTGGCCGAGTCCCCAAAAAAAGTCAACTAGTCTCGAGAATTCAGCATTATTTGTATGGACATGGATCTGAAAATAAGCACAAAAATGAAGTGATTGGTATAAAAATTAGTATGGAAAGATTATAATTGGATCATTGGGCAAGCTAGAGGTGGAACTAGGAGATTTGGGGGCGCAGGTTCTCCGTTAGGTATGAATTGATCATTTATGAATCCATCTATATTCTGGTTATCTGAATGGTCTAACTCCTTCACGTACACAAATAACTACTCGTAGAGCTTTAATGGATTATGATGGATTAAGGTTAGCCCAGGCTTGGGTAATGGTGCTATTATTGCTGTGGAAAAATCCACAGATATCACTAATGCTATTTCAAGATTGATTGACTTGAAAGTTGAGTCCTGTGGACAATTTACACCTTGCATAGAAGGCCACTTGGCTAATCAAGACAAAGAAACGGTTTGTTAATCAGCATAAAGGAATTGGTATGATTACAGAGATATTAGTTAAAGAGTTGAAGGACATTCAATTTGTTTTTAGGTGATGCTCTGTTCTGGATTGAAAATTTTGAACAGAATGGAACTATTCGAAAAAGCACAAGAGCGCAATGATATTCGCTATGGTGGTTGGGTTAGAGATGTTAAAACTCTTGATGGTCACATACAGGGTTTACCAGATAATTTCAGATGTGTAGGCCTCTTTTATATAAAGATACTTATGAATAGAGCGATCTAGGCGTAGTGTTAAAATTGTTTCGCGAAGTCATTAGTCTCAAAAATTTGAGTCATCCCATCCTAGCCTCCTAGGCTCTGTCATCAACGAGACTAGTCGCATGACCTAGGACTTTAGCAAAGCCAGGGTAAAAATGCGTTAGGCGGCCGCCTTCAATTTGGCAGAATCCATAACTGAATCGTAAAGAATTAACAATTCAACAAGTATTCCAGATCAGTTACTAGCTCAATAATTCAAATTCAGTGGCAAATAGCTAACGCAAAGACTCATACTATCACTCGAATCAAATATGGATTCCTTTCCTGGTGGGTTTCCTGGACTTTATGATTCAGATACAGGGAGGCCAAATCAGTTTGATCAAAGTTCAAGATCAAGCCGATTTGAAAGGCCTTCACCTGAGCTGGAAGCTGTTAAAAAGTCTTTGAAACAGAGAAAAAGAGCATTAAAGAAACATATGATCCATAATATGGATTCATCTTGTTATATTTTCATCTTCATAACGTATCTTTATGATTGCAGTTTATTATTGCTTCTAATGAGATCATTTGTTCAATCAGTAAGTTGAGCAGCTCAACGCTTGGAAAAAGCAAATACTAACTACCAATTCAGATAATTCTGGTGCTTCAATTTTCACCTATAGTGCAACAAGTCATTCCGAAAAATGCTGGTAAAAGGTCAACCTTTCACGTTGTTATCATATCAAACATATTATCTGTAATATTACACCTCACAAGAGAACTACCAATACCAGATGATAACGGGTTCATTTATGGCCATCACACACTACAGGTAATTGGTCAGCAACAACTTTCAAACAAATATTACTTGCTTTTATTGGATATTTTGGTTTTTTACTTACAATTAGCATTATTTACATCTCAATACACTTCAAAGAAGCATAAAACTATACGGTCGTCCTTAGTGGAATCAGAATATGATGGATTTCAAGGAGAGACTATTGCATTGAAAATTCCTTTAATATCTGCTTTGCATCTACCTTTTCCTAGCATTGAGGAATTAAAGTTAGAAGAGGAGGAATTGGAAAATGAAACGAATAATAATAATGATAATGAAGACAGTCTGATGGTTGGCCAACCTGCTTATGGTTCCATCAGCAATAACAATGATAATATGGATGATGAGGATGGAGAGGATTCTGTTTTATAGGCTTACTTTTTAATGAATAATTGGCGTTTTATTGGTGTTTTTTGTTCGTAGACCTTAGAGGGCGATAAAGCCCGAGGTATTATCAGGCAAAAAAAAATCAGAGAAATCTCTCATTGTTTATACATAACACAAAGCAGAACAAATTCACACCAACAACGATGCATGTCTTAAAGCTCTTGACTGAATCACTAGGATTCAGTGCACTCCCACAACAAGAATCATCTAAGGAACTTAGACCAGTCGTGTTTTGGCATGGGATGGGGGATACTTATAACTCATCCGCAATGCAACGTGTGTTCTCTACAATCCATTCAGCGAATCCAGACTTATTCATACATTCCATTTATATCAATGAAGATGAATCAAAAGATCAACAGGCTTCGTTAATAGGGAATGTAAATGATGAAGTTGAGATTGCTTGTGCTCAACTTGAATCAATCCCTGAGTTGCAAAATACACAATTTGATTTTATTGGGTTTTCACAAGGTGGTATATTTGCTAGAGCCGCAATTGAAAGATGTGGCTTAGATGTTCATACTTTGATTACTTTTGGTTCACCTCATGCTGGGATTTCAGATTTACCAAGATGTGATGATTCTGATTGGTTTTGTAAAAGAAAGAATGCAATTTTGAAAAGACAAGTTTGGAAAAAAAATGTTCAAAATTCAATTATTGCAGCTCAATTTTTCAGAGATCCTTTAGATTATGACAATTACTTGGAAAATTCAATATTTTTAGCTGATGTCAATAATGAAAGATTTGAAAAGAATATGACATATGTTGAAAATCTCAAAAATTTGGAAAAATTGGTGTTGGTTATGTTTAGTCAAGATGAAACAATTGTACCAAAAGAAAGTGCATGGTTCTACGATCAAGATAAGTCTTCTGGAGAAACTATTCAATTCAAAGATACAGGTTTTTTCAAGCAAGATTTGATAGGACTAAAACATCTTTATGACCAGGACAAGATTGAGTTTCTAACAATTGATGATAGACATATGGCAATTGGTGATGACTTTTTGAAAAAAATAACTGAGAAATATCTTGGAGTGTAATTTAAATGAACTCAACATCAGAACCAAGTAAATCACCCAAATCACCAAACGAATCATCATTATCAGCATCATTTTCATCATTGTTCTTCAACTCAAGTTCAGCGTTTTCTATTGGAGTATTGATATGGGATGAGTTTTCATGTTCAAGTTCAGGTGTCATATCAGAATTTTTCATATGATCATTTTTCACATGATCATCATCTGCATCAATATTGTTTCCTTCATGATACATGTCATCACTCCATAAACCTTCATCATTAGGATAAACGGGCTCTTCAGGGTCTGGTTTTGCATCCATCAGTTCTGATTCAACTGGAGCATCAACCATCATAACAGATGAATCACTGGTTTCATCATCATCAATATTCACAGTGATGGATGCTTTACTCTTTCTATGGACCTCACGTAATAGACCAACCACATCAACCTCTGAGCTCACTGTGTTGTCAGACTTAGAATTATTCAGCGGTTCTTCACCCTTTTCTTTAACATCAAGCTCAGGTTCATAATACTTGTACTTGTTGAGTCGACTTGGTTCAGCTGGTGATTTGTTTGGACTTGCTTGTTTATGGGGTTTGTTGAATAATCCATTACCTTTAGAACTCTTGTTCATGAAATGCTTACTGACAGGCTTATCATCCACTTTGCATGTCTTCTTCACCGATACACTTTCAGCATCAGTGGCACTTCTATTCCTTATTCTTTTTACTGGTTTAGGGGCCAAACCTTCACGGCAACAAAGATGACGACAACTTGAAAAGACTTGTTAGTATTTTTTGATTGAAAGTGATTTTAGCATAACTTACGTTGTTTTGTCTTTACAGGCGTGCTTGCAAGTCAAACTGGTAGCTGATGTAGTCTCGTCTTCAACCTCTTTAAGAGAATTCCTTTTATTACCGACTGACTGTTTATTGTTCGTTGCTTCAACCAATAGATCGTCAAATTCATCATCATCTAATCCTTCTAAACTATCTTCCTCGTTCACTGTACCAATGTTAGTCTGGACGCGAATGACACAAATTGGGTATATAGCGTACCAGTTGAAAATATCCTCAAGCCACTGACTTGGTTATGTGGTATAACCTCTTGTAAGTTGAGTTCAAAGCTTTGAGAAATACCAGCTGGAACCGTTAGTAAAATCTCCCTTTACGGAAAACAAGATTAACTTACCAATCTCCTCACAGGAAACAGAGCTAGTCAAACTGGTGTTTTTATATAGCACTGAACATTCAAATGTAAACGATTTAGCACCACTGAGCTTATTCAAATGCGCACGTCTAAAATCAACCAAATCACCTGTTGATAACCCAGAAACGATATTAACAGTAACCGGCTTTCCATGCCACGATTTTGTTTCCATTTGACAATCAATATTCATTCGGATAATAACTTTTAACTCTCCTTTCGTTACCGTAGACGATTCGAGGTGCGTTTCAATAGACAATATCGGCAAGCCAGCAATTGCTTTAAGGACCTTAGCACCAAATCCAGGTCTTTGGTTTAGGTAATATTCAATTGTGCTTGAGCTCAAGTTTTTAACTTCACTGAAGGATTTAACATTTTGATTAGAAAACCTTCTAACGGCAGCAATTCCTACACCTTCAAGTTGTCTCAAAACAATAGAGGTATCTTCCCAACATTTACCATTCAAACATCTAGAAAGCTTTAAGCAATTGAGCAATGAAACATAATCAGCTTTCTCCAAAAAACAATCAACCAAGCACCTTATCAACCTTCCAATATGTTTAAATACAAAAAACTTATCTTGTTTGAAACTCTGTTGGATTTTCAAGAATTCTTGCCCATTCGGATACTCAAGGCCACCTAACTCGTACTGAACCAAAAGATTTATCTTTTCATCGTTGGATGTAATGTTAGACAGCGTGTTGTAAGTCTTAATAGGGTATTTGAGGATTGGTGAATTATTAAGTTCCCTGAATAACTTTTTCTCGGTTCTTTTCAACCTGATATTTTCAAACTCGCTGGATTTTGAAACCAAATTAATGATATCAGATACTGTAAGACCTCTAGGACATTTCACAAACATCTTCATAGTGTCAAATAAAATATAATGTTTTGTCATTGCATTTCCAAATTGAGTGCATTGATATTCACCGTTCTTGATTTCGATAAGCTTGAAATCTGTCAACTCCCTTAATTTTGATTCAACGTACTTCAACAATCTTGCATCCATACTCCCATTAGCTAAATAAGGTATTTCATCATATGCTGTTGGATTGTTTTTAAACCTTGTGTAGAAAAATGTAAGTTTCAACCATTCTAATGCACCTTCAACAGAATTAACCGTTTTCAAAAACACTTCAGGAACCATGTTTTCTGAAAGATTTAAATGTAGTCGACTTTCAAGTTTTTCTGTACCTTTTACCAACTTCTCATATTGATGTTGCTTATCTGAATCAGTCATTAAGACAGCCTTACCCTGAGTTTCAAATTGAGGTCGTCCAGCTCTTCCCATCATCTGCAAAATATCTAACTCAGAATATTCTTCAAAAGCGGCACCAGTCCATGTTTTAGTTCCCTTGATAACAACCAAATAGGCCGGAAGGTTTACACCAACAGCTAAAGTTGATGTAGAGCATAAAACCTTAGTGTTCCCATTTATGAAGTTTTTCTCAACTGATAATCTATCAGGCAAAGAAAGACCAGCATGGTGGTAGGAGAATCCTAACATAGATAACTCTTTGAGTTCTTTTTCTTTTATCAGTGCAGGACTTTGACTTTTGATTTCCACCCTAAGGTTCTTAGATAAATACTTTGCAGTGGAAATTGTTGAGTTTCTAGTTGGGCAAAAGATCAAAACAGGCTTATTATTAGAATGTTGTCTTATAATTTCAGCAAGCTTATTGTTCAAAAATGAATCAAACACAAAATCATTCATTGTTTGCCTGTATCCAAATACAAGCTTCTCTAACTTAACAGGTCTATACTCATCACCGAAAACCAATGTCACGGCATTTTGTCCGCTATCAGAATTGAGTTTGATCCACCCAGAAACATCTTGAATGTTTGGAACTGTGGCAGATAAAGCAATTATCCTCAAAGGCCGACATATTTTCTTCATTCTTGTAATAACAACTTCCAATGTTGAACCTCTATTATCTCTCAAAATATGAATTTCATCAACCAATAGCAACTTTATAAGCTTAAAAAGCTTTGAATAGTCTGCCCATTTTCGTGTCACCAAATCCCATTTTTCTGGAGTCGTTATAATGATGTTGGCCTTTTTCACTTTATCTGTTTCTAAATAGCTTGTATCACTTGTTAGTGCACCAACAGTCAATCCATAGGATGAGAATTTAGAGCACCAATCCTTCTCTCGTTCTAAACAAAGTGCTTTTGTGGGCGATATATACAAAACCTTCAAGGTATTGGGGTCATTAGTCAGATTCAATAACCTTAGGATGGCAAGTTCAAATAGCACAGTCTTACCTGAACCAGTTGGGGAGCTAATCACACAGTTGTTATCCTCCTCATAGATTGGCTTGAAAGATTTGGACTGCATTTTGTTAAAATAGTGAAAGTCAAATATGGATCTAGCCTTATCTGATAGTACTGATGTGGGGAGTCTTGAGTCATTTGTTGAAGTGTTGAAGTGGTGTATGTTGGATGTATCTGAAGTATTATCAAAAGACATAGATGACTTTCTGCATTCTGTTTCTTCATCTTGTGAAGAGTAGTCAACCGATTGAATTCCATGAAACTTTGTAGCTGGTATACTGTATTGACTTTCTCCATTATAATGCCGCTCACCGATACCTTCTGTTGAGTAATGATTCTGAGGCCTGTTTGAGGTGGCCACCTCATTAAACCAATTATCCTTTTGAACCCCCTGCCATTTAACCTGTTTTGGAGCTTGGTTTTCCCAGTCCTCCAGTTCATCACTCTCAATTATCTCTTCCAATTGTCTCATTAAACTCATGTTGAAGTTAGCCGCCAGATCAGCATCTAATGGTATCGTTTGTCAAGATAAATCTGATTCAGACTAAAGGTAAATGGTGAAGGAGCAATCCATAAATCAAATTTGAATGATATTTGACACCAAAGCTGCCTTTAGCTATTGAAAGAATCTAAAATTTTGGGTTGATGTCGTTTTGGTATGAAGTTGAAATTTTCTTGATCACCCACCACCCATAAATGAAAAAAGCTGAAACATTGATCTTCCAGATGGATTCAAACACCGTAAAGACGCAATCAATAAGTTCTAGATCGTCTTGGGATGGAATAGAGTGGGATCTTTCTATTAACGATTAAAAAAGGAGCTAAGATCAGAAATCCTTGATGAACTTCAGATGTTTCGTAACTCCCGTCTTGATTTCAATTCAGACAACGTTCGAATATAAAACACACCATATTTAAGGTTTCAAGCTTCAGACAGACAAATACCAGCATTGAAGCCTTCCAGAATACCGTTTCCCTGTACAATGTTCGAAGTTGATGAATTAGAAAAGGTTGAAAGTTGTTTTGATCCAGCTTTCAAACAATTCTGCCAATATCAAGCGGGTAAAATATTGCTATGACAACCGAAAATGTCCGGATGTGTACCTTTCAATTGACTGAAAAAATCAAGCTCAGAATTTTTGAGAAGGCGTGCTTCATAAAATCCCAAATTCCAACAAAGAGAACTGCAACAATCATACAATTGAAAAAACTCAGTATTTTTGGCCGTTCAATATTGGTAAGTTTCATTCATTTACACTTTTTTCTTTAACTCTATTGGGAAAAAGTGCTATTTTCTGATTATTGAGGTGAGTATTTTTGTGATCTTATAGGGAATGGATAGTACAATGGAAGCTGGAAGCGTCCAAATAGACACTGCAATGAAAGATGACGAAATCAGACAAGATATAAAAATGGAAGTTCATGATAGCCCCCGAGATATATTGATAGATGACGCTAGTGGGAAAGAAGAGGATGCTGAACATATTGACCTTTTATCAGACGTGCCAGAGGATGATGAGATGAATATTGATGACCAACTTAGTGAAAAAGGGGAGGAAGATGTGGATATAGAGGAGGCTCATTTTCTAGAGTCAGATGACCAGGAAATAGATGCTACTGTTAATGAAGATGTTGAAGCAGAATCACCATTAGACTATGTTTCACCTCAAAAGGAAGAAGTTGAGGAGTTTGATGACACAAATACAGCTCAGGAAAGCCAGAATGAAGATAAAAGGAGCGTACCTACTGCTAGAGAAGAGGAACCTCAAGACACTAAGCTAGTCAATGTTGCGGCCACAGCTGATTTTGATAGTCAATTAGAGGAAAACCTTAATAAAGAGAAGCACAATGACAGTGAAGATAACAACCCTGAAGAAAAATCTCTACAACCAGAAGAAGATGGTACTACACTATCTGAAAAGAAAAACCAAGATGACACGCAAAATAGAATTAATGAAACATTGAATGAAGAAGAAACAAATATAGAGGTGATATTTGAGCCATCAGAAGAAGTTACAGACACTGTCAATGATACTGCTGTTGAGAATGTGGAAACCTCAGTGGGACCTACGCAAGATGAGGATGATAAAGATGAGATCGCTGAAACTGAAAATCAAGCAGGTGTTGAGGAACACAAAGATGAAGTGGCTGTCAGTGAAAACTCACACCAAGATGAGCAAGTTCAGGAGGAAGAGTTAGAGTTAGAAGATCACAATAATGAAACTTCAAAAGCTGAAGAAAACATTGACAATAATGAGGGTGATGCTGTTGAAAGTAATGATTACACCGAAGCAAATGAAACTGCTGATATTGAGGAGTATGACGCTGAAGAGAATGCAGAAGGAGAAGAGCTTGAATACCATTCTAGTAATCCTGAAAGTTCTGAATATTGCCCCATACCTATCATTTTACAAACACCTGTATTCCCATATCTATTGTGTCCAGTATCACCAGAAGACTTTGCTAATTTACCTTCAGAATATGAAAATGTTATTAACTTATTTGATGATACTTCTATCTTAAACTCTACATTGCTTGAAATGTTTGGATATATTAGAGAAACTTTCACTGAACACGGAAACCCTTTTGATGAGGATGAAGAATTGGTGTTGACTTTCAAAGATTTTGATGATACCTCAATTGAGGAATCGAGCACTTTAGCTGAAACACTCCTTTTACATGATATCATTGAGATGTATACTTTGTTGATGTCAAGCACAACAAAAAACTCCCCATCTGATTGTTTATGCTTTCTGCTATCATCTCGTAAAAGCTTTAGAAGCCAGATGAAGAAAATTTATTCTTTGAAGGATGAAGATCTAGCCAACCAAGGCCAATCAGATGAACATCCAACCTCAGAAGGTCAAGCAAATATATTTGATGATGCAGATGACTTTGAGTTGAGCGAGGAAGATATTTCAGAGCTGGATAAGGCTTTAAGCTCAGAGAATGAAAATGAAGATAACCCAGAGGCACACAAGAATGTTGCTGATGATCAAGATGAAGAGCCACTTACGGCGAAACGCTCTATAGATGAAGTTGAAGGACCAGATGCTACAGCTGAGGAGGAAGGTGTTACCACCAAGAAACAGAAATGAAATGTTTGATGGTTCTACTGCTGATATATAGAAGTGTACTATTGAGATTAAATGGGATCTACTCTTCAGCACAACTTTGTCTTTTACCTCCATGTAGTCGTCATGATTTGTTTTTTATTCTGTTGGAAAATGTTGAATTAGGTTAAAACTCTTGAAAAATAGAAACACAGCGGTTAATTAATATTGTCATCACAACATCCAAGGGTTGAAGGTTTTCTTTGCTATGGTGGTGCTAAGGTCAATGCCAAAGTGGGAGTGTGATTATGCTGCCAGTTTACAAGAAGTTAAGATATTTGAAGGTGAAAGGACAAAGTTAACCAACATTCTCAAAGAAAGGATGCTTATTGATAGAAGATGTGCCGCCTTTTTGAAAACTGCAACAGCGAACTATGTGATTGAAGAACTCGAGTTTCCAACTTTGAAGCCAATTGAAGCCAAAGAAAGATACGTTTTGCCTTGTAATAGTGAGTGTTGTGAACAGGATAGGGATGTGGATACCATAGAACATATGAATATTGGGAAACTCAAATGGAACAAATCGATGCAACCTCCAAAACTTCTTTCAGAAAACGATGTGTTACCAAAAGAGGTATTTAAGATTACGCCAGAGGTGGCCAAGTTTCTCAATGTTTGTTTAAAGCCTAGCTTAACATTGGACTCACCAACTGAACTACGGTGCGCCAAAGAATATATCAAATCTTACTTTATTGAATTGGAAACTTTCACGCTTGATGATGATCCATTTGCCAAATCGTTTCACAAAATACCAACCGCTATTCAAGTACCCAAAGAAGGCGATCAGCAATATCTAGAAGAGATACTTGATACAAATGATGGTTTTGCTTTGAATTTCGACTACTGCAAAGAACCTACACTGAAGCCATTGTTCACAGAATCAGATTTCCAGATTCCGGTTGTTGACAATCAAAAATGTGAACATCAAGGTGTACAGAGAACCCTTACGACTGTTCCAAAATGGCATCTCTCATTTCCAAAAAGTCTCAACACCGAGGCTTCATCCTTGGAGAAGTTTATATTGAATGAGGAGTTGCAGAAAGGGGTTGAATATAGACTAAGGGCTATTTATATGGATGATGCTCCGACTTTCAGTGAGCCCAAAACTCCATTTGATTTGATTGATGTTGAATCTACGTTCCCGGTATATAAAATCTCATTAACGTCTCCAGTGACCACTTTGGGTGATCTATTCAAAGATGTTGATGAGGTTAAGGTTGTATCTGAAGAAGTTCAAGGAGTAGAGCTTCTTTTAACTTCAGAAGATGAAACTCTTTCAACTATAAAGGAGCAGAGACCATACTTGATAGAAAACATTATTGAAGAGATAGGTATAAAAGCCCAATCAAATGAAGAAGCTCATGATTTATCAGAGAGTCTATCACCAAAACCTGCTGCCATAATAACGATCCCAAAATTTGGTGAAGCTACTGAGCTGTCATACTTGCAAAATTTTCACATAAGAGTCAACCAGACAGCTTCAGTTGTTGAAAATTCAAAGACAGATAATGATACCAGTCTAGAGGCAACAAAAATGTTCACCACACATCAGGATCTAACAGAGCAGTCTACAACCAAGAGGAGCATCGATGAAGACTTGGAAGATTTGATTGCCAAGAAGAGACACAAGTTATCAAGTATTCAATCCAAAAAAAATTTACCACCTATTGTTGACCTTTTACTCTCAAACTCAACTTATGCTAAGGGTCATATACCAATTGAAGAGGTATCCGTACTGGAGCCAGTTGTTGAAAAGATTTCAAAGAAATTATCGTTATTCAAAAATGACAATCGATGTGAAAATCTGTTGGTTTTTAACTCATCGTTCAACTCAACCAGATTGAATCTCAATATTCTTAAACAATTAGATCGTGATACCTCGTTTGACATTTTTGAAGTTGAATTGGGTGAGAAGGATGTTGATTTCATATTATCTCCAACTGATGGCCTTCTTCTAATTGACTTTCAAAGAAGCCAACAAACGAATACAACAGGAGAACTAGTGATACAGGATCGAATATTATACAACAAGCTCAAGTACAAAAACCTTCACATCATCATCACTTGCCCTTCGTTAGATAATTCGGAGAATTTACTATTTATGCAAACTTGTCTTTCTATACTGGATGTTGAAGTTTATTTATGCACTAATGAACTTGAAAACATTTGTCAATGGATTCGAAAACTATGTGAAGTCTACGGATTTGTCAAATATCCTGAAGAGAACTTTGAAGAGACATCGGTATGTTTTGATTTTAAGTTGTCGAAGTTTCTACTAACATCAACAATTTAGCCAATATTGGTAAACTTTCTTCTACAGTGTGGTGTGAATTTAGTATCTGCAAATTGCATATTGAGGCAGGTCTCACTTACAAATTTTATCACAATGAGCTTGAATGATAGGAAAGAACATTTTGGCTCGTTATTGTCCTCTGCTCAATTAGTAAGTAATTTACCCATTTATCATTCCTTGCACACAGGCATTAACCGAGAAGGAATACCACGATGCGATTTTCAATACAAGCTGGTCTTTCAATCCATGATAGCTCCATAGACTTTGAAATTTGTATAACTTTTGTACTTGAATGTATAGAGGTTGTGGTTAGAAGCCCGTAGCCTTCGCGAATGCATTTTTTCGCGACTTTTTTTTTTTTGATTTTTGACTTTTTGGATCGAGAATTGAAACGTCAACAACAAGATCAAAGAGTTGGAACTTTCCAATTGGATCTTGACAAAGAAGCATCAATAAGACTCGTGTTTTCCCAACACTCAACCATTCAATTAACGTGTATTCATCAAGAAGGATATCTAATCAAGATTGCTTAGCTTTGATTGTTGCATACTTGACTTTCTATTTTTGAACACGGTTTCCCAAAGGGTTGAAAAAATAAGATACAATTGATATAAAAGAGACATAATGGTCGTTTTAGCAGCATCTATCATCACAAGAAGTGGTAAAGCTATCTTGTCAAGACAATTCAGAGAATTGACCAAGAATAGAGTCACTGAATTATTATCAAATTTCCCAGCTTTATTGTCAGATAATACTACCCAACATACAACTGTTGAAGATGAACATGTTAGATATGTTTATCAGCCATTAGATGAATTATATATCATTTTAATCACAAATCTTCAATCCAATATATTACAAGATATTGATACATTGCATTTGTTTGCTGAAACTGTTAATTCATTATTAAGAACTGTTAATGAACAAGAAATTTTTGAAAATGCTTTTGAAATTTTAAGTGCATTTGATGAAATCATTACATTAGGTTATAAAGAAAACTTGTCATTATTACAAATCAAAACCTTTTTGGAAATGGATTCACACGAAGAAAAGATTCAAGAAATTATTGAGCGTAACAAGGAATTGGAAGCAACAGAAGATAGAAAACGTCGTGCTAAAGAAATCCAACGTAAAGAAATGGCACGTCGTAATGTTGAAAGTATCAGTGGTGGGGGGTTCCGTAATGAACCTGATTTTGCTTCACCATCACCATCATCATATCAAACACCTACACAATCAACATTTGTTCCAGCTCCAGTTGAACCAAGTTTTGCCAAAGGTAGAAGTGCACCAAAAGGTCGTGGATTACAATTGGGTAAATCACGTAAATCAACAACTTCAACACCACAAGATCAAAGTGCTGAACCATTGATTGCTACGCCTGAACCAAGATTTTCCTCATCTCAACAACCTTCTTATCATGATACTCCACAACAAGTTTCTAGTCCAGCTCCTCAAGATGATAGACCGGTTAATAATGGTATTTTGGTCACTTTAGAAGAGAAAATCACTGCTGAGATAACACGTGAAGGTTCCATTGCATCATCTGAATTGAAAGGTGTTTTACAATTACGTATCAATGATACAGAATTGGCATTATCCAAGATTTTATTAGAAGCTCAAGGTGCTTCAGAAGGTATTCAATATAAAACCCATCCAAATGTTGATAGAGCATTATTTACAAATGAATCAATTATAGGGTTGAAGAATCCTTCAAAACCATTCCCATCAAATGATCAAAACTTGGGTGTTTTAAGATGGAGAGGTGTTGGTAAGGCAGATGATGATAAATTTATTCCAATTCAATTCTCAACTTGGTTAAGTTCAAATGGTGATTCAGTTGATGTTACTTTAGAATTTGAAGTTACAGAGAGCTATAATGAAGCAATTTCCAAGATTACAATTTTAGTTCCTGTTGCTACAGAAAATGTTGAATTAAAATCTGATAATGCTCAAATAACTCAAATCACTGAAGAGGGTGTTTTCTTTGAAATTGAAAGTTTATCACCTGGTGAAAATGGTGTTTTGGAATTCTCAATTGAAGCTAATGAAGATAGTTTATTCCCAATTGAAGTTAGTTTCACTAATGAAAACCCAGTCAATACATTGGGTAAAGTTAAGGTTCTTGATGTTGTTAAAGTTGAAGGTGATAAATCATTACCATTTGATCAATTGTCTGAGTTATCAACTGAAGGTTATTTCATTGTTTGAACAGAGACTAGAAAAAAATTGATGTGATTGTTGTTTATTTTTATGTTATATTATTCCTCTTTTATACTTGTTTAGAACTTTTAAAAAAAATGCAATTGATTTGAAACTACATAAAATATGCTGGATTATTATCATTACTCTTCAAACTGTATACGTTAAACCAGTTAACATAACACTAAAATGACACCCCAACTTGTATCTCTCATTCAACTCATTCAATTCATTCAAAATAACTCTTCTCGGTTCATGACCAGATCTTCTTTCTTTAACATGTGTGATTAAAATGTTCAAATCTTTCAAAGGTGGTTCGACATCATATCGGCTCTTTTTGGAAGAGATCAACTCTCCTAGTGTACAAAGCTCTTCAATCAATGAATCAGGAGTCATATGACCAAATCTTGGTTCTTTAGCAGGTAAATTTGGTGTAGAACATTCAATTAAAATAGTTTTCAAACTTCGCCTTATTATTAAATCTGATATTTTTTCCCAGATTATTTTATTTTTGGAACTTTGTGCATTTCTATCAGCTTCCACGTCACCAAATATTAGAATGTATTGATCAGTTTTGGAATCTTTTATAAGGAATGAAGTTGATTTATATTCTGTCTTGTTGTCATGTTTCTTGCCATGGTTTAGTTCAAATGGTGTAACTTCATAAATATCATCAATGTTCATTGGTTTTGTTGGCTCCAATTCAATCAGTTTCAAAAAAGATCCATTTTGTTCAGTGACTAAATTTGGCCATATAATATCATTGAAAATACAATTTTGTAAAGCTTCTGTAGTTTCTTTCAATCCATATACAGATTTTGAAGAGTGGTAGTGGAATCCAGGAGAGTTGATAACCAACCCATTTATATGATCAAGATGAGGGTGTGATATTAGAAAATTATTGATGAGGTCCAGTATTTTAAAAGATAGTTCAATTGGTGCTGAGTCTTTATTCAGTTTGCAAACACCATATTCATGAGAGAATGAAATATTTGGATGAGAATATTGATCAATTGGTAATGGGTCATTGTAATAGCTTAGCACTTTCATAGCGAGCGTATCTTTCTCTTTTGTTCTTTCAGTGCTTATGATTTCTGTTATTCTATTCAAGCCAGACCCTGCATCTATTGCAATTAGATATTGTTTCAATTCATCTTGAATGATATCCTTATATGTAATGTATGAAGGTTTCAGGATATATGAGCACGTTATACCTTCGAGAGGTCCACCTGATGAGCCTAGCACTGTTATATCAAAAGACATGGTCTATAGAGTGAGAATGATATTCCAGGAATGTTTGAAGCTTTATGAGATGCGATGAGATGGCTGAACCTGAAAATATAGGATTTTGAGATTGAGAACTCTTCTATAAACCAAATTAAGAAGTTTGGGATAGCTGAATTTGGAGATAATTTCACCTCTCTTGTGGTTTCAAGAAGAATTATGTAGAGCTTCTTAAGCAAAACAAGTTGGAGTTGTTGTTGTTTTTGGATAATTTCTTTTTAACCGCAAAAAAAAATAGTGATGGGCTCAAAACTTCCATTCAGGGGCTAATCATCAATTGATCGAATGATAATCTAGCAGCTGTTTCTAGTGTGACCTTGTTGTTGGATGTTTGGATTCTATGTTTTTTTGGCGTTCAAAGATACCAATTTTCAGATTTCAGCGTACCTCCAAGCTTTGATTTCTCGTTGGTTGCCAGCGTAAACTGAGAATACCGTCTGGGACCGAGCTGACTGGAAGGGTAAACAGAGGGATAGGTTTAATATAATTTAATTATGGATTACCAGCTAGTTTTATACTGCTTTTGAAAAGATTTAGAGTGTGTTTAGGTCTGTGCTGATGGTGTGATGAGTTGTGTCTGGATTTTAGCTCCTTGACGTGAGGCTTCCATGGCTTCCTTTTCTTCTTCGGAAGCTTCTACGTTGGACCCGGAGAATACCTGAAGTGGTGGATTATCAACTACAAATCTGAACTCTGTACTCATATCATGATATTATCCAATTGGGACCTATACAACTTGTGTACCGTAACCTTTGATATCCTTGGCAAATCTCCAGCTTTGTTTCTCAGAGTGCAAGTTCTTTTCGAAAACAACACCTTTGGATTTTGAAATGGTAACCATGGAATATTTATCCAATGATCTGGCATCTCTATAGTATAACACCTTCATGGCTTCTTTAACTGCATTTTGTGCAGTTTCTTCATCAATATTGGCAACATCTTCCTCTTTATCAACAACTTTTCTTAATAATGGAATTGCAAGATAAGCACCAAACCCAGTGGCTAAAGTTGGTGCAGAATAAGTCACACCTAATAAATCAACATATTTTAAGAATGGTTTATCATCGTCAACACCGGCAACGATAACAGAGTTCCATAATGGATCCATTTTAGATCTTCTATGATAGAAAACTTTTTGCAAGTATTCATGTATATGACTAGCTCTTAATGAATGACCATCTGAATCATAATTCTCTTCAATTTCTAAATCCTCTAAAATTCTACCAACATATTGTAAATCTGAAATATCACCACTTATACCAACAACTGCATTTTCACCAATTGGGAATAATCTTTCCACGTCGGTAAATCTTGCTAATGAACCATATGAACCCAAGTTATCAGCTGCAATCACTATACCTTCATTGAACTTTATAGCTATAACTGAAGTACCTGTGACAATTGGTTGTTGAGTATTCATCTTTGGCATGGCAGCTTCTTGAGCAGAAGCATTATTTAAACTAGCATTGGCAATTTGATTGTTGTATTTACCATAAGTGGCATCGTTAGGTCTCCCCCATCTGAAAGGATCGTGATCCATCTTTGAAATAAGTAATTGAGTTTTAATTGATATCAATTGATAGAGATCTTGTCCTTATGTTTTGTAGTGGCAAACACACCAAATTGTGTTTTTCTGAAATCTTGAAAAATCAGGTCACGTGAAAGATTATGGTATAGCCACTCTTAGGGGCATCATGAACATTAAGAGCTACAATTCTTGTTCAAAAAACAGATTAAATATGTATTTTAGACGTTTTGGTGTTAAAAGACAATATAAATAATATTGGGAAGCAATTTGATTCTTCATTTCGTTCCCCCGTTGTATGATTTCTCACTTTTGTGTTGATTCTTTGCTTCATTGCTCACTCATAATATTAAAAACCATAAAATTCTCCATAAATGTGTTTAGATACAGCATATCAATTTGGTTCCTTAGAATAACAGACTAGCACCACCAGTATTAACATTATCAATTTCAGCATCTTCTAATGGTCTGTTTTTAAATCTTGAAGGTAATTCATTGAGGGAAACGTAATCATATGGTTTCGAGCTCTTGGATTGTGTAGTACTGGATGGTTTGGATGGTCTTGTAGCAGCTAATGAAGAAGCTTTCAAAGTACCTTTACCTCCTGGTATTATACCATTTGACATTGGGTGTGCTTTAACTGATGAGTCAATATGAGCTATAGCTGGGGTATTAGAATTAGTTCTGCCAAAAAAAAAGAGTTTATAGGGGATTGGATTACTTACTTGGACGTGGATGTCTACCACCGACAAATCTGATTAATGGGACGTGTTTAAGACTGATTGAAGTTGGACGCATTGTGTTTATTGTGTTGATTTAGTTTAAGATGTTGGTTTTCTTGTAGGTTGTTTTTTTTGCAACGAAAAAAAAATGGATGATATAAAAGAGATCTGTAGTAATGAATTGGATATTGATGGATATATGAACTTGGATCAAAGAAGATTGAGACAATTGAATTGATGATATTCTTATAAACGCTTTTAAGATCAAAAAGTTTATGGATTTTAGTTTGTTTAAATTCAAATTGTCAAGTTTTAAAATCTAGTCCTCGCTTCAGCCAAAATTCGCGCTTGCAACGAGCCCGGAGGAGTGGACGGGACCGTATACGGGAGACTAGAGTAGACTAAGTTGGACTACATCGGGATCTAGGTCATATAAGATGATGAGTCTAGTGGACTACACAGATCAAAATGACAGAAGTTATAAACGATATGGCTGAAATCTTCAATCTTGATGGTTCCAATCAAGCACAAACAAAGTGGAATCTAACCAATAACTTACAGAATACTACATTCAGTAATGCTATTCACAAGTTTAATTGGGTAAACATTCATTTCAGACAAATAACAGCTATTTGAAGAGTTTTAGGGTGATGATGTACTCTCTATTCACAGCTCTTAACTCCAGAGGTGTCTACCTCATTTTTCTCAAGCTGCACTACTTGGCTTTTCTGAAGGTCAAGATTTGAGAAACAGCATCCTTGAGGGTTTGTTCTAATGGGATCCATTGTTTAATTCCTGCCCATTTTAAAGTCTTTGAAGTATCATAAAAAGTTTCAGTTTCTTTAACTTTCTCCTCAGCTCCTTCTGGTGAACCTTTTGCAATCTTGCCATTCAATTCAGGGAACTCTTTATTGATGATGTTTAATAAAACTTGTCCATTGAAAGCTGCTTGAGTTGGGAACAACCTTTTCCCTGCCAGTTCATCATTTTCAATAGGTAAAACATGAAGTAATGCAACATCACGAACATCAACTGAAGTTCCAAATGGTTGTTCAAAGAAATGTGTATCATTTGGAGATGATGACAGTAACTTATTAACAATTTCAGCTGAAGTGTTCAAATTTGGACTAACTAATGAATCTTCAAATTTTTGAGGTCCAAAGACATAAGGTGGATTGACAGTAGTTAAAGTGAAATTTGGGTTTTCATCTCTAACAAATTTACGTGCTAATTCTTCAGCTAATTTCTTAGAAGCGGTATAAGCTTTAGCTTCACCATCAACATCATCCCAGGTAATTGGATTCCAAGTTTCTTCAGTATGAATGAATGTTTCATCACCACCTTTTTCACGATTGACAATTGCAGCGAATGAAGAAGTGATAACAACATGTTTAACTTGTGGAGCATACGCCTTGATAGCTTCCAACACATTTTTAGTGCCTTGAGTAGCTGGAACCCAGTAAGCTTCTTTCAAATCCTTGTTTAAGCCAAATGAAAATGGAGATGCAGTATGTAAAACATCAGTAATTTCTGGATGGTTTTTCAAAACTTCATTAAAAGCGCCTTCAGTAGCAATATCATGAACTATTTCAAATTCTAATTGAGAATTTGGATGTTCTTTTTGGAATTGAGCTTTAAGCTTTTCACCTTTCTCTGGAGATCTAATTGTACCAATGACATGGTGGCCTTTTTTCAACAATAGGTCAAGAATGTGGAGGGCAATGAACCCTGAAGCACCAGTAAGCAAAACAGTTTTGGTCGACATAATTGGGTACGTTGAAATAGAATTGAATGATTTGATTGCTTTGTGGAAGAGAGATAGATTATAAACTGCTTCTTTTTATAATTGCCTGCTCTTATGTTTGAAGTTTTAGCCACTTTCAGTAAGCGCCTGGTATTAATCCTTAAAGGGTATTCTTAGCGGAGTTTTAATTAACCATGGGAGGTATCAGTTTTAGCGACGAATTAACACAATGAGCAGCTCCAAATGCTTACTGATTAATAAAATATCATTGGTCTAGAGGCCGGAGCATCCTAAATGGTTAATAAAATCAACCGTATGATGGATAAAATAGGAATGTATATATTGTTACTGTTGATGGTCGAGAAGACGTTTTTTTATTGTTGATCAGTGAACGGTTTTAGTGGTTTCATCCAACCGCGTCAAACATCAATAAACCGCAGAAAAAATGAGAAAGAACATCCTCAGTATATACTTCTGAAGCTAAGTAACAATATCATCACGTTATTACACCAATTGCAATCTCTCAGCAGCTAAAATACTGATGTGAAACTTTACCGCGGCCCGCGGTTTGTCTAGTCGCGGCTGCTCAAAAGAAAAACAACTCAACAAGAAGCGGTTTTAGCTCAGTCGGGAGAGCGTTAGACTGAAGATCTAAAGGTCCTGTGTTCAATCCACAGAAATCGCAAACTTCTTATTTTTTTGCGGGCAAAACCCATTTTTTTAGTTAAATGAATGCTATACAGTGTAAAATAATGGCTTTTATAATGGTTCCATGCCTATTTTTTTTTAACATTTGTAGGTTTTGGTGCCCAATTGTTGAGGTTATTGTGTTGGAAATTACAGAAATGACTTTTTTCTTGTTCCGAAAATTACTCTCATCTGAGCCTAGCATCAGGCGGGACTAGAGGATGGAAACGGTTCATTTTCGGTTTGATTTTGGCCAAAATTCGTGTTCCGAAGCGAGAATTGGCAAACCGAGAGTATACTAATGGAAAAGCGAGTTTCAAGGAATAAAGGCCCAATAACCTATCAGTAGTGTTCTTTAGGACCTTTTTTATTGATCCCAAGTAGTTCTGGAATGATTCCTCCTTTTGTTGCGAGAAAATAAATGTTTTTCCATCCATGTTGCATTGGATATGGTGTTTAGCAGGGGGAAATTTTAAGGCTTGATTGAAGCATTTTTATAAGGCAAAAACATAATTTTAATACATCTACAGTGGTAATTGGCTCTTTGAAACAATATTCAAAGCATATTGCACATCTGATTGTGTTTATTTATATTACTTTCTATACGTATAAAACTCCAGACTTTATAGTGGAAGAAAGTAGTGTCCTATTCCAAAATCCCCATAGTTAAGGGATTACCCTACTCACGGTTTTGGCGTACTCGGTTTTCAGAGACGACAAAATTAGGCCTATTCGAGAGCGAAAATATTCACGTATTAAATCCGTTGCCATCCTCTAGGCGGGACCAGCACAAGCACTTGCGTAAATCAGAGACCAATCGTTTGTTTACATTTTCGAATTTTCTTCCACCAAGACATAAACATTTGAAAGAATCATTGTTTACCTTTTCCAAACCATACATTCTCTATACAATCTCACAGACATGTCGACACCAAACTCATCCGGTAAGAAGTCTCCTGAGGTTTTGGATCAGATGTTCAGAAATAATCACGTCTTGGCTCCTTCAAATCGTCAGAATTTAAACCCAGAAACTCCAAAGCAAAATGATTTCAATGATTCAGTAATAAGTGTTAGTTCTTCCTTCAGTGGTGATGAAAACATTAGTAAATTAGATTTCAGAGATGTTGAAAACAACCCAAAGACTCCACTTTATAGAGAGCAGTACAGACAGGGGCAATCTGTTCAACAGTTTTCACCAGCTCTAGTGGATCTGAATAGTCAAAGTTCTGACAGCTCAACAAATAATTCACCATCGGTATTGACCCACAAATCTAAATCAAATCTGTACAAGAATTCAGTAATGAATCGTATTAAAGGTGCAGCCAACAGTTCAACGCCAACATCAAATGAGAAATCTGAAGACAGTGAATTGATTATTGCCTCACCTTCAAAAGATACACAAATACCAAAGACCAATCCACCTCTATCAATTCTCAAGAAATCAGTTACATACCTGGATCCAGATATTTCCCAACAACTAGTTTCTAAACACCCTCAATTAAAAAGTTCTTTGAATTCAAATAAACAATTAAACCCAACAAAAGCTGCTAGAGTTGTATTGTCACCAAGCAAAAATGATATCATTCATCATCACTCCCCAGGGTTTTCAAAATCGTCTTCTTCTGTTAGACATGCCAGTCCATTGACAGACACACTTAATGGGAACTCAAAATCTAATTTCAAAAGTCCTTATAATGTTCGTCATTCTTCACATTCAACTAAAAGAAAAAGTAGTCTGAATAAACAACAAGATGATGAATGGATTGATGATAAAGATGGCAATGACGATGATGAAGAGGATGATAGAAAAAAATCTAAGAAAAAATCTAGATCCAAAAGTTGGTTATCATTATTGTTCAGCTTCAAATTCAAATCATTGATTGACCCTCAATTGCCTTATATCCTTTCATTATACCTACAACTCATTTTCAATGTTTTAATAGTGTCTATTCTTCTATATTTTGTCTACTCATTTATATCTACTGTTAAGGCAGACGTGGAAAATAAAGTGGACTCTTATGCTTCAGATATCATTCAAGAAATTGCCCTATGTTCAAGAGAATACCTAAGAAACAATTGTCAGCCAGGTAAAAGAGTCGTTGCATTAGAAGCTGCATGTTCACAATGGGAAAAATGTATGAATCAAGATCCAACCACTGTGGGAAGAGCCAAAATTGGAGCTGAAACATTTGCAGAAATTATTAATGGATTTATCAAACCAATTAGTTGGAAATCAATGACTTTCTTGTTTCTGATAACTGTTGGTTCATTAGTTTTAACAAATGCTGCTTTTGGTACCTATAGAAATTATTCACAATATGATGCACCATACCAACACAATGGTCAATCACACCAAGGCCCACCACCAGCTCAGACTCCATTGCACCAAACACCTTTCCAAACCCCTTATAGAACATTACAATATGATCCTGCTTACACAAGATTCTATACCCCTAAAAGTCCAACAAGCGCAGCTATCGTGAGACATAGAAGTAAGAGTGCTCGGAAGTCAAGAAGATGAATTGACTCGCTACATTTTATTATGGACTAGATTTGATATGTAATAATTTATTTATAAATGTGTTTTGAATTGTAACCTTTTGTGAAATATTTCGTTATCAACGGGATTACCCAATTAGGTAGTATAAGCGGGAAACAAATGAAATATAAATACCCACCATTATCTTCAACAATACAGTTTCATCAAATCTTGAAAGCATTAGCATAAGATAATTAATCAATGACAGTCTCAAACATTCCAACATTCACATTCCCAGCCACAGGAGCCAAAGTACCAGCACTAGGATTCGGTTCTGGGACTGCTTGGAAACTACGTAAACGTTCAAGACCAGAAGATCAAAAACATGAACCAATTGAAGAATTGATTGAAGGTACAAAAGATGCTATCCTTGCTGGCTTTAGACACATCGATACAGCAGAAGCTTATTCCACCCATTATGAAGTTGGTCAAGGGATTAAAAGATCCGGTGTCCCAAGATCTCAATTGTTTATTACTGATAAGTATAGTCCTGGATCTCCAGGGGTCTTGAAAAGTTCTGGTCCGTATGAAGCATTACAAAATGGGTTGAAAACTTTAGAGTTGGAGTATGTGGATCTTTATCTCTTGCATACACCTAGGATCTCGCCAGAGACTGTTGGGATCACGTTAGAGGAGGCTTGGTTACAAGTTGAGAGATTGTACAAAGATGGATTGGCTAAAAATGTTGGTGTTTCCAATTTCTCAGTTGAGCATTTAGAAAGAATTAATAAAGTTGCTACTGTGATCAAACCACAAGTTAACCAGATTGAGTTCCATGCTTATCTACAAGGTCAATCCCCAAAGATCTTGGAATTTGCAAAAGAGCATGATATCTTGATTGAAGCTTATTCTCCATTAGCTCCATTGTTTAGAGCTCGTCCAGGTCCATTGGATGATATTTTACCTGAGTTAGAGAAGAAATATAACAAGAGTGAGTCACAAATCTTGCTAAGATGGGTTTATCAACAAGGGATCTTACCTTTGACAACTTCATCTAAAGTTGAAAGATTGGTTGATGCATTGAATATTTTTACATTTGAGTTGGAGCAAGATGATTTTGAAAAGATCACTAATATTGGAAAAGAAAAGATTGCTCGTCATTTTGCTGCTGATTTATATGGGAAGTATGATCAATGAACACTCACATTATAACATCACTTTATTAAATATTCAGAGCCTCTAGAGCTTAATGGTTAGATTAAAAAAGTATAATCTTTAGCTTCTACACCATAGTATGTAGTGATAAACTTCGGTTGAGAGCTCGTTTCAAAGTCTTTCTTTTAAGAACCTACACTCCTTTTGTTAATTTCTAGTAGCTTTTTGATATACGTAAAACTAAAGAGTAGCCAATCATTTTTGATTCTGGTTAAACGTTATATATTCACTATAGCCGTCTTCAAAGCTTATTTCAGGAGAAGTGCTCTGAAGTGACATTTATCCAATAGTAATGCAAAACATAAACCAACAATTCACTCACATCAAACAACAGATCAGCCTCACTTTTTGGCGTCTCTTCTATTTATTCTCCAATTCTTGAAATCCTCTGTGAGCAAACCTCCTTCAAGGATACTAGAACCAACATCTGGTGTTAGTTCAAATAATGATAATAATTTTGTTGATGGGTCATAACTTAATCTGAATGCTTTTGATTCTTCTTTTGGAACATTTTTAACGATCCATTCAACAACAGCACCGTACCATTTCAATGAATCGATACAATTGATCTTTCTTGGATTTGTATTGACAGGGTTGTTTTTCAAAAGAACTGGAATTTCATCAACTTTATATTGTTCCACCGATCTTAGAATCAAATTATCATCTCTGAATCCATAAATCACTTTTTGTATACCTAATAAAAAACATTGAGCCCAAGTTTTGTATAATTTCTTTTCAAACTTGACAGATTGACTTGGTTCATTGATGGCTTTTGAAGTTTTCAACTCAACATAATGAGATAATGGGTTACCGCTTTCAGGTTTATAATCCCATACACAGTCAACTTCACCACCAATTATTATCCTTTGTTTACCAATCCCCGTCTTAACAACTGAGCAGTACTGTTCACAGTTATTTGTAATTTTCTTGGAATTTTTATCAATCATTGCTCTTGAAGCTTCTGTTAATGGTTTAGGCAGCGTGGCTATCGTTTCAAATTTATAACCAGAATACATTAATTTTTGGTGTTCAAGATTTGGTTTCTTTTCACGAGACATCTTTAGTGCTTTATCCTCTTGCATGAATATATGACCATCAAAATACACAACATTTAAGTCTAGTGGATCTCTCAAGTTTTGATGCAAAGTCATCAATTTTGTCATTATACCTCTCCATGTGATTATATCTGCTTTAACTTTTGTATCATTTTTCTCTTCATAGTTCTTAATGGCACCTAGCAAACCAACAAATTCACCATCTCTTTCTTCATCAAATTTTTTGAACTTCTTGAAACCAGCCCCTAAATCGATATTTGTATCAATATCTGAATCTGGCAAGAAGTAATAACTCAAACTCGAATCATCATTGACATATTCACCATCAAAAGTTCTGGAAAACGAAAGTAATTCTTTCGGTTGCCTCAAAGATGTTGTAGCAGCTCTAGTATCCAATGGCAAAAACTTTGGTTGATTCATTTTCTGTCTGATTTGACCTTATGAAAACTTGTTGATGCTGTTTGAAATTTTACCTTTTTGGATTAAGATCCAAAATTTTGCAAAAAGTAGTGGCCGTATCAACGATATTTTTCACTTCAGAAAAAAATCATGAAAACGTCAATGACTGAACTCTTTTAAAAACCATCTTTGAAACGCTCATTGAAGATGTCCTACACTTTAACCGTTGCTGCTAAGGCTCCAGTCGTTGCCTACCCGGCATTGATTGCTGCTGCGTTTGTCAATTCCCAAACCGAAACCGCCATCAAGATTGACTTTGTTGACGAAAAAGCTGTCGATAAAGCTGCTGTCAAGTTAACTAAAGGTGATGAAACTTTTGTTGATAACCAAGCTTTGGAAAAATTGGCTGCTGATTTCCCAAAAGTCTTGTTAGAAGGTGATGCTTCAAAAGAATGGATCAAATTCGCTGCTGAAGAATTAACTATTAAAGATTTCAAAAAATTATCAGTTTCTTTAGAAAAATTAGATGCTCATTTAAACTACCGTTCATACATTGTTGGTTACAAACCTTCATTAGCTGATATCGCTGTCTGGGGTTACTTGAGATCAAACGGTGTCATTGGTTCAGTTATCAAAAATACCGTTTACATCAACGTTTCCCGTTGGTACACTCATCTTGAATCAAACAAAACATTTGGTGGTATTTCTGAATTATTCACTAAATCTGTTGCTGAATTAAGAAAACAAGCTAAAGTTAAACCAGATGGTAAAAAAGAAACCCATAAAGCTAACTTTGATATTGATTTGAAAGATGCTGTCGATGGCCAAGTTGTCACTCGTTTCCCACCTGAACCATCTGGATATTTACATATTGGTCATGCCAAAGCTGCTATTTTAAACAAATACTTTGCTGATCAATACCATGGTAAATTGATTATCAGATTTGATGATACCAATCCTTCAAAAGAAAAAGTTGAATTCGAAGAATCAATTATTGAAGATTTAAGATTATTAGGTATCAAAGGTGATAAGCAAACTTATTCATCAGATTACTTTGACCACATGTATGATTTAGCTGTTAAATTGATTAAAGAAGGTAAAGCTTATGCTGATGATACACCATTAGAAAAAATGAGACAAAATAGAATGGACGGTATTGCCTCTGATAGACGTGACCGTACTGTTGAAGAAAATTTGAAGATTTTCACTGAAGACATGAAGAATGCTACTGAAGAAGGTTTGAAAAACTGTATTCGTGCTAAAATTTCCGTTGACAATCCAAACAAGGCTTTAAGAGATCCAGTTATTTACAGATGTAATTTAACTCCACATCATAGAACTGGTTCCCAATGGAAAATGTACCCAACTTATGATTTCTGTGTTCCAGTTGTTGATTCTTTAGAAGGTGTTACACACGCTTTACGTACCATTGAATATAAAGATCGTGATGCTCAATATGAATGGTTCTTGAAAGCTTTAAATATTAGAAAGGTTCATTTGTGGGAATTTGCCAGAGTTAACTTTGTTAGAACTTTGTTATCAAAACGTAAATTACAATGGTTTGTTGATAAGAACTACGTTTCAAACTGGGATGACCCAAGATTCCCAACTGTTAGAGGTGTTAGACGTAGAGGTATGACTGTTGAAGGTTTGAAAAACTTTGTTATTTCTCAAGGTCCATCTAAAAACATTATCAATTTGGATTGGAGTATTATCTGGGCTGCCAACAAGAAAGTTATTGATCCAGTTGCTCCACGTCACACTGCTGTCGTTTCACCAGTTAAAGTTCATATTGTTGATGGTCCAGCTAAACCATACACTGAAAAGAAACCAAAACATAAGAAAAATCCAGATGTTGGCGAAAAAGATGTCATCTATGCTTCTGATATCTTGATTGATCAAGAAGATGCTGATTCATTTGAAGATGGTGAAGAATTAACTTTAATGGATTGGGGTAATGTTATCATCACCAAACTCGTCAAAGAAGGTGAACATGTTAAATCAATTGAAGCTAAATTGAATTTGGATGGTGACTTCCGTAAGACTAAACATAAAGTTACTTGGTTAGCTGATACTCCAGAAAAAGTTTCTGTTGATTTAGTTGATTTTGATCATTTAATCACCAAAGATAAATTAGAAGATGGTGATGATTTCGAAAACTTTTTAACTCCAAAGACTGAATTCCACACAGAAGGTTTGGCTGATGTTAATGTTGCTTCCATGAAAGTTGGTGACATCATTCAATTTGAAAGAAAGGGTTACTACCGTCTTGATAAACAAGCTGAAGGTGGTAAACCAGCTGTTTTCTTCACTATCCCAGATGGTAAAACTGTTAACAAATATGGTGCCAAGAAATAATCTGTATAGATAGAGGTAATACATTTTGAAAATAGGATTCTACACATAATACAACTCCTTAACCTTAGGTAGTAATGAATGCAAACTATAAATGACTAATTAAAATGCTTATTACGATCAATAATCATATATCTAACAAAAATCTCCAAACAAGAAACAACCAATGATAAAAAGAAAACTGTGATAATCATATATGTGATTCTGGTCATATTCTTTTCAGCAATTGAATCAGCAACAATGTCAATGAATTCTAAAAACACCTTACATCTATCATTTAATACTTCAACTCTTTGATCAATTTCCAAATATTCCTTTACAGCATTATATAATGGATGTAAACTTGGTTCAAAAGTCCAAAAGAATTCAGGTGTATCCAACACATTTGATGATAAATTGACATCAACTCTTAACTTAAACAACTTACCAGATTTCTTGATAAGTTGTTCACGCTTCAAACCCAACTTCCCAGTCAATGCTAATCTTTTAGGTAATTTGGAAACTGAATATAGAATAGGTGTGATTCTCGATTCAAACCTGCATAATTTTGTGGATTGTGCAATTGCATGAGACATTGTTAATTTGATTAAATGATCACCAGAACGTAACGTAATCATATCATTATAAATTCTTGGTCTTTCTGTATCCATATCATATTCAAAATGGAACTGTTCCTTTTCAATATCATGTTCATCAATAGGCCTTATCAATAGCTGTTTATTATCATTTTCATTTCTAGCAAAGGATATATCACCAAGAATGTTCTTTTCTTGGATTTCTGTAAAATTCCAAAACACAACAACCCCATAGTTGAATATAAACATTTCAGCATGATGTTTGATCATTTCTTGTGATTTTGCATTCGATGCTGCACTATTCTCTTGAACATTCTCTGCGAAAAATTGGGGCTCTGATGGATCAAATGGACCATAATTAGCTTCTTCAGTTTCAGGTTTATCAATCTCATAATTGTTATTAGCATCTTCTGGAGTTTCAACACCGCTATAATACTCATAATGATGATCTCTTCTTTCAGATGTGTCTATAAGTCTTTCCATATAAGCAACACCACTCGCATTCTTTGCTGATTTGTTAGATTTAATTCTAAACCCATCTCTACCAGGCAATAAGGGTAAACAATAAGGACAATATAAAGCTTCGTCATAGATTCTTGGATAAATATCATGCGTTTCTTTCAAAAATTGTGCAGTTCTTTTCAAGTTGAACCCATCTGAAACTAAATATGCTGTAACTCTTGATAATTTTTTACCTCTCTTCTCCTTGGACATTTTTTCAGCTTTTGATCTAGCAGATTTAGAAGAAGGTCTTGGACCACCAATTTCATGATCATACTCTTCATCTTCATCTGGAATTAAAACAAGTTTTTGTGAAGTTTTTGAAGTTCTTGATGGTAATGGTTGAAAAGGTTTCATATAAAGCTTCCTCCTTTGATCACGAAGAGAACTACCTAGATTGATAGACCCGCTAGACAATCTTTCCTCTCTTCGTCCTGATGGGATATCACTAACATCTGACAATATGTTTGAGACTGAGATATCACTGAATTTCCCACTATTCCTCTTTTTAAGTCTGGCTGTTTTACTGAGATGATTTGAACCATTGTTACTGCTGTTGTGTGCAGCACCTGCAAAAGGAGCACTTTTGTGGTTGGCGTTTCTTGAGTCTGTAACTAAGATTGAAGGTGATCTCTTTGCAGTCGGCCTCTGTGCCATTTTAACTATTGTGTGATCATCAAAACACCTTCTCTAAAGGGTCTTTTTGGATTAATAAGTTTATGTTAAATGCTGATTGCAACTTTCTGTTACTAAATTTTTATGAAATCCGAAAATGTGTTGCCCCTTGGCATTTTAGTCAGGTGATGCATCACGTTCTAGTAAATCTCCCAATTCGTCATTTTCGCGATTTCTCGAAATTTTGGAAATGGCGAACAAAATCAGAAATTGACCAATGTGTATTTTGAAATCATCAACAACTCAGATTATTGTGGTATATCAATTGTGGAAATGTCTGATTTAGAAGAGGATCTTTTAGCCTTGGCTGGTGCAGGTTCAGAAAGCGAAAGTGATAATGAACCATTATCTAACAAAAGAAGTGGAACACCAGATAAAGCACAACGTAAGAAGAAGAAAGTGTAAGTTTTCAATAATTATCAATGATTTTGAAATCATTTACTAACGTTTCGTATTAGTGTTGAAGAAGACGAAGACGACTATGATATAGGTGATGCTGATGAGGATGAAGAAGAAGATGACTATGACATGGATGAAGTTTATGGTGAGGATGATGAAGATGATGACATTAATGAACCAGTTAATCCATATCCATTAGAAGGCAAATATAAAAATGAAAAGGATAGAGCAGAATTGGAAAATATGCCTGAGATGCAAAGAGAATCCATTTTGTTCGAACGTTCTCAAGAATTAAGAAAGTATAATGATAAGAAGTTATTGGCTCAAAGAGCTAAACAAAATCAAGCTCAAAAGCAAAGATCAAGTGGTAGATCTCAAAAAGTTAAAGAATCATCAAGATCAGTCAAATCATCTAAACTATCTGAATTGAAGAAACAAAGAGAAAAAAAGAATAGAAGAGCAAATAGAGAAGATTATGACGATGAAGACGAGGATGAAGATGAAGAGGAGGAAGAAGATCCTTATGATTTAGGTGATGAAGATGAAGAAGAAGATTCATATGAACCAGATTTCAATGATTTTGGTGGCCATGATGTTAAATGGGCTGAAAGTTCAAAACGTAAAGCTGTTGAAGTTAAAGACATAAACAAAATAAAGACTGGACATTCAATCGCTGAGAAATACTGTTTCTATCCAGGTTTCACTACTGCTATGATTGGTACTTTTGGTAGAATTGCCATTAGTAAGAATGAATATCGTATGGTAAAAATTGAAAAAGTTATTCATGCCAAACCTTATAGATTGGGAAATTTAAGAACAGATCAGTATTTTGTTGTTTCACAACCTGGGAAAGATACTAAAAGCTTCAATATGAATTATTTTAGTGATGATGCTATATCAGATGCAGAGTTTGAGAAATATAATCAGTATATAAGTGATGCAACAGCTAGTGGGAAAAAGGCTTCATTACCAAGTCTAAGGGATATTGATGAGAAATATCAAGAATTGAGACAATTTGCTACGAAGAAACTAGAAGGTGCAGCTTTTGAAGAATTTATTCGCAGAAGAAGTTTATTCAATGATACATCTGTTGGTGCCAATTATGTTTTGAAAAAATCTGAATTTGAACAAAAGTTAGCAATGGCTAAAGATAGAAATGATATCAGAGCTATTAAAGACTATAGTGAAAGATTAAGAAAGATTGAAAATCATTTCCAAAAATCAAACCCAAACAGAGTTAGTGCAGGTTCTTCATCCGATCAATTTGCTAAATTGAATGAAAAGAATAGAAAGTTGAATATGAAATCTGTCAAAGAAGCTGAACTGATAAATACTGAAAAGAGAAGAACAGGTACAACAGATAAGAGTGATCCATTCCGTAGATTAACAACAAAATCAAGAATGTACTATCAAGAAATCCAAAAAGAAGAAAATGAAAAGGCTAAAAATGATGCTATTGTTGCGGCTCAGGAAAAATCTGAAAAAGAGGCCAAAGAAAAACAATTGTTGAAACAAGCCAAATATAGAAACTTGGGTGAAATGGATAAATTGATAGCTAGTATTGATTTCAAATTTGATATCAAGATCTAGTAAGTTATATGTATAATTAGTGGTGTTCATAAGAAGTTTTGTACTGTTTTTTTGAAATTTTCGTAACACACTTGAAAAAAAAAATACATTCAGAATTTAGCTAAAAGTAGAGAAACACAACGTAAATGGACGATCTGGGAACCATTGGCGACGATATAGCCAAAGAAGTTATCAAACAATTTGAAACCAATGATTTGAAAGGGAAACCAGTGATCAGGTCAAATGGTGTCAAAGAGTGGACAGTTTTGGCAGGAGTAGTTGCCCTTAAGAATGGCAAAGTCATCAACACAATTTCAATCGCTACAGGTGTCAAAGCTCTCCCCGACGCTACAATCAAATCACATTCAAATGGATTATTACTGCACGATTGTCACGCAGAAATCTTAGCATTTCGAGCTTTTAATTGGTTTGTTATTCAAGAATGCCTCAAGGTTTCGAATTTAGATAGGAGTGACTATTTTGAGTTTAATGATGGTCACTTCAATTTGAAGGATGGTATTGAATTTGGGATGTATGTTTCAGAACCACCATGTGGAGATGCTAGCTTGGAGCTTTTAATTGATGAAAATGATGAAGAATGGAGGACCCATACTGAACTTGCCGGTGGTGTATTGAGAGGTCGTGAAAACTATACCTTAAAGGGACGTGTAAGGACAAAACCTGGAAGGAGGGATTCACCAATGACCTTATCCAAAAGTTGTTCAGATAAGCTGGCTGTAAAGCAATTCACATCAATCTTGAATGGTGTTACCAGCTCATTTGTTCACCCAAAGGGATGCTATTTGAAATATTTGGTGATTCCAGAAGATAAAGTTGATATGCCTGCGATGGAAAGATGTTTTCATGATCGTTTCAATCCACATCCAATTAACCATATGTACACACTCAATAGGCTAAAGATATTAACCACTAAGGAAACGCATTCATTTGCGAAAGAACAGTCAAACCAACCTCCTTCAAACACAAGTTTAATATATGTGCCTAAATATAACTTCAATGAATCAATTGTCAATTCTGTCAAGGAAGGGTACTATACCAAAAGAAAATCTGTTAGAAAAAATGGAGAAAGTGAACTATCCAGGTACAAATTATTTCAAGAATCGCAATCATTAAGTGGTGGCTTCAAAGCTCGTTCATATTTTGAATGGAAATTGACAAATAAAGAGTATAGGAAAGCAAAAGAGATTGCTAAAGAAGCAATTGGTGCATGGTGCTGTACAGCTACTGATGACTTTGATATCCTAAAAAACGATGCATGATATTTAGAATAAAATAAAAAGACCTTCTAACACTCTAATAAAACGAATCAACGCAACATATTTCATTCATCACTATCGGAAGCAGATGCTTCGCCTGCATCACTTGGTTCCTCATCAACATCTTTCAATGTTAGTGCTTCTTCCATATCCCGCATAAGATAGTACTCACTGTTCTTTGATTCTTCTTCTTCTAGTGTAGCTGCAAATTCGGCAGATTGTAGTAGTTCTTTCAACGAAGGGTTCTCAGCATGTATCAATTGTACCGGTTTGAAACCTCCTTTGTTTTTTATTCTAAACCAGAGTTAGTAACCACTGACAACAGTGATAAATGCAATATACTTACCTTGCATCAGCACCTGCTTCAACTAATGTCTCCGCAATGAAATGGCCATGTTCAGGTTCCGTCTCACTATAGCGCACAGCCAAATGAAGAGGTGTGTCACCATCAATCACATTTACTGGATCAACTTCAGTACCTTCTTTGTCCAAAATAGTATCCATCACTTCAAAAGACCCATATTTAGCAGCCAAATGTAATGGTGTGTTACCCAATGCATCTTTAGAATGATTTATTATATCTGGGATATTTTCAGGACTGGCATTTGCCAATATTTCTGCTAAAAGCTCTGTGTTGTTACGACGACTCGCGTCCAGTATTTGTTCCTTGAACGATGCTCCTTCTTCTGACATTTCCCAACTCTTTTGAATTGCTCTGTAATCTGCTGCGATCTTATCGTTAAACAAGTTTCTGAACAAGTTTCCAAATCGAAATCCCAATTTGACCAAAATCCAAATCCACAATACGCGGTGCTGCGCATACCGTGTTTTCGCGACTGTTTTTTCGCGCCTGTTATTTTTTTTGTTGTTTTTTGACTGGTGCTTTTTCTCTGAAGAAGTAACGTGTAACAAGAAGCGTTGATACTATTCAGAAACTGTTCCAAGGGCTTAGAATGGACAGGGCTATTTTAGACGTGATCCACAGGATCCAACTGCCCGATAATGCTACCAGACAGAGAGCCGAAGAAGAATTGAGCCAACTAGTCACATCAGACCCATCTCAAGCTGCTATTGTCTTGATCAATATTGCCAAAACTTCAGATGCCCATATCGCAATCAGACAAAGCGCCCTATTAAACTTGAAGAGAATCGTCCCATTATTTTGGAGTGCTGGGTTTGACTCTTTTAGAGGTCCAGCTATCAATCAAGATTCCAAAATTCATATACGATCAGATTTGTTGAATCTAATCACAGGTGATCCAGATAGTAAAATTAGAAGTGGTGGTGCTTATGCTGTTGTTCAAATCGCTGCCGTGGATTATCCAGATGAGTGGCCTGACTTGCTAGATATTTTGTACACTAAGATGACTTCATTGGATCCAATAGCTGTTTTGGGTGGTTTGTCATTGTTACAAGACCTGTTTGACGACTTGGTTACTGAGGAACAATTCTTTGAAGGTGGTGTTGGTATTGCAACTATTACACAGTGCTTGAAATTATTGAGTTCAGACCAAGTTGCAGATAATATTAAAGCTGCTGCTGCAAACTTGTACAAATCTTGTTTATTACAATTACAAAGTCCAGATGTTTTGGAGAGTCCTCAGAAAAGAGCAGGCTTGGAGCAACATTTCAAAGAAATTGTGACCTTGTTGACTGTCATTCTACAAAAGCATTCACTAAATATTCATAGTATCATTCTAAGAACCACTTTATACTCAATTGCATATACCTTGAATACTGAATTCCCAGAAAAATTATTTGAAAACAATGCAAAGATTGCTTTACAACAACAAGTTGCCAATGATATCATTTCCACTTCAAAAGTATTTGTGGAGCTAGTTGTTTTGGAAAATGAAGATACTTATACCAATAATAATGATTTAGATATCTCCACAAGTACATCCTTAAACAATTTGTTAATTGAACAGTTTCAATTTTTAGGTTCTTTGAACAAGTTGAAAATAACACAAAGCCCTATTGAATATTTTTTGGATTCAGTGCTAGTTTCATGTTTTATTCCTTTAGAAGCTGAATCAGAATGGTTGGGTGATTATAATGTCTTTGTTACTGACGAAACCGGTGTTTCTCCAGATTTTGTCGCAAGGAATGCGGTATTTGAATACTTGTCAGAACTCAATAAAGAGGATGCAAACTCTATCTTCAATTGGTGTGTTAAAAAATTACTACAATTTGATGGAAGTGATGATTGGAGAAGCAAAGAAGCGTTACTTTATGCACTTGGTGGGTTGTTACAAAACGATGTTCATTTACACACGGATATCTCACTGGTTGAAATTTTGAATTCGATTGCCTCACTATTGCAAGACAAGGAAGTTTTGGTAAGAGCTCGTGCCATCTTGATAATTCCAGAATTTTTAGAGAAATTCAAAGATTCCTTGAGTTCTACGGATTTCGGTATAAAATCAATGATGGAATCCCTGAGAATTGCATCAAATGATGAATCACCAGTTTTGAAAGCTGCTTTTTTGGTTTCATTAACCTACTATAATTCAATCTTGGAATTTCAAGGTGTACCAAAAGAATCACAAGAAATTATTTTTAGAATATGTGAAGCACTATTGGAAGACGCTGAAGAAGATACACCTTCTCTATTAGCTGAGACATTAACATTGGCGCTGAAGATTAATCGTACTTCCATCAGAGCACTGAACTTGTTGTTCCAAATTGCTTCAAGAGACCCTGGTAATATTCAACTAGTTATAGATATAGAAGAAGCATTAGAAGCATTATTGGCTGATGTTGATCTTCAGACCTACTTGTCTTATGCTCAAACATCCCTTCCAGGTTTATTGGCAACTTTAGAATCATCAAACTATGAATTTTCTGCTCAGCTAAGTCTTGCCATCCAAATTTTAAACATTTTCATTTATAATTGCCCTCAAAGTTTACCTCAATCGTTGTTCAATATCATCAATCCTGTATTGGCTAAACTACTACTACAGGCTACTGATGATCAACTATTACAATTAGGTGGTGATGCTTATACTTCATTAGTTAAAGTTTCAGAAGCAGATTTCTTTGATGTTGGTGTTGTTTTAGAAATTTTGAGTAAATTCTTGGATCCAAATTTATCAGACAGTGCAGCCATGAATGTTGGTTCATTAGTTGTCTCTGCTATCACCAAATTTAGTGCAAATTTGGAAAGTATCCTACCTCAAATCTTGGAAGCTACAACAAGAAGGTTGATTGCTGCTAAAGAATTATCTACAGTGGAAGACTTGTTATCAGTCTTGTGTTATATGGTATCTATTGATGTTGATCAAACAATAAATTTCTTGCAAAATTTTGAAATCCAAACTATTTTCAACATTTGGTTTAAAAACTTTGAAACGTTAAGAGGTTTAAAGATTAAGGAGAATTGTGAAGCACTAGCAAAGATATATTTGGCCAATAAGTCATTTGAGTTCACAGTGGATGGTGATGAATATGTTGATTTGAAATCTGATATCATTATAACGAGATCAATGAGACGCAAACAAGAGTTTCAACAAGTTTCTGTCTCATTCAAGATTATTAAATGTTTGGTTTTTGAATTGAATTCACAAGCTCAACACAGAGATATTGGTGAAGCTACTGATTATGCACATGATGACCATGACCACGACCACGACCATATTGAACAAGATGATGGGGATGAAGGTTGGGAAGATCTTGATGACATTGGAGATAATTTTGAAAAATTTCAATCCTATATTGATGATGATAGAGATCATGGAGATGCAGATGACGATTTGAAAGAATTTTTAATAAATTTCTTCAAGACAGTTGCATCTCAAAATATCCAAAATTTTAAAGAGATCTACAATAATTTAAGAGATGAGGAAAAACAAGTATTAACTGAGAATGTTGTTTAAATACTGACTCTAAAAAAACATCAATATGCATAACGGAAATTTGGATTTTGTAGATCAGTCATATCCAAAAACTCATAGTTTTCAGGTAATTCCATAGCTTCGGCTCTCTCCTTCTTTTGGTTTTCAAATCTTGAAATCAATGCAACAACAATAACTAACAAAATTGAAACAACCATAGTAACCAATAATGTAATCTTAGCAGGAATATAACGAGGATAATCTTGATCTCTGAATAATTGAGGACCGATCAAACAACCAACAGCAAATGCAATCATTGTCATACAATTTCTTCCAATCCTCTTTGTATAACCAGCAGTGTTTGTGTTGTTCCAACTATAGATCAATGTGATGACACAACTTCCGGATGATAACAAATAAACTGATAGCAAGTTACCTATTCTATCTTTTGAAGAAATCATGACGATATAACCAACAATAGATGGTATACACATTGAAATGAAAATCAAAGTTCTATGACCAAAATGTGCACAAATATATGTTGCCATCAAAATACAAATAATAACAGCAGCACCAGCAGGCATTTGAGCCAATGCTGAAACCTTGTTTGAGAAGCCAAAAGTTTTGATAATTGTGACTGAAAATGTAGAAATGGCACCTGTACAAATTTGTGAAACGATGGTTAGGAAAAACATTGGCCAAGTATGTTTATCTTTGAATAAAAGTTCCATAATTTGTTCCTTTTTGAAGATTTTATTTTCAACACCAGTTTGGTTATTTCTAACATGTTCAATAACAATCATTTTCTCTTCCTCAGTTAAAAACCAAGCCTTTGTTGGATTATCAGGTAAGTAAAACCAAGTGAAAATACCAAAGAAGAAAGTAATAACACCGATAACCAAAAAGAAGATTTGCCATGATTGAAATGTCTTATTTTCAATATGTTGGAAGGCAAATGATAAAAGACCACCGATGATAGAACCAGTACCTGCTTGGATAGACCAAAGACCCATTCTTCTCAGCTGCTGTTTATGGTCCCAATACATACCAGAGATTGCAATAAGGCATACAGCAACTGGGCCTTCAAAAGCACCCAATAGTGTACGAACAATCATTAAAGAAGCATAAGTATGACAAGCAGAATGGCAAGCAACAATGATCCCCCAAGCTATGATGGTGAATGATAAAAATTTGGCTAATGGTAGTTTTTGTAACAAGTATGAATTCATAGGTTCAAAGAAAATATAAGCAGCATAAAAAATTGTAGCCAAGTTTGCAAACTCATTCCCCTTTAGGTTTTTCTTAATACCCATAACAGCAGCATAATTGATTAACGTCTTATCCAAGAATTGTAAAAAGTAAATCATACACATCACAGGTATTAGACATAGATCAATTTTCCACATTAGCTTTGAATCCATTGTTCTTTTTTCCACTTTGATTTGCTCATCAAGTGATTTTTTTTCATTAATGAAGCGTAATGCTTCATCATAGTTCTTGAGTGTTGACTCATCTGAAGTTGAGTTAACTTTCTCCAGGTCAGCAGTTTTGTTCATGATGGCTTTTGCTTTAATTAACTTTATGAATGTAAGTCTTTGGAAAAAGCAGCGATGAGATGATCTTTTATACCTAGATTAATGTGTTTGAGATCGTATCTGCAGTCACAACGGCTGATACCCTAACAAGAAACACTGAAAATATTAAGCGGACTTTTGATGCTCATCTGATCATAAAGTTTCTCAAGATCTTTTGAACTGTAGCTAGTTGTAGGCTGCTTTTTTCTTATGGGTTTGGTGAAAAAAGCGCACAGATTTTCTTTCTAAGTGCATATGGTGATTCTTTTGATTCGTTTTGAAGCTTATGAACAAAGTATTTGTTAGGAATTGTAGCAGCTTGTAGCATTGAAAGTATTGTTGTCAAACATACTGTAATTGGGTATCAAAGCTGTTGATGCTGTTGACGAAGTTGACATTGTTGTTGATGTTTTTGTAAAAGTATAAACATCAACGGATTTTTATGGCCCTCGAAGCGTTTCGCGAAAATCAGGCTTACCAAATTTTACATGGGCTACTAATCCACTATATATTAACTTAGTTCAAATCTATCTTCTCTGATAATAACTCATAAACTCATGTATTAGAATATAGTATGTTGGTCCAAAGTTTCTTTAACGCTTTCTTCTCAATAATAAGGACAAAGCAGTGGCACCAGCTGCAACAACACCAGAAACAATAGCAATACCAATTATACCCTCTTTATGCATGTTAGTAACTCTCAAAAACCATTCATCAACCATGGAATACATACCTTTTGCAATCTTATCTTCAATCATCTCTTTCAATGCGGATGCTTGAGGATTTGTAGGATCATGATTAGCCAAAGAATCAGCATATCTTCTAGCTGTAGCATATTCACCCAGCTTGTATGACCCTAGAGCCAGGTAATATAGACATTCTCTTCTTCTTATTGGGGAATCTTTGAATATATCACCCAATATCTTGATACCTAAACGTTGGTCATCTTCTTTATTTGATTTGATTAGACCCCAAGCATAGTTGAAACGGGATTGAACAGAAACCACATCTCCTTCAGATAGTACCTGTTGACGGAGTACTTCTAGTTGCTCTGGCGAAAGTGGGCTAAAATTAATCTCTGGTTAGTTTTGTCATAACTTGAATTTGGTTGGTTTGTATTAATTGGCCACTTACGTATTGACATCCTGTAGTGCTATAAAAAAGCATTAGTATTCCATTCATTAACTCATATTCCTCAATCGTAATGACATACCTGGATAGTAAGGCTGGGACATCTTCAGTATATAATAGTCTTTACAGTGTATTGTGCAATTGAAGTCTGCTTACTGACATAAAACTCACAAACTTTTGTACCCGTCAGAAACCTTTCGCGATATTCGTTTTCGCGAAGGCGTTTGGCAATTTTTTTTTTTTTTTTTTTGCTTATCGGCTTTTTCTGTGCAAACCAAAGTTGAAAATTTTTTTACAATGAAGGTCTGAGAACAGCGCAATGGGAACCTGTAATTGGTCAATTGTGAAGGTGTATATGAAGAACCATTCCAGATATTACCAGATCTCTAAAAACTTTTAGTATATAATCTTCCAATTTTTTGTTTTCCCCCTTCTTTCCTCCCTTTTAATCTTGGTCACGTGAAATCGGTCTCCAGCTTAGTCAGCCTCCCGTCAAAAAAATCAAATCAGTCATACTTCGACTTTGAACTTTCTTTTACAAAAACTATTTCAACAACGTTTGCTTTGTTTTACTCAATCAATCAAAAGGGAACGTTTCACAAAGCAATGCTTCGTTCTTCATTGTCCTCCCAAAGACGCCAGTTCACTCGCTCTGGTCGTAATGCCTTGAAGGCTGCTACCACTGGTGCTGCTAATGGCTCAAAAGCTGCCCATTTGAACTTACCAAGATCAACAAGTGCTGGTATTACTGGATCTTCTGCAAACAACTGTCATTCAACTCTTTGTCGTTCCTACTCAACCAGATCTACTGTTATCCAACTATTGAACAACATTGGTTCCAAAAGGGAAGTTGAACAATATTTGAAATATTTCACTTCTGTGTCCTCTCAACAATTTGCTGTTATCAAAGTTGGTGGGGCTATTATTACCCAACATTTACCAGAGCTGGCCTCTTGTTTGGCCTTCTTGTACCATGTTGGTTTATACCCAATTGTTTTACACGGTACTGGTCCTCAAATCAACGAATTGTTAGAGGCTGAAGGTGTCGAACCAGATTATGAAGATGGTATCAGAATTACAGATCCAAAGACTATGAGTGTTGTTAGAAAATGTTTCTTGGAACAAAACTTGAAATTAGTTACTGCCTTGGAGAAAATGGGTGTCCATGCTAGACCTATCACTGCTGGTGTCTTCAATGCCGATTATCTAGATGAAGCCAAATATAAATTAGTTGGTAAAATCAACGGTGTCAACAAATCACCAATTGAAGCATCAATTGCAGCTGGTGCCTTACCAATCTTGACTTCATTAGCTGAAACTCCATCAGGTCAAATCTTGAATGTTAATGCTGATGTTGCTGCTGGTGAATTGGCTCGTGTCTTTGAACCTTTAAAAATCGTCTATTTGAATGAAAAAGGTGGTATTATCAATGGTAACACTGGTGAAAAAATCTCTGCTATTAACTTGGATGAAGAGTATGATGATTTAATGAAAGAATCATGGGTTAAATATGGTACCAAATTGAAAATTAAAGAAATTAAAGACTTGTTAATGCACTTACCAAGATCTTCCTCAGTTGCTATCATCAATGTTAATGATTTACAAAAAGAATTGTTTACTGACTCTGGTGCTGGTACTTTAATTAGAAGGGGTTACCGTTTATTGACTAGATCATCATTGTCTGAATTTTCTGAACCTGAATTGTTGAGAAAAGCTTTACAAAGAGATCCAGAAATTGCTTCCGGTAAATTATCAGTTGCTTCTTATTTGAGAGAATTAGAAAACACCAATTTCAAATCTTATGGTGATGAGCCATTAGAAGTCTTAGCTATTGTCAGAGATGGTACTGAATCAACTGCCAACGTTCCAGTTTTGGATAAATTTTTGGCTTCGAAAGCTGGTTGGTTAAATAACGTTTCTGATAACATTTTCCATGCCATTAGACGTGACTACACTTCATTACAATGGGTTGTTAGAGAAGATGATCCAAACACCAGTTGGTATTTCTCAAAATCTGATGGTTCCTACACTAAGAATGGTCGTATTCTTTTCTGGTTTGGTGTTGATAACCCAGAGAGTGTCACTGAATTGATCAACAACTTTGATCATAGATATGCTCGTATTGCTAAAAGCTCTGCAGAATCTGGTGTTTTCGCTGGTCAACAATCAAGAGCATTTTCCACCATGAGAATTAGACAATCAACACCATCAACCACTGAAGTTAGATCAACTAGGAAACCAATCCAAGGTTTCGCATCCTCTCAAAAAACTTTTGGTGTTAGAACTTTTGCTACTGAAACTAATCCAAATCCTCCAGTTCGTGAAGGTACAAATACTAAAAAATCAAGAGTTGCGTTAATTGGTGCTAGAGGTTACACTGGTCAAAATTTGATCTCTATGATTAATTCACATCCATTCTTGGAATTGACACATGTTTCATCTCGTGAATTACAAGGTAAAAAACTAGAAGGTTACACTAAAGCTAGCATTACTTATGAAAATTTGCAAGTTGAAGATATTAAAAGAATGGAAGAACGTAATGAAGTTGATGTCTGGGTTATGGCTTTACCAAACGGTGTTTGTAAGCCATTCGTTGAAGCTATTGAATCTGCTAATGGTAATCGTTCATCTAAAATTATTGATTTATCTGCTGATTATAGATTTGATACAACTGGTGAATGGGTCTATGGTTTACCTGAATTAAATTCAAGAGAAAAAATTGCTAATGCTAGAAAAATTTCAAATCCTGGTTGTTATGCTACTGCTGCTCAAATCGCAATCAAACCTTTAGTTGATTACATTGGTGGTGTTCCATCTATTTTTGGTATTTCTGGTTACTCAGGTGCTGGTACTAAACCATCACCAAAGAATGATGTTAAAAACTTGGAAAACAATTTAATCCCATACTCATTAACTGATCACATTCATGAAAGGGAAATTTCTACTCAATTAGGTACTGATGTTGCATTCTCTCCACATGTTGCCCAATGGTTCCAGGGTATTACACATACTATCAATATTCCTTTAAAAGAACCATTAACTTCAAGAGATATTAGAAATATTTATCAAGACCGTTACCGTGGTGAACAATTGATTTCTGTTTCCGGTGAAGCTCCATTAGTTCGTGATGTTAGTGGTAAGCATGGTGTTGTCGTTGGTGGTTTTGCTGTTAATGCCAAACAAGACAGAGTCGTCATTGTTGCCACTATTGATAACTTGTTAAAAGGTGCAGCTACCCAATGTTTACAAAACATCAACTTGGTGTTGAAATATGGTGAATATGAAGGTATTCCAGATGATTTAATCATTCGTGGTTAATTCCAAAACTGAACAATATTTTTTTGCAGCTGAACTTTTAATTTACTTATACATTGATTTTGAACTTTACGATAGAACTTTAAAGTGAAATAAAACGTTAGAAATTTAGTGAATTCAATTGTAGCTCTGGGGCCAAAAAGGTACGCACTAAACATTTTCGCGAAAAGTTCCGCGAATTTTCTGATTTTTGGTGATGAAAGAAAATCCCCTTTTTCGGAACTTCACCATAATAATGATGCGGTGGAACACAATTGATCTTGGAAACAATTGAAAAAACACATAGGAAAATCAAAAGATGGAAGACTGGAGAAGAATTGACATAGATGCACTAGACACAGAAAATCAGATACTAGCTGAGGAACTAAAACCTGATGTTCCACCAGTTAGTGCTGAAGAAGTTCAATCAAAAATATCAACACTTCGTTCATATATTTCAAAAGGTTCATATAATGATGCAATTCTATTCATCACTGAAGACCCACCATATGGTGCAGATGAGTCCTCAAAAGTGAGTTTGTTTTATTGAGTAATTGGAGATATATATTAACAAAATTCCACCATAGGCACAATTATTAAATTCAGTACTTGATGTATTGAGTGCAGTTAAACAATCAGATATCCCAACAATTGTGGAATCTTTATCAATTGAACAACAGAATGTTTTAGTTAAGTATCTATACAAGGGGATGTCAGTGAGCAAGGGTCAACAACAAGGTGGTATTTTGTTATCATGGTATGACAAAACAGTGGACATAACAGGTTTGGGTCCAGTTGTTCGTTACTTATCAGATAGACGCACTGTATAATAGATAAAAGTTTGGAAATGAATACAAAATGATCAAGTTTATTTCAAAGTCATGTATTGGGTATTTACTATTATTTTTTCAATCTGAGAATGATTCATCGATAATTCTCACTTTTTGTAATTTCTTCTTACCTTTACTTGGAGATTTGACTTTAATCTTTGGACTTGGTAGAGTATTCTCTAAAATTGAATCTTGTAAAGGTTGTTTCTTTGGTGATTCTGTGCTTTTCTTCTTCTTACTTGGTGATTTGGATTTTTTGGAAGGTGATAAACTTTTAGCTTTTGATGGTGATTTTGAAAGTTTGATTGGACTAAATGCTAGTAAATCGTCTTCTGAAGGTGACTTAAGCTCAATTTTCTTGAATTCTTCGCTCTTACGTTTCTTGATTGCTGGTCCTTGGTCTTTATCCTCTTCTTCTGAGTCACTATCATCTGACTTCTTTCTCTTGCTACCGATTTGATCATTCAGCTCTTCAACTTCTTTATTCAGTTTCTTATTCTTCTTCTTGATATGTTTAGCATCTTTTAGTGCAGCTTCAAGTTGGCTTTTGAGCTCTTCAATTTGTTTCACTTGGGTTTCCAATTCAGAGTTGGCTTGTTTCAATTGACCTTCAAGCTTTGATTTTTCTACCATCAATTCATCAATATGGTTTTGATGTGCCTTTTTCAGGTTGATCATTTCTGCTTCATATTTCTCTGTCAAGTCAATGTTATTTGTTTCATTAGTCAAATTGTTTGAACTTTCAGTATACTTAGCATCAAGTTCTTCATATTTTTCATTCAATCCTTTAATCTTCTGTTGAAACTCACTATCTTTTTGCTCCAATTTTTCTTCGTAATCTTTTGACAATAGGTCAAGTCTTTGATCAATCGTGGGTTGATGTTGGTCCTTTAATGAATTCATCTCTGTTGTGTGCTTGATATCTAAATCTCTTATCTTTGATTCATATTCTTCTGAAAGTTCTTGTCTAACGTCAATTTCTTGAGTTGTCAATGCCTGTTTGGCTTCTTGGATTTCTCTAGTCAAAATTCCATTTTGTTCTTTCAAAAGTCTAACATCTTCACTTAGCAACAACACTTGTTCAGACTCTGGTTCCACAGAGTTTCTCTCAGAATTGATGGTAACTCTAGACACTGGTTGAATATACCTTAACGCATGTAGAATTGTGGATAGAGTGGAATAAGGGTCAAGAGTCAACAAGATCTTGATTCTATTTTGGTTGAAAGTACCGAAAAGATCACTCAACAATAATCTTGTCAACTTGTTTGTTCTCAATAATGATCTATCAAATTTTTTAGATTTCATTAACGCCAAACATCTCCCCAATTCTGTTAAACTAGTATTGGTGTAATTGCCTTCTTTAAACTCTTTTCCTTCAGTTTTAGCTGTCTTTGTTCTTTCTGACCCCGCTAAATCTGCAATAGTTAGTCTTGAAGTCTTCACAGTTCTTGTTCCAGTGACTTTGTGTAAGTTGAAGTATATGAATAAATGAGATCTCGAGCTAGTTTGATTCAAGTTTGTTGAACTAACAGCTCTTCTTTTAACTGACTTGTGGATAACCAGTTTAGCTTCATCCAGGTTTGCAACGAAAATTTGTCTAATCTTGTTTGGTTTAATTTTACCGTCCTTAGCATCTGTAATGATATCCAATGACTGATTAACAGTTTTACTTGAATCTTGTGTCAGATCTCTGATTCGATCATTATATATCTCAAAAACTGATAAAGATAATCCATATTCACCTGTACAGTTCTTTTGAGCATTTGAACTAACAATAAAATTTTCACCAAAATGTCTTTTCAAAGCTTTGTAGTCAGCAAAGTTACCATTGATCTTGTTGAATATTTCATTTAATGAGTAAATTGCAACACCTGGATTAGAACCATCACCATAAATTGAATAAGATTTACCACTGTTTGAAGGGCCCAATGTGAAAAACACGCTATCTTTATTTTCCAAAGTATCAACTGTCAAGTCTTGTAAGGTTTGAGTGTATAAATCCAACTGAGAAACATTGTCAAAAATTTTGGTAAACTTGTTTGCAGATGCGGTATCTTTAAACTTGACATGAGTTTCATCTTGAGTCTCTATCAAAGAGACAGCTTCTCTTGCTTCAACAGAGTCTCCGCGAGGCTTCAATCTCAAATAGTGTGGAATGTTACTCATATTGCCACTGAAACAACACTAGTTGAGAGTTCAAGTTATGTATCATTTTCTGAACCTTTTTTTGAATTCTCTCGAGAAATCAAAACAAAAACATTGGAACCGGCCACTACTCCCAGATACACAAAACGCATTCGCGAACAATATCCTTGGCCTTGACTTTTCTGGGTCTAGAAACTAAACCAAGTTTCAACTTTAGGGTTGAAGTGTTCCTGTTTTGAAATCTTACTCAAACCAAATTAATCCTCGATGAATATAGTCACGATGATTATCGTGAAAAGCACTTGAAAACATTTATGTGTCATGTGTCCCTTAACATTATTCTTTGTCACATGACAGGTCACGTTTTGGACCGTTTTTCTGAAATTTTTGAAAACTCCAGAAATCTGTACAACAAAATCAAAACATCGTCTAAATAGTTACACAGAGAACTGTTCAATCATCCCCCAAGCATTCGGTTCATTTACAATATCAATGGCTGAGAATAAAGAATCAACTACTGTGAAGGTCACGGAAACAGTGACTGAGCCAGCAAATGAAGAGGCTCCATTAACTAGAAAGAGAACAAGGGATGATTTTGAAGAAGGTGATGAAGAGAAAGAAACAGAACAAGAAACCCGCAAGATAGCGCCATTGAAGCGTAGAAAAGATGTTGCAGATGAGTCTAAAGACAGCTCGTCTGAGAAAGTTGGTGAAGCTGTTGTTGTGGAAGAAACAGCTAATGATGAAGGTGTTCCAGAGGAAAAAGTTGAAGTTGCTAAAGAAACCAAAGAAGCTGCAGTTACTTCTGAAGAATCTAAAGCTACAGAGGAAGAAGAGAAACCTAAAGATGATAAACCAGCTGAAGAACCTAAAAAGGAGGGAAAAGATGAGAAGAAGGAGGAAAAGATAGAAGAAACTAGTGATAAAAAGGATGAAAATAAAAAAGATGAAAAGCCAAAATTTGTGTTTGGTTCAACAACACCTTTTGGTGCAAATGCCTTCTCACTTCTAAACAAAAATAAAAATGTATTTGATGCCTCTTCTAAAGAATCTTCAAAGTCACCATCTGTCTCAACACCATCTGTATTTGGTTCAAACTCCAAATTTGGTAATGCATTCCAATCAGCAGTCACAAAGAAATCAATTTTCGATAAAACTCCAGAAGAGCAAGCTAAAGAGAAGGAAGAAGTTGAAAAATCTAGAGAAACAACACCTGCAACTAGTGGGAATCTATATAAACAAGTTGAACTTGAAAAGAAAGATATCAAATCAGGTGAAGAAGATGAAGAACAGGTCTTCACATGTCGAGCAAAACTTTATGCTCTTGATTTGAGTAACGTTAAAGAAGGTTGGAAAGAAAGAGGAATTGGTAATGTACATGTTAATAAGGCGAAAGATGGTGAAAAAGCTAGAGTTATAATGAGATCAATTGGTTTACTGAAGGTGATATTGAACACACCTTTGATTGCAGGTTTAGAAGTTGCCAAAGGTATGCCAAGTTCGTTAACAAGTGAAAAATTCATCAGAATCACTGTTGTTGAAGATAAAAAACCTATTCAATATGCATTAAAGACTGGTAATCCAGAAACAACGTTGAGTCTATATGAGTCTATAGTGGATCTTATTCCCAAATAATAATAATTAGAGAAATCACATCCAGTGCTGTTGTAGTGTGTTTATTTACAGTGTTTTGTCTAATGCTTGTTTATTCTTTATTCCATTCTACTTTACTTCTTGACAAAAGCTATACTGCAAATTGTTTGACCTTTAACACCACCAAATTCAAAAGACGGATAATCAATTTTCTTCCAGACTTTTAGATTATCAGACTCTATTATTCTTGTCAATTCTTGTTCCGTAAAGTTACAGGAAGTAATCAAGAATACACTTCCAGGATTCAACATTTTTTGTACTATGTTAGAATATAGTTCCACTGCAGTTTTTTCACCAAATTTTAGACCACTAAGAGCGATAGCATCTAATGTACCTTTATCCAATACAACATCATATTTTGGACAGTTCTCACTCCATCTTTCATCATAAATATCCACAACTTCAAACTTGATATCATCCACATCGTTTTGCTCGGCTATATTTGTAGCAAATTCAACAGAGTTTTCAGAATAATCAATCCCTGTGAATTTACCTTTAAAACCTTCCTCTCTTAATGAAAATAATAAATGGCCATTACCAGTACCCACATCACACATTGTAGAATCTTCACGAATACTTAATTCATTCAAGTTATCGAATAAGAACGAGATCATTTTCTCCTCGGCATCTGAATCTGAAAACCAACACTCTCCTGTGTCTTCTGGGTTTTCATCAAAGTTATTCTTTTCAACAGCATAAAAATCATCCCAGCTTCTAGTGTTAGTGATCTCACCTGCGAATTAAAATAGAGAAAAACATACTATTGTTTGGTTCCAAGTTTAGAAGTATTTAGTTTAGAAGTATCTTCAGTCATCTTTAAAGGGCCCTATTTGATCTTTAATGTAAAAGTTCAAGGTGCTACATCTTGTTGATATCAAGCTCATCGGTCCTCGACAAAAAAAAATAGATATGGTTTGAGGCACTGACCCTTTAATTCTGTACAACTCGTGAACATAATACTATCGATTTGTACATAGCTTTCTAATGGTCATTACGATTTGGTTTTCATTTCAAATGCTAAGTATACACAGCTATTTTCAATACCTCAGTCTATCCTTATTCTGCTCCAATTTTCTTTCACGGTATTTTTCTCTTTCTTTCTCTCTTTCACTTGTGATCCTGGAATCCCTTTCTCTATCTCTGTCACGATCTGAAAAATCACGGTCCTCTCTTCTTGACCTACTGTTATACTCATATTTTTCAGATCTTTCTGTTCTTTCTGATCTAGCTTCACTAGCAGCACTTGGTCTTTCTGATCTTGATGTGTATCTTGGTGGTCCTCTAGATTCATAACTTGAGTAGCCACTTCTTGCAGAAGGTCCACTTGATCTTTCGTAGCCACCTCCTCTTGCGCTACTACCACCACGTCCACCTCTACGACCGCCATCAAATCCACCACGGCTACCAAATCTTGATCCTCCTCTACCTCTCGAGCTCATTGAGTTTTCAAATCTTCCCTTTGGTGCATCTTTATAAACTGCCTTTCGCTTTTGAGTGTATCCACGACCTCCAAGTCCACCTCCCAATCTTCTTGGAACCCAACTTTTAGATGTACGACTTCTTTCAACATCAGTTAAAATCGAACGACCTTTGATTTTCAATCCATTAGCTTCCTTATACGCAGCTCTTGTTCCACTTTCTCTTTCATACACTATAAATGCATAGCCTTTTGATTTTCCTGTTTCTTTATCCCTGACGACACGCACCTAAATAAAGTTGTTAGTATTTGATGATAAAAATATTATAGTTTAAACATACTCTTTCAATTGGTCCATATTTTGAAAACTCTTTCTGTAAATCGATTTCAGTCACTTCATAATCCAATCTCCCGACAAATAAAGTATTATAAGGATCACCTTTGATATGAGGATCTGTTGAAGGGTCCCAATTAGCAAAATCTTCATCCAATTTTTTCTTATTTAGTAATTGTTTCTCTCTTTTCAACCTTTGTTCTTTTAACTGTGGTGTCTCTATAAACTCCTCTTTCGGGAACTCTACCTGTTTATATTCTTTCAACTTATCCAAGAATGACCCTATCCCAGAGATATGAGCAGTTTGACGATCTGATGGAGGTGTGTCTATTTGTTCCACATATCTTAACGGTGGTCTTGGTTCAAACAATTTGGCGACATCGGCCGAGAACTTGGAAGTATCCGTCTGGGTTTCAATTAGTCACTGGTCTAATATTATTTAGTACAAGCATTATACTCACCATTCTTTCACTTGTTCTTCACTTTGAATTCACGTACTGTGTTTTTGTCATGTTATTGAACTTTTTCTATACACATCAAAAAAAATCAAAAAATACATTTTTCGCGAATGTGTTTTTTCTTTCAAATCAACTTTTAAAAAGAAGATCGAAACAATAATTTAATCATTAGGAACCCAAAATTTAAATTAAAAGATGAGTGATTTAGAAGAGTATAGATCTCAGCTGAAAGATATTGAAGATACTCTTAAACAGGACCCAGAAAATGAATCGTTAAAAGAGCTTCAAAAAGAACTACAAGATCTTGTATCATTACTTTCTCAAGAAGAAGAACAACAGCAACAGGAAGAACAAGAACCATCTAAATCAGCTACCCCATTACCTCCATCTTCCAGAGATACAACACCATCTACTTCTTCAAGCATAGATTTCAAAGTTGGCGATATAGTGTATGTAAAGAATAAGCTTGATAAAGAATTTAAAGAAGTTAAAATAACTACAATATCAGGAAACAATAAATTAATAACAGTTAAATTTGAAGAAGATGACAAAATAGATACTTATCCTATTGAGGATATTTATAAAGAAAAACCTAAAATGAATAAATATAGATTAAAGAAACAAAAATTAGAGAATCAACAATTAAAATCAAAAGAATCTGAAAAAGAGATGAATAAAAGTGTACAAAGTTGGAAAAACTTCAATAGCAAAAAGAAGAAAAAAATTGGTATTAATGAGAAATCTCAATTCAAGACTTCTGATAATGTTGGTTCAAAAGTTGGTGTGGTAAATTCAGGTAGACCAATGACTGAAACAAAGAAAAAGGAGAGAGCACTACATAGATATAATCCATACTAAATAATTTAGTTAAGAAGAATAATACATAATACATTTCAAACAATAAATACTAGTGAACTTTTTTGTTCCAACCTCAAGTACTGATTTTTTTACCATTCATCAAATGATTTAATAATTCAGAGGCAGTACCTCCAACATGTGATTCATTTGCAGAAACTGGGGTAGGATTTGAATTTGAATTGGATTGTTGGAATAATCCAGGTGGTGGTGGTGTAGCTGTATAATTACGTTCATTTTTCAATTGATTTAATAAAATTTGTTGTTGTTGTTGTTGTCTCAATTGTTCTTGTAATAATTGTGCTTGAGAATGACCATCTTGACCTTGGAATTGTTGTTGTAATAATGCTGCAGTGGCTTGTGGTGAGAAAAATTGCTGTTGTGGTTGATTTTGTTGCTGTTGTTGTTGTTGTTGAGCGTAAACTTGAGCAAGATCATTAAGTTGTTGTGGTTGTTGTGATGGTGTTAATTGTTGCGGAATTTGTGCTTGAGGTTGTTGTAAAATAGGTTGTGGTTGAATTTGTTGTTGTAATATAGCTTGTTGTTCTTCTGGTGATAAAACTTTTGGCTTTGAAATCAAAGATTCAACAAGTTTGATATTGAATGAACTTGAAGTGTTGTTAACTTTAATATTAGCAAATGCAAAAAGAGGTGGGAAACTGTTCAATGTTTCTTCATCAACGAGATTAGATTTGATTTGATACTCGAATTTTGGGAATGAATTCAACAAGTTTATAGTTTCATCAATAAATGAAATAGCTGAAGATTCGCAATTAAACTCATCATTGATATTAGCACTTTGATTCTTTTGCTTTCTAGCCTGGTGTTGTTGTTGTTGATGTTGTTGTTGTTGTAAAGTAGTTGATTCTGCTAAAGTTGGGAATGCTGAAGAATTTGCCAATACACTTGAAGTAATCACAGGTGAAGAAACATTTGAAGTCTTTTGAGGGATATTGCTAGCCCATGATGCAGTGGCAGGTAATGGTGCACTTCCCAAAATTGGTTGATGATGTGATGATGTAGATGACACGTCTTCTTGTTCCTTTTGGTGATGGTGGTTGAAAAATTGGGAATTATTGGAATGTCTTGTAGTGAATGAAGAATTTGATTTATAACCAACGCCATTTGAAATATTAGAAGATGATCCTTGTTGTTGTAACGGTAAAGAAGTTTGTGAAGATGAAGGCAAACCTTGATCTGCACCCATCTTTAAACCTTGTCTTGTTGATAAATCTTGTCTTGTATAAGAATCAGCTTCTTCACCAGGTTCATGTAAAAACATACAATTTGGATTTGGACAAGGTTGACCTCTCAGATATGAAGAACAATACTTTGTAGTACCATAAGCAGCCTTCAAAGGTCTGCCATCAATATAAGTTCCATCAATAGCATTGATACATCTTGTAGCTTCCTCTTTTTTAGAAAACGTAACATAGACTCCGAATCCAGCATTCCCATTATTATGGTGATGATGAATAGCAGCAGGTGCATTTGGTGGGGGATTTCTTTTATTGATAACAATTTTCAAAATCTTACCGTATTGACCAAAATACTTATCTGATCTTAGAATGGTGTGTAATTCTTCTGGAGGAACTGGTGGATTCAGACCCACAACATAAACCAAGTTTTTTTGTATAACTCTCATACCAGCCAGATGTTTTCTACTAGCTTGTTCATTCTCCTTCTTTTCTTTTTCCTTTTGTTTTCTTTCGCGATCTTTTCTTGATTGTTTACTTTGTTCATATTTCCATTCTTCTTGTGAAACAATCTTGTATTCAACAGATTCATCATCATAAGGTCTACGACAAGCTGGACATCTTCCATTTAATTCTGGATTTTGACGAATGTTATTATAACAAAACTGACAAACTTGATATCCACAAGGACAAGGTTTGAAATTCTTGTCAGATATATCCATTTCCTCCACACATAATGGACTATTTCAATAAATGTTAATATATTAATCTTCATTTATTTAGGCGCGCTTAAAACGCCGCCCATGATATCAAGACACTCACCATAATTCTTCTTCTTCATCTGAAATGAATGTATCGTTGTTATTGATCATCTTTATTGACGCTTTCTATTATTTTTTTGGGCTTGTTTAAATGATTGCTTCGTTGTTTGTTGTTGTATTTGAACTGATTCAAAAATCTTGAAGCTTCATTAGTTTTACAAATTCATATTTTTTTTAAACTTCCAGAAAGAAATCAAAAAATCAAAAAATCAAAAAAAAAAAAAAAAAAAAAAACATTTGATTACGTAATCAAAAGTCGATTTTAAAAAAATCGGGCCGAGCAGGGAATTGAACCCTGGGCCACTCGCATGCTTTTGTAGTAACTAAATCAGGTGTAACCCAATCTTCGCCCAAAGCGAGTATCATACCACTAGACCACACGGCCGAATTGTTGAGTTGTTAAAACCGTTCAAATACCGTATTCTAAAATGTTGCTTTTCAAAAAATGACCAATTTAGTGTATTTTATGATTAATTAAGCACATATCTGGCATATTTGAGATTTTGTTTATCTATTTCAGGGGTTTTAAGTGACATGTTGCTGTATAAATTTGCTGGTTTTTAAGTGTTTATATGTAGATGTATGTGTGACCGACAAGTTTGACAGATCACAAATAAGAAAACATCCGACCATCAATCTCAATGGTTTACTTCGGTGGTGTTTTAGTTACTTGGATATAGAACAGCTTTCACTGAAAAGGTTTTGATCATTCGGCAATTATTCAGATAGCGTACGGCTAGTGAGCTCCAGATATTACTGTGCAGCTTGTAAGTTGTAAGTTGTAACTTGTTAATGAGTTTTCGAAATTGATATTGTCAAGCTCATGATCTCATTGAAAGGCAGCTTAAAATGTATAACTCTAATGAATCCAATTTATAAATATAATTTGACATATTAAGCAGCTCAAAGATGATTAATAGTTATCCATACTACAGACAACAAAACTCAAATCAAAAACATCATGTACTAAAAAACTTTCAAAACAAATAACCAGAAAAAATTGCAAAACAACAACAATATATAATACAACAAGAGTTCAGACAGCTAATGACACATCTACTTAAATATCCATCTCTTCATCTTCATCCTCATCAACAGCGGTATTCAAAAACAATAAATCTTCACCATCATTAATGAATTGCCAAATCCCCAATTGATTATATTCATCCAAACAATCCTTCAATTGAAATTCAGTAAAACCTCTTGATATAACTGCATTTTTCACAATTGATAAAGATAAAATTTTTTGGAAATGTTCACCTTTTGAAGCCAAATTTTTAATAATTTGATAAATTTTTGTCTTTGGAGAATCTTGAGATCTTTTAAAATTTGAATTTGTTTCAAATGAAGCCCTAGCAACTTCTAATAATCTTAGTGCTTCATCAACATCTTCTGTATATACAGTATCATCAAATCTTAATCTTGCTAAAGCCTGGGCCATTCTTAAAATACCTAATAAACTTCTTGGAGTGGCTTGACCGAATGATGAATCTGCCTTACCTAAATTCTTTTTAGAATCTTGTCTTAGTCTGATGTAGGAATTCACGACATAATCACCAACTTCTTTAGGGACAACAGGTCTAAAAGATCTTGCCTTTGTGATGTATTGTCTTATTGTTGTTGGGGATAATGGATCGAAGTCCATAGTTGGGTGTTTATTATGCATATGAACATAAGCAACATGTTGAGCTAATTTTTCATCATCATCTCTTGTTGGTGTATCCAATATTAAAAACAAGATATCAAATCTTGAAAGTAAGGCAGCTGGTAAGTTAATATTCTCCAAGGCTGATAATTTTTTATTAAATCTTCCAAACAATGGATTTGCAGCTGCAAGGATTGAAGTTCTTGCATTTAAAGTTGTATTTATACCAGCTTTGGAAATACTGATTGTTTGTTGTTCCATAACTTCATGGATTGCAGTTCTATCACCTTCATCCATTTTATCAAATTCATCAATACAACAAATCCCGTTATCAGCCAAGACTAGAGCACCACCTTCCAAAACCATTTCATCAGTGATTGGATCTTTCATCACAGCAGCGGTTAAACCAACACCTGAAGAACCTCTACCAGTTGTATAAACACCTCTTGGAGTAATCTTGGCTATAGTTTTCAATAATTGAGATTTAGCCACCCCAGGATCACCCATTAAACAAATATTTATATCACCTCTAATTTTCATCCCATCACCGATTTTTTTATCAACACCACCAACTAATAGTAAAAGTAATGCCTTTTTAACATCTTCATGACCATAAATCTCCGGAGCTATAGATTTAGCCAATCTATTATACGTATCACCAGAGTTTCTAATCTGCATAATTTCCGACTCCACTAAATCACCCAATTCTGATTGATCATATTTTTTCTTATGTTGTCTTATAGCCTGAGCTTCAAGATACGTCTCAGTTAATAACCCAGCTCTTAGTGCTCTGAAACCTGTGTATGGAGCAGGTAAGAAGATCCCAGCCACATCGACAACGTCACCTGGATCCATGGAGCGGACCAAGTCACCATTCACGTGGATGTTTAAAGTTCTTGGGATATGACCCACTGGGACTTGTGATGCCAATTCTTGGATCTTGACATCTTGGAACGGGGAGAATTTCGAGGCTCTTGTACTCATGAATAGTTTCCCCTTTGATTGATTATTTTGACATTGTTCAGAAGTACATTCTGATAATGGTGTGAATGTTTTGGAGCTAATTTCTTGGAAAATTTCATACCCACATTGATCACAAGTGTATGCATTGACCATGATGGATGGTTTAACGTCAGAGACTCTAGTCACTATACCTCTGATTGTTATGAGTTGACCCAAGTAAGACCCTCTAACTTCTCTCACGGCTAAAGGTTTTGAATTTTTGGAAGATGACGGGGTTAAAGGTCTGAAATAAATATTATAACGACGGGTTAAAGAAGGAGGGAACCCTTCGTTTTCATCAACTTCAGGTTGTGGTTGTTCATTGTTGTTATCACCACCCAAGTTGTTGTTTTCCAATTCTTCACGTCTTTCAGCAGCTAATCTTGCATTTCTTAATTTTCTTTGATGTAAAATAACATCCAAGACACCATCTTTATAAGAAACATCTTTTGAAGGTAATGGCATGATCTCATCGATACATTTAGCAAATAGTTCAATGTAATGATAAGTGTTTTTTTGAATATTTTCCACAAGTGATTTTTTACCAAAATTTTGAGTTCCTATAGTGAAATCATTTGATAATTCAAAATTTGAAATATCATCTAAATCAATATATAAAGTTGATAATTCTCTATTTGCAATTTTCTGTAATAGGTACATGTACTTTGGACCGTTTCTAACAGCTTCTTCTAGTTCTAAATCATCATCAGGGTTTGGTTGATCAATCTGAGCATCATATAATTCATCAGCTTTTGATAAACCTGAAGATTTGTAATGTTGTAGGAAATCTTTAACACCTTCGCTGATTTCTTTGTAGTTGACGTCTATTTTGATAGCTGGTAGGGCAGAGTTGTTGGACATGGTGGTGGTTGTGGTGGTGGTGGATGATTGATGGTATGGTCAATGGTTAGTTTATGATTGATGTATAAGTTTGATTGAAAACACGCTCTTGATGAAAAAAAAAGACATGTCGCGAAATTGAAAACAATTAGATTTCCTAAAGCGGTAAAAGGTGTTGTATTTGGCGTGGAAGGGGTAATTGTCCGGATTAGGCAGGTGTTTGTAGCGATGGGTATGGGTATAATTGAGTTTACGAGAGAGTAAAGAACAAAGAAAGAAGACAGAGTAAAGGAAAGGAATAGATGATAGATGATGGATGATAGTAGTTGATAGAGTATAGGTTATACAGTGTAACTATTATCAACCCATCACCCTGCCATGGCAATTCTCGGAACAACCTCAGAATCAGTTGATGGCTTCGGAGCATCCGCTAGATAGTGTATACCCCATGGGCCACATTGGCTGATACATGAGGGAGCATGGGATGGGATGGGATAGAGTATACATGATAGTGATGGTATATAGTAATAGTATAGAAGTATAGTATATAATATAGAATAGTTTATAGAATATAGAATAGTATATCATTGTCGTATATAATCAAATAGCAGATTATCTAAACCATCGCATAGTCTATTTGTCCTTAGCCTATTCTTTTTTCTTTTGGTGCCCCTGAGCACGGATATTATACAACCACTTCATCCCTTGTCCTATTCCAACTATATAAGCATCAAACAATCCTTTTCCTTCTTCAATTCATCTCAATTCCTATCCCACCACCAACAATGAGCTCAGGCTACGACTTCCACCCTTCGGAAACAAACAACGACCTACCTCGTCCAAAACATATAAGACGCTTCACTGGGTTCTCTCCTGCTGAAATAAAGACTATTGATTCAGTCATCCCTTTAAAATCAAGAGAAACTTGGAAAAAATTTGCTGTGGAAAATTTCTCAACAAAGGAAACTTTTGAAAAAGATTTCGTTAGACATGTCGAAACTACTTTAGCTAGATCTTTATACAATTGTGATGAATTGGCTGCTTATCAAGCAACTTCAAATTCAATCCGTGATAATTTAATCACTGATTGGAACAAGACCCAACAAAAGCAAACCACAAAGGATCAAAAAAGAGTTTATTACCTATCTTTAGAATTCTTGATGGGTCGTGCCCTAGATAACGCCTTGATTAATACAAACACTAGAGAGTTAGTTTCTGATTCTGTTGATGAATTGGGGTTCAATCTTGAAGATTTGATTCAACAAGAACCTGATGCCGCCCTAGGAAATGGTGGGTTGGGGAGATTAGCTGCTTGCTTTGTTGATTCTTTATCCACTGGGAACTATCCAGCTTGGGGGTATGGGCTAAGATATCAATATGGGATTTTCGCTCAAAAAATCATTGATGGGTATCAAGTGGAAACTCCTGATTATTGGTTAAAATTTTCAAACCCTTGGGAAATCCCAAGAAAGGAGATTCAAATCCCTGTGGATTTTTATGGTTATGTGGAACATTCCTCTGATGATAATGGTGTCAAGAAATCAAATTGGATTGGTGGAGAACGTGTGTTGGCTGTTGCTTATGATTTCCCAACTCCTGGTTACAAGACTAATAACGTTAATAATTTGAGATTATGGAGCGCTGAACCAACTACTGAATTTGATTTTAGTAAATTCAATGCAGGTGATTATCAAAACTCGGTCGCTGGTCAACAAAGAGCTGAATCAATAACTGCTGTCTTGTATCCAAATGATAATTTTGATTCAGGAAAGGAATTACGTTTAAAACAACAATATTTCTGGGTTAGTGCTTCATTACATGATATTATTAGAAGATTTAAAAAGACTAAAAGACCATGGAGTGAATTTAGTGATCAAATTGCTATCCAATTGAATGATACTCATCCAACTTTGGCAATTGTGGAATTACAAAGAGTCTTGGTTGATTTGGAAGGATTATCATGGGATGAATCTTGGGAAATTGTCACTTCCACGTTTGGTTATACAAACCATACAGTTATGACTGAAGCTTTAGAAAAATGGCCAGTTGAATTATTTCAAAAATTATTACCAAGACATTTGGAAATCATTTATGATATTAATTTATTCTTTTTGCAATTTGTTGAAAAGAAATTTCCAAAAGATCGTGATTTATTATCAAGAGTTTCCATCATTGAAGAATCTTCACCAAGACAAGTTAGAATGGCGTATTTAGCCATTATCGGTTCTCATAAAGTTAATGGTGTTGCAGAATTACATTCAGAATTGATTAGAACTACAATTTTTAAAGATTTTGTCAAGATTTATGGTTCTTCAAAATTTACAAATGTTACAAATGGTATCACTCCAAGAAGATGGTTAAGACAAGCTAATCCTAAATTGGCTGAATTGATTGCTTCAAAATTAGGTGGTGATCATTATCTAAGTAATTTAAATGAATTGAAAAATTTGGAACAATTTGCAGAAGATGAAGAATTTCAAAAAGCTTGGTTTGATATTAAATTGGATAATAAAAAAAGATTAAGTGCATTAATTAAAACACTTACCGGGGTGGAGATTAAAAACCCAAATGTTTTGTTTGATATCCAAGTTAAAAGAATCCATGAATATAAACGTCAACAATTAAATATCCTTGGTGTTATTAGTCGTTATATCAAGATTAAAAATTCTTCAAAAGAGGAACGTGCCAAAATCTTGCCAAAAGTTGTTATCTTTGGTGGGAAATCCGCACCAGGTTATTATGCTGCGAAATTGATTATTAAATTGATTAATTCAGTTGGTGAAGTTATTAATAATGATGAAGATGTTGGAGATTTACTAAAAGCTGTCTTTATCCCAGATTATAACGTTTCAAAAGCTGAACAAATCATTCCAGCTTCTGATTTATCAGAACATATCTCCACAGCAGGGACCGAAGCCTCTGGTACTTCAAACATGAAATTCGTCATGAATGGTGGATTAATTATTGGTACTGTTGATGGTGCAAATGTGGAAATCACTAGAGAAATTGGTGAGGATAACATTTTCCTTTTCGGTCATTTAGCTGAAAATGTTGAAGATATTAGATATGAGCATAGATATGGTGGTTACAAGATTCCAGATTCTTTGGAACAAGTTTTCAAATTGATTGAGTCTGGTAAGTTTGGTGATTATAATGAATATAGATCATTAGTTGATTCTATTAAATATCATGGGGATCATTATTTGGTTGGTGATGATTTTGAATCTTATTTACAAGCTCATGAATTGGTTGATCAAGCTTATTTGGACCAAAAAGAATGGTTGAAGAAGTCTATTTTGAGTGTTGCAAATTCAGGGTTTTTCAGTTCTGATAGAGCTATTGATGAATATGCTGAATCTATTTGGAATATTGAATCAATTCAAGAATAGAGAATTCTACAGTGTTGTTGTTTGTTGTTGTTTTTTTACTTTCAATTCGTTTATTTTTATAGCACCTAATTTATTCATTACTTTTTTCTTGAACCAATGATATTTGTAGGATCCATTATATAAGGATCATGCTGCAGCCAAAGTCTTTTGATTAATAAATTTTGTGAGATTATACGAGCTGATGATTTAAATCATTTTTGATAACAATTGGCCATACTTAGCAATATCCCCTTTAAACTAGTGAATATAATCTACTTAGATGCATCAGATTTCACAAAGGAAGGAACCAAAAAGACATAAATCAAAAAGATGTAAAGTTTAGCATATTTGACTTGAAAATAAAGCAACAATCCTGGGATAATGACTAGTAGTGAGAGTAATACTGTCTGCGCGTAGGTTAACATTTTGATGAGGTGAAGTGTTGGGTGGTTTTAGTTGTCCTTTTAGTGTACGTAGAGGACACCTAATTAACGACAGACGATTTGGTTGGGTATTTATAATGTGTTGTGGGCGTGGCGACTGCAGGTCACTGGACATTAATTTGTGGCTGTCTTTTTTGACTTTTTTTTGAGCTATGACCAACGTACTCAATTCAACCATGAAAGCCGTGGGCATGATTCTATCTGAGGATTGAGAATTCAAGCTTATAAAACTCGTGGAAAGTCACTGTTGGGCTCTGAGATGGAATTATGTATACAAAAAAACAAAACAATTGACACGTCTCACAAAATTATTACTAGCTGGACCCTGGTCTCTGGTGATTTTAACAAAAATCCAATGGAGATTGGAGCCTGAACGTCTGTGAGCGAACATTTGTGTGAAAACTTATGTTGGATTTATGCGCGTGCATGTGTGCAGGGTACAACCTTAATTATGCTTAACAATTTGAATGCCTTGACTTTTGTCAACTTGTATAATTGTGCACACCTAATACCTATATACAGTATAATACAAATTAGACATTTGTGCACTGTGTATGTGTGGGTGACGCAGCTTGAAGCTACATCCTTGTGAGTGTACAGCTGAATAATTGTGTAGTGTGACTTGTTAATTGATTCTTAAATAAAAGAAAGATGGATCGAACGACGAATGTCGAAAGAATGTTCCCAATTTCCATCGGACAATTCAAGCTCAATTGACCTCTACAATTGGAAAGCTGCATACCAACAGTTGTGTTATAGAACGTGGGTCCTGAGTCCTGACTCCTGGGCCTGTGTCGCATAATGCATTGCTACTTATCACTTTGCAGTAAGATATGAACCATGAAATTTGAATGATGATCCATAATCCATGATCAACCAGTTGAAACTTGATAACGTCTATTCGTCTTTTAGCCACGGAAAAACATCGAGCCACGACATCGACGTAACTTGTGACTCTTGTAATCTAAAAGGTTTTATGCACAACTTATCCCAGGGCCCAGGCTGCAGCCTGCCAGTGTAATTATAAGTATACCCCCCAGTAGAGTAACGAGTTGTTCAATATCACTCGTGCTCTATGAAAAAATGCGTTGACAGGTAGTATGAGACTATTTGTATAGTGTTGGTGATAAGTCCTCATACGATAAGATTATTGAGATGATTAGTGAAGATTATATTTTCTGCTCAGGAAGTGTATAAGAATACAGGCTTATGCCAGTTCTGAGAACTGAGGTCGTCTGTTGTGGAGTATCAATCTTGCAATAGTCTAAAGGACCAGAGATACACTAAATATCTGTAGTAAAGCTCAATATGTCAGCTAGAAGAGATACATCCGATGCAGATGCTGTTGATGTAGCTACGACAGAAGAGGCTCAGGGTAGATACTAGAGAGGTTTCAGGCCGTTCTTCGCAAAAAATATACAAATGGCGAGTGGTCAGTGGTGTATTATATTAGGAGAACTCAGGCTACCACACTTCCCATATTCCAAACATTCACCATAATAAACATTAGCTTTACTCTTGTGGCCACGCAGGAGTTTCTTACTCTTTGCTGACTTATAATAAATGAAACGAATCCCATGGGTTATAAAGCTATAGCTTAATATAGCCTATAGCTACTGTAGCACCTGGTGATAAGAAGTACAAGTACCACAAGAGATTTTAGTAGAACCAGTTGACACAATACACATAAGGACCACTCATATGTCATCAGCCATTGATTCCCATCATCATACCTTAGTAGTATTTCCCAATATAAGTACAACAACTTCTGACATAGTATAGGATATATGATCTCTTTACACCACTCTATCTCTCTTAGAAGTTATGAGCTAGTGATGTTGTTTACTATTTAGCTGGCTGCTTCAATATTGTGCTCCTCAAATGCAGATACTGTACTTCGAACATAAAATGTAGTACGTGGTTCTGGGAATTAACGTACGTACATGACCCTTGATTCTGCCAATCATATCGGTTAAATAGATCAAAGTAATTATACCCGCGAGCGAGCGCCTTGGTAAATTATAACATGTTAAGCCCTAATGGGTATGTTGATACTTTCAAGAAGGTAAAGTTGGTCAGTATGAAATCTCAACTACAAATTGTTTCTTCAAAGCAGCCAAATAATTTACTTACTATTAAATAGAAATTATACCTATAACTAGTAGCTGGCAAATCTAGTGCGCTATTCCCACGAGCAGTAGCTCTCTTTATAATAACATCTGTTGGTGAAAATACCCATCCTAAGTCCTATAGTAATGGGGCACCCATATAAATTGTATGGAAACCCAATTCTTCCCATATAGACCAAATCTACATGAAGGTATAAGACAACGCAAGGTCTTGCAGGTTGCCTCAAAATCATGCAATAGCTCTGATTTTAATCTATATTAATTTCATCATGATTGGTTGCAACAGATCCATTAGCTGATACGAGCTACGAGGCCGATGTATAGGGTCATATTGAAAAAGTTGTGGGTACTAAACTATTCTCATAATAATCTTTGAATATAAATAGTAAGCAGATTCCTCGCATATATAATCTAAAATTAGTTGATTGTACCAATATATTCAAGTTAAGTGATCATTAAATCATATATGAAGATGCGCACTAATCTTATTAAAGCAATCTCCAGTTCTTTTTTTATTATCCAAGCTGTCACAGCTCTTTATGGTTCACCAGCCTCTGGTGGTAACGGTACATTTCCAATGTTGGTCAACAATGAAGGAACCCCAGTTGCTGACGTCAAGCTTGTTATCAATTTAGAAAAGTATTTAGCTTCTGCAACCAAGAATCCCTTTGAGGATTTCAATGAAACATTAGCAAAGAGAGATGATTCAACTGATTTGGATTCCGAAGATGATGCTAACAGCTCTGATGACTGGTTGGAAGTTTACACTTATAATTTTGAATACGCTTCATTATCAGGTTATGACACCACTTCAGCACTGGAAAAGAGAAAGGATATTCATGAATGCACAACCTGGGTCAAGGGAGTAAGAGAATGTGTCAACCAAATTTGGGATGGTCTAGTTGATGTTTGGAATATTTCCTACAAGATCAAACAATTGGCAACTGCCAAACAATGCACAGAGATTCATGGGCAACAAGGTGGTATGTACTACAGATATTGGGCTAGTGGTGGTGATTGTGGTTCTACTGCTGAGCAGAAAACAATCGCTGGTGCAATTCATGCCGCCCTTAAGAAGGCTGATGGAGAATGGACTTGTAACGTTTACTGTATCACTATGACCCATGGTGGAACTTGGCAAGGTACTTTGTTAATTGGTCCAGATCAAAGTGCGATGTGGGCCAACTGCGGTGGTGTGTTCAAAGGATGCTATGATACTGGCTGTAATTCTTTAGAAGGTTGGTACAATTGTAACAGTTGAAGTTGATGATACAGCCTTGAGCTAGAGCTTGATTATAGGCTGTCTTGGTAATATTTTTATCTCAACATTTAGTGTGTAATATTGAATTGATAATATATAATACAGTGAGTTGACAATTGGCTTGTGTAGACATCGGCAAGATTTGAAGGAAAAGTTGACACTAATGATATTCATCTGTCAGTACCAAGGAAGCTTGAGTATATCAGTTGTGGAATAAACTCTTCTGTAATATCATTATAGTGCCCAGCACCACAGTCATCACCTCTTCAGCACCCCCAGCTCACCAATTAACTAGACCCACCAATACAATCTTCATCAATTTGATTCTTTCTACGTTGAAAAGTCGAACAATTGAAAATCCTCCGAGAAAAATTCGCGACAATTACGTAATCTCACTCTACCGCGAAACCTTTTGAACCTTTTTCTAAACCAAATGAAATAATCAAACAGACAAGAACAACCACTTACAAATTCACTCAAGTCCTGTACTCTACATATTGTATCATACACCCAAGAAACACCCCCATATCCATCGCTCATTGAACACAGCTGCTTCTTTTATCCCTATTTGCTTTTCCCACACTACCCTTGTCCACACTAAATAATTACGGCCCGCGTGTCTTCATTATAATGAGATTACCACTACTATTATTTCTAATCACAGGAGTGCTTCCATCTCCAATAGATATCCCTTCAAAGCAATTCATAGTGGAGGACTTACCAGGTATAGATCAAATACCTAAAGATGAAAGACCCATAATGTATTCAGGTCATTTAGAGTTAAATTCCACTATTGATGAAAATTATTTTTTTTGGAAATTTATAAAACCATCAACTCAATTCAACAGAACTATATTCTGGCTGAATGGTGGTCCTGGTTGTTCTTCAATGGATGGTGCCCTGATGGAGTCTGGTCCTTTTAGAGTTGATGAGAATGAGAACTTGTATATGAATAAAGGTTCTTGGCATGAAGTTGCTAATTTAGTATTTGTTGATCAACCAGGTGGTACAGGATTTAGTATCACTAAAGACTATGATAAGGATCTGATTAGAGTTGGTGAGGATTTTGTTGTTTTTTTGGAAAAATACTTCCAAGTGTTTCCAGAGGATTTAAATAATGAAATTTTCATATCTGGTGAAAGTTATGCTGGTCAATATATTCCATTTATTGCTGATACTATTTTCAAATCAGATAAAGAGTTTGCAAAGAATTTAAAAGGTTTAATCATTGGTAATGGTTGGATTGCTCCAAATATTCAAAGTTTAAGTTATATCCCATATTTATTAGATGTTGGCATATTACATACAAGTGATGAATTCATGCCACGCTTGTTGAAGCAACAAGAACATTGTCAAAATTTGGTTAATAATCCAGTAAATGATGATAAATTTTCAATTTATGAATGTGAAAATATATTGACAAGAATATTACAATACACTAGAGATAAAAAAGCTCCAAAAGATCAACAATGTATTAATATGTATGATATTGGGTTAAAAGATAGTTATCCAAGTTGTGGTATGAATTGGCCTCCTGATTTAAAATATGTTCAACCTTATTTACAAAAAGATCAAGTTGTGGAAAGTTTAAATCTAAATGTTTCAAGAGTTAAAAAATGGAGAGAATGTGATGGTGATGTTTCAAAATTTTTGAAAAATAAAAAAATAAAACCTTCTTTTAATTTATTTCCTTCGTTATTAGAAAAAGTGGAAATTATGTTGTTTAATGGTGGTCATGATATCATTTGTAATAATTATGGTGTCCTAGATCTAATTAATAAATTACATTGGGGTGGTTCAACAGGGTTTTCCCCGGATACTGAGGAATTCATTTGGAAATATAATGATGAATTAACAGGTTCGGTGAAAACAAGTAAAAATTTAACATTTGTTGATGTTTATAATTCTTCACATATGGTTCCTTTTGATTTACCTGAAAAATCAAGAGGTGTCTTTGATTTATTTGTTAAGAATTTTGATATTATTGATAAAGATGGTTCAAGTTTCATTCAAACTCCTGATCATACAAAGAATGACAAAGTTGAAGATCATGATGATCATAATGATAAAGATGATGATAATGCAAAGGGTAAATCTCCAATTTTTTTCATTTTTTATTTATTATTCTTTATGATCCTTGGTGGGTTAATAATTTATTACAAGAAGAGAAAACAACCAAAACAAACTTCAATATTAAGAAACAAAGAATCCAATAATAAAAACAAGAGTAATAAAAAAACAGTCTCTTGGGCAGATGATAATGATGATACAAGTTTTAAATCAACACTCCCACCAACTTATCAAAGATCGGATCAAAAGGGATCAAGTAAATTGAATAATATCATAAATAGCTTTAGCGGTCCAAGTTCTGGTTCGGGTGCTTATAAAAAAATTGAAACTCCTGATCATTTTGAAGATATTGAATTACAATCAAATTTGAATAGAGTTGATGATGAAGAGGATTATGATTTTGATATTGATAATGAATTAGAGAATGATCATGATTTGGGTGTGAAAAGTAAGAAGTGAGTGGGTAAAAGACGTTATTTGCATTTATTACTATTTATTTATTTGTTGAAAATACCAAGTTTAAGTTTTATTGCTGAGTAGTAAAATATTTTTTTTTCTTTGGCGGCTTTTTCAGGAACGTTGTTTTTGTGTCAAGTTTAGAAAAAATGTTGACATCCTTCAACAACAAAAACAAGAGAAAAGAAGCTCTCCTTTTCCCAAGTATGGCTGAAGTATTATCAAGGTGATCAATTATTGCTTCAAGAATCACAATTGCTATCGTTTTTATCATTTTGTTTTTGCAATATCATTAATTAATTATGACTGCTCCAGGTGCTAATCCAATATATCAATTCAGTTTAGGTAGAAAACCAACATTAAGATTATGTTCAGGCTCACCAAGATTATCAGTTTTCGAAAGACAATTATCATTAATGAAAACACCAACTATTATGCAAAATAACCTGTTGAATTCACCAAATTCTGGTAATAGATCAATTTTAACAAATTCACAAGGTTCTTCACCAATTAGTGATCTGCAATCTTCTTCAAATTCTTCAGAAGCTACTTTAATTGCAAGTGGGAATAATCTTGATAATTTGAATCCTATGAAATATATTGGTATCAATTCATCAAAATCTAGTATTCCATCAAATTCACCAGTGCCTTTTAAAAAACAGAATTCAATACAACGTCATAAGGAAACTTCAAGTACAAATAAATCAATTGCTTTTAAGATCCCTATACAAGAAATTATCAATTACAAGAACTCATTGGAACACTTCATTAATGAAGGTTTAGATCTTGTGTATTCCATAACTAGAAATGATGTTGATTTGTTTTTGGATTATTTATCAGAACTTGTCATTGGAGTTTTCGTTGTTTTCGGTGCTGAAATTTTAAAATTAAATAAAGATGGTTTCTTAGTATTGGTTCAATTTGTCACTGCAAGTGTCATTAGAATCGGTTTCAAGAATGGTGAATATGATTCATTACTATTACAAAGTCCAATTGTTCCAATTTTGGAAGGTTCAAATTTACCTGTTGAATTTAAAAGATCAGTTTCACATTTAATTACAACTTTACAATTTTATATTTTGTTTTCCACTTTAAGAATCACTGCAATATTCAAAAATAATTATTGTATTGAAGATTCAAGAATTGATTCATTATCAATCATGGGATTAGGTGCGGTTATGATTTTGTTGTGTTTAAATTTGATTATAAATTCCTTACCGGCTTCACGTCGTTACAACTCGGAACTTGAAAAATGACACTCTACACATGGAAATATGATTAAAATAAAATAGAACATGCTTTAGATACTTGAATCAAGTGTCAATGATGGCTAATTGGTTAAAAAATGTAAAAAAAATTGGCAAAAAAATATATTGAAGGATGCGAGGTTCGAACTCGCGCGGACAAACGTCCAGTAGATCTTAAGTCTACCGCCTTAGACCACTCGGCCAACCCTCCTCGGGATAAAATTTGGTAGATACACGGTTTTCCACACTCTGTCAAAACTTTTTCTGGTTCGGCCACGCCAAAATTATTAAATTAACATTTTATTCAAACTTCTTCTGTATAACTATAGTTTTATATTTGTGCCATTATGTTCCGTTTCATTTTCTCTTTTTATTAATATGTTTTTTGTGACGATTGGAGTTGAATTAAAATTTTTATAATTTTTTCCAAGAAAAAAGACAATAGTAGATTACTTGACCTATGCCAAAATTTGAAAGTTTTTAGTTTTTATGAAAAATTGTCGAAATGATTAACATTTTATAAATACACATCAGATACCACTGGTACCGAGAAGGAGATTTTTTTGTATGGGACTCGATCGTCAACTTTTGTTAAGAGTGCCCGACCTAAAACTGAGATTCTATCTCCTTTTTGAACACGGCCAGCACGGTCTCCCAGTAGACTAGTCGCGGCCTGGGCCAGCGACTCAAGGCTCAGGCCCCGAACCTCAGGTCGCCTACGTTCATGCACAACAAAAAAAAGAAACCAACACCGTGCATGCTGCAGCCTTCCAGAGCCCTATAAATAGATTCAATAGGTCATATGCCAATACACGTGATACATCGGATAACGGACTGGGTCGGCTCAAAAGCTTCGGCAATCGGCTTCAATCCTGATCCCATTGATAAATCAAAAATCGAAATCCGATAAATTCGTTATTAAAACCGCTAAAATACAGTTGATAAAATTGATCGCGAATTGATTCTGTATTCAAAATCAACATGCCCATTATAATGAATATAGTGGGTGTCGACCTATACTAAACACTAAACTATATAACCAAACCAAAACACAGGGTAACTCACTTTTCGTTTAGCAGAAACCTTTAATATCGTTGAAATGAACTGGGAATGTGACGGGACAGTTGAA